GAATTACTTCATTTTGATTGATTTTGGGTGTCAATCACGGTCGTGTCAGCGGCTGGTAGTAAGGACTAGGTCAGGCAGCCGGCAAATTGATAGGTGAGGACTGCTGGCAGGGATTCAGGCCGAGCCCAAAGGTCTCCGACAGGTGACACGCTGCCAGTAAGATATAATGCCAACATCGGATTAATCAACCCCCCCCCCCACCAGGTAGGTAGGGGGGTACCTTCTGGCTAGTTTCTTGACTACCCCTTAATAATAAGAAACTCTGAACCATAAAAATTTGGATATGGCTTACGTCAATTAGATCTTAATTGAAGTCTATTGGATTTGTTAAAATCTCATGGATCAGAAAGGTGGTTGATTAATCGGGGGCAAACCATGGTTATTATTAATGGGGGACATGGGCTCATGGGGGGTACCCTTTGGGAGCTATCCAAACTGATGATTTTTATAAAGATTTTAATTAGAAATCGATCATTTGGGGAATAGTCATTTTTTGAATTTTTCAATGATCAACTTAAACCTTAAGTATAACAATGATGATTTAAAAAAAAGGTAAAAACAAATTGGAAATAAATAGAATTCGAAATAAAAATTGTTGGATAAAAAATTGATTTCAGCACTGGTGGTTTTTTAATCGGGGGGATTTATTAATCCGGGGGGATCACCTTTTTTTAAATTACAATTTTTTTTGGGGGCAGAGGAGGTTGATTAATACCGCGGGGATTATTAATCCTAACTTGGCATTAGTAAGGTCATGTAAGGTCAAACCTTGGAGATCTGCTTGAAATTGATGTCCCAATCAACACTTTGCCCAAGTGGCCTGGGTCATCTTGAGTGGCCGAGAGTGGCCTGTGACTCAGGAATCCTGTGAAGGCGCTTTTCCGCCCAACCACAGAAGCTGACATGGTCGAGTGGCAAGCATCCTTGATAGAACGCGGCTCCTCGTTGACCCATGTGGATGCAATCGTGATGGGGATAGATCAATATACAGTATATATATATATATTATATATATACACCCACAGACGCCGTGTGTTGCCCAGACATTAACATTGAGGATGTCGCGCTGTCGAATATGATAGGAGAGATTGCAGAAAATACTGCATATATATATATATATATACGCAATGTTTTCCAGTTTAGGGTTCAAAGTTTTCAAAGCCCAGGTTTTAGGGCCTAGGGTTTTAGGGTTTGGGCTTTTAGGGTTTTGGGGTTTTAGGGATTTTGGGTTTATGGCTTAGGGTTGGTCGTCTGGGAAATCTCCAGACACTGGCCCTGCGCAGGTGTTTGAGCATGTTGAAGGATAATGCTTAAACGCCATTTGAACTTTCCGGGCAACACACAGCGCCTGGCCCTATATATATAATATATATATATTTAATATATATATATATATTATATATATAATATATATATATATGAGCATTGCAACTATTGATCTTCAACGAGTGAGATTCCGTTTGGTCCCTTGATGCATCTTCATGTTATTGAAACTAATCCCCACAGCACAGCATGACCATAGAGCCCAAGAATATGATTATCTTTAGATAGCTTTGTGTGCTTGTTGAATGTTGTAGAATGTCTTCAATAGGTTTTGTGGGCACATCCCGATGTTTCAGTATAGCTGGACACCATTCCCCTGGCCAACCCACCCCGCTTGGCCACCCAGGTTATGAACTCAGCCGAGAGGATCACATCTTGGCGCTGCAGTCGGATCAGAATCTCATCACCCAGGCCTTGCGCTCCTTGGCGACGCAACGGCCGCAACGGAAGGGCAGGGGGTGACAGAAATTGTGGTCGACACCAAACTACAGATCCAAACGATGGAATTTCAAGGGGGATCCTGCTGGGATAGATTAGGACCCTTCAAAAGGATTGTGAAATAAGGATCCTACCACAATAAATGATAATAATCTGCCAAGTGCGGTATAAGTTTCCCAGGGGAACTCCCACACCCTCAGGCGATGGATTGTGGTTGGTCATCAACTTTCTGATAGAATTCATGTGTGGCTTTGTGCCGGCAACAACCATGACCCGCCACAACAGGTAAATAGAACAGCTGGACAGGTTGCTTCCTTTCTTTTGAATTAGCTAGATTCTTCAAGGGTATTCAAGAACCCATGTTTCAGATCATAGGTCTAATACTCATTCTTCTGAGGATCAAAAACCATCCCTCGCCAGTCACCTGCAAACCGGCAAGCTAAACCCAATGCCTTTGTCAAGTTAAAAACCTAGAGATTCTACATCTACTTTCTACTAATGTCTGGTATATATCCCTTTTCTGCCCGTCCCCGAGCAGCTTTGTGCCTTGAGGCTCGATTCGTTCGAGGTATCGGCCGAAGCTGGGGCAAGATGGCCCATGCCAAGAGAGAGCATCGCCTGGGGATGACCCAGTGGATCTGGAAGATTTCGCAGACATGGACCCTGGGGATGACGCTCGGCTTCTGCCTTTGTTTCAATGTAAAGTTCTACCAAGATGATGAAGGTCGATTTGCTCTGTGTCTTGTCCTTCTTGTACTGTAGTTATAGTTTGGTGTAGTCTGTTGTATTCAATTGGTCGAAGACAGTGTTTGTTCTGGTACATTTGGTGTATGTCCAATGCCAATGATTGGAATGGTGGTGCATGGCCTGGATCCACCCTGGTTTTACCGTTCGGAGGTATTCTCAGGCTGGCCCGTGGGAAGTTCACACAAGACTTGACTACATTGGTGAGCGGCAGTCCATTTTGGCTCTTCCTTGTCCTTGAAATCTAACATGTCCGAGAATCTGCAAGATCATATTTTCTTGGGGCCCATGTCATCGCGACACATTGGATCATGATTATCATGATTGAACTGTGCAACTATCTCTGCCTTTTCCGTTTGAATGTTTGACATCTGAGCTGAGGAACTGAACGAAGATGAAGAGTTGCTGGTCCTTGAATTGGGCATCTCGGGTACACCCTCTGACCATTTCTTCCCATCGCACCCGGCAAGCTCAACGGCTCAGTGGGGCATTTGATGACATTTTTATTGTATAGACGTGAGGTTTCAGGGGCCTGTGGTTACGTCCAGTCATGAGGCCAAGTTAAATCTTGCATGGAGTGTGCATTGGCTTGACTTTCAAGATCTCCAAGTCTACCAAACCTATAGTGGTTGCATGGCTGATTGCTTGAAAGATGTCATAACATGTCCATATATCTGTGGTTGCCTTGTACTGGCTGGAAGATCTATGAAACCTCTCCCAGTGGCAGCAGATCAAGTGAGAAGTGGGGGCTTTGCGGCTATGGATGTGTTGATGTCCAAGCTGTCTTTTGAACACTTGGGGGAAGAGTTTTTGAATGCGATTTCTGTTGCCAGAATCGCCAGCTGCATCTCAACTTGATCTCAAAATCGCTGCCTCGAATTTGTGGCGGCAGCCAGGGGTGGAGGCAGCTGCTTGTTGGGTCCGGCCGTGAGCTGGGAGTCCAAGCAACGTGGTAGCTGAACCCCCTGCTGCTTCAGCGCAACAAAACAGCACAGTTGTGCCACTGGTGTAACGTCGCATCATATGTGGCATATAGATGCATGTAGTGAGTTGGAAGATGTCAGAAATGTAATTTTAGCAGAGTGTCATGTAGTCTACAAACTAGGTGGACTGAAACAAGCTACAGTTCACAAGTCATGGCACTTTTTTCTTCCAAAGCATAGCGCTTTCATTGAAGAAAACAACCTAAACTCAATTGTGTTGTTGGTTGACACACCAAACTGCCAATAATTTGTACTGACTGCATGCGTTTGTTTTGCCAGAATTGCCACCATCACTTCCATGTATAAATCTTTTTCCGCCTATATTCCAAGTCAGTCTTCCTTACCACAGCCGCGATAGTGCCTATCATGCCCATCAAACGCCAGTGGCCCAGCGCCCGTGATGTGACTTCAGCGCTGCCTCATCAAGGCCTTTGAGGCATTCGGGCCGTGAGCTCGGAGTCTCAAGCGTCTGCGATAGGTCCAGCGGAGTCTGAAAAAAGGAAAGGCCGCAGTGAAAGTGAAAGTGACAGTTGGAGAAAAGAAATCTTACGCTGCCTTGCAGTGCAAGATGGTATATCAGATACTTTTGCCCAACGTACAGTTTCAGGTGGCTTGTCTGTGCCGGACCTTGCCAGTTGTGGGTGTTTGCTGCTTGCCGTTTGTGATCCAATTTGCAACCTTCAAACGAAACGCGAGGCTTGCCAGCTGAACCGCCATCTCAGCGACTCTCAGGTGGGGCGCCGGCTTTCTTTGTATGCCGTGGGGCAGAACTTCAGACCTCTCGGGAACAACGATCTTTGGATATTGCAAGTTTCAACAACAACTCGAGTTTTACCGGGTATCTCAACTGATACCCGTAGCCACGTCAAGTGTCTAACAGCAGTGGTTTTTGACGGTTCTTTGCAGGCGCAGAGGCTCCCAAGGTGTTGGATCAGAGTAGCCATGAATGTTTTGACAATGCCAGTGGTTTGAACTATGATTTCTCGCCAGGCTGATGGGACTCGGACAGGGTTTGCAGAGAGAATCATCAAAGGTGTCCGTCGTAATCCCTCTGTCGAAAGGTACCAGCCAGCCCGCCTTACATAGCACATGGTTCTGCAGTCTGCGAGATGTCTGCGAGTAACTCCGAGGAACAGTTCTTATTGCCCTGTTTTCTCACAAAAAGGTGTGCCACCGGCCGAAGCAGAGCGACACAGACTGTCAGGCACGGCCTCTGGATGCTGCTACTGTTCCACCACGTTCCACCACGTTCCACGATGGTTTTCACGTTCCCAACGTCTTGTGAGATCTTGACGTTGAAGAGCAACGGTTGTTGTGAAAGTATAGATGATTATTGTCTGCATGCCTTGTCGTTGACACTCTTTCACTCGTTTTGTTTCTTTCACAGCTGTGATCATCCCCAACGTTGAAAGGTAACCATTCCATGGTGACTTTCCACCGCCAAGTTCTGATCTCTTCAACTTCGGCTCACAGATTTTTGGTCCTTCAGCGGACTGCCGAAGAGTTCGTGCGATGGCTGGCTTTGATCTGAGCAGTTCGGTCATCTATGACGCAGAGCAGGACCCCTTCTGGGACAAGATTTATGGAAATGGGTGGCATGATGAACCTCAAAGTGCGCAATGCTATTGTTGTACCTGGTGTTTGGATGAGATGCCTTCAATGCAGGAACAGGCACTTGCCTTTCGTCTTGACGATTGGCATCCGCTTTAACTTCCATGTCAGCAGTTATCCTCCTCCTCCTCCTCATCATCATCATCATCATGATCATGATCATCATCATCATCATCATCATCATCATCATCATCACTACCACACGACGGACCAGTTCAGTACATCACATATTCCATGACAATGAGTCCTGGGCTACATACACATATAACACATATCATCATATAGCACATATGAATCTATATCATGTATACTAGACATGGCATAACATGACTATTTGATTCATGAGTTCAAAACAGGATCCATGTATTGATGGTTTCTCTAGTTGCATGATCCCTCCCAGGAGGATGCCAGCTCGAAGGTGATGGGAATCAAAGAGTTCCACGTGGCGAAAGCTTTGTTGGAAGGTCAACAGGAGCCACACGAGTTGCATTCCTCACGCGTTGACAGGTTGCAGCTGGGTGTGGTTTTCCAAGAAGAAAAAGGCGGCCAGGTTCATTTCACGGTTGAAAGATGGAATTAGTTGAATTCAGTTTTGCTCCAACCATCCTTTTAAGAGTTTCCGGGGTGGTTTAAGCGTCTTGAACTGCTTACCAACAAAGATAGGTATGACAGATGACAAGGACTGTTTGTTACCTCTACCTCTTGCCCTGCAGTTTCCAGGAGTCCTTGGGTGAACTGGTCCCTTCTCAATGGGGCCCCGCACACCTCTTTGACCTCTGCCTCTGGTTCGGCCACATCGACACAGCCCTGGCCTTGGTGTCGCATGGTGTGACGGGATGCACCTTGGAGGATCGCCACCTGGGAGCATTGCCAGATGCCAGAGATGCTGGAGATTATGGTTGCTTCACATGTGGCTGCGAGGGCTGGCAGACCTGCAGCTACTGCTGCTGGGCTTTCCCTGTGGAGAACGGCGTTTGGATGAAGGATTGGGATGCGCATCTGGATGATGCGGCCAATGCTGCACAGCAGGCAGCCAAGACGCCCCTCGTCAGGGGCATCGTGGAGATCTCCAGCCGCACCAAGACGCTCCTCTTCGCCATGTCCGATGCAGCGGCCGCGCGGCTGCTGGACATCGCCATCTTGTGTGGCAACGTCGAGGCGGCCACCAACTACCAAGCTCGGCCGCTGCGCCGGTGGGACGCAACGGAGATGTGGCATTTCGCAGGCTTGGCCCGGTGGGGATCCAGATTTTCTGCCGCACTATATGCAGGCGCAGATTTTGAGGGTGTCTACGTGAGGTTGATAGATCATGATGTTCCACTTCTCCGAGTTTTGCCCGTAGCCTACGTGCGGTTTGGCCATGTGGACACAGCCCTGGCATTGGCTTCGCATGGTGTGACGGGATGCACCTTGGAGGATCACCACCTGGGAGCATTGCCAGACGCCAGCGATGTTGCACCTTTGTCTGAGCGGTGTCCCTGCAATGGCTGGAAGACTTGCAGCTACTGCTGCTGGGCTTTCCCCACGGAGAACGGCGTTTGGATGAAGGACTGCGATGCGACTCTGGATGATGCCTCAGAGGCTGCATGGGAGGCAGCCGAGACGCCCCTCGTCAGGGGCATCCTGGACATATCTAGCCACACCAAGACGCTCCTCTTCGCCATGTCCGATGCAGCGGCCGCGCGGCTGCTGGACATCGCCATCTTGTGTGGCAACGTCGCGGCAGCGGCCAACTTGGCCAAGACCTACCAAGCTCGGCCGCTGCGCCGGTGGAGGACAGAGGACTTTTGGAGTTTCGCAGACTTGGCCCGGTGGGTATCCAGATTTTCTGCCGCACTATGCGCAGGCGCAGATTTTGAGGGTGTCCTTGTGAAGTTCGTAGATTATGAGGTTCCGCTTCTCCGAGTTTTGCCTTTAGACTTCGAGCCAGAGGACTGGCAGCAGCTGGAGCAGGTCTTGCCATCGGAGAAGAACCAGTGGCCATCCTGCGACGTGATGGCGGGTGGTCGGTTTCTGACCCGTGAGATCCGTGAGGATGGCCTGTGGAGGGGGAGCGTTTCGGCGCAGAGAGTCCAGAATGCTTTGAGGGCAGGCTGGGATCTGAAGTACATCTGGACGAACGTGTTTGGAGGAGAACGCTGCTGTGATGCAAGTCTATTGGACTTGGCGGTCTTGTGTGGTCAGCAGGAATGTGCCAGTGCTCTTGCGTCCGCTGGTGTCGAACTGAGGGTGGATGGCTTGGCCTTGCACAGACTGGCGTTTCGCAGAGATGGGTTGGAGGCTTTGCAGAGCGAGTTGGGTTTCGGTTCAGCCTCTGAGTGCAAGTCCGCAGCATCTGCTGCGGCACGTGCATTTCTCATGAACTCCTTCAAGCGCGAAGGCGTCGAGAAGGGGATCGCCCTCTACCAGACCTTGGCGAAAAAGTTCCACCCCAGAGGCGTTCCGAGGGCTTTGGTCCACCACATCTTGGGTTTCTCCATGAAAACTCCCAAGATCTTGGATCAGCTGGATCTCTGGGATGAGGTCAAGGGCTGGGACCCATACTTGGAGGTCCTTGCAGCGCATGGAGATGGCACGACTTCTTCAGCAGATTTGGATGTCAAGGAGGAGGGTTCGAATGTCCAGGAACAAACCAGTAGATCAGCTTTTTCTCTATGGCATGCCTTTTGTATCCTTTTGTCATTTTGCACATGCAGTTTGCCTATTTATTGAAAGTTGTGAAACATATTATGACATCCCAGGCGGCCAGATTGATGGAACTTTACCTTGCAGATCCCTCTATCAAGCAGTATTCTAACTTATAAATTCAAAGCTTCTTCTTTCCCTTCGGGAGCGTTCTTCTACCAAAGCCTTGGCTTTCTCCTGTGAAAAGTGTAAAACATGTTGCGCAGGACACAACCTCGAACGTGTTGTGCCCAGACCCGTCACCCTCCGTCATCCGAGGCACACCATTGCCGGAGCCGAGATCGGAACCGCCAGAACCTGACGCGAAGACTATGGATCATCATGATGATCTGATGACCGCTTTGCAGTTGAGCCGGGATCAGGTTCCAGTATTGAGTATGGATGGCGTTTGCGTGTTCCTTGTCACAAGTCGAAACCGGGCCCTGTAAAGTGGCAGAGATCTCCAGTTTCATGGGCGGCACATGTCAAAGGGTGAAGCCGTGTGTCCTGAACGCAGATTTTGTAAAATCACCTCATTTATCTTCATTGGATTTGGCAGCGGCTGTGAGTTTTGTATGTCGGAATACATCAGTTGAAAAACAGTGAACCCCCATGAAACCCCAGTCTCCAACCAGTCTGCTGCCTTCATCTGAGGTTCCGGCTGACCCGCATGGCCACCTCAGATCACGTCATGCGGGTCCTGTTGGATGCCACCGGGCCACTGTGGCAGTTGCACCGGCGGGTCTTAGAGGCCGGTTGCGAGGTGGATCCGGACTGGAAACTTGGGACGTTCTAAGAGTGGAACGGTGGGCAGGGGAAGTGGGTCGAAACAGGATTGGGTTCGTTTTGTTTTGCAGGAATAACAAAGCAAGGCCAGCATGGAACTGGAAAATGTGGTTCGATCTTCTTGTCGAAGGTCTCAGATTTACCATGATTTACTCATTTTACCCAGCATACTCAGCTAAGTATTTCTGCACACTGTTTTCAGGCACCATGAGCAGCCAGCCCCTCCAACTGCCCCTCCAACTGCAACCAAGGAATCCAGTCAAAGCACTTTTCGTCCCAATCACTGAAACGCAGATGGCTGAGTTGCAGGCGCTGTCGGAGCGTGGCTGCTTGGATTTTTAAAAATCGTGCTGGATATGGCTGGTTAGTTTTTTTTGCCACGCACTGGACACCCAGAATTCCTTTCAAAATAATGAGACAGAGTCAGCATGCACCATATCTCAGCTTTCCCTGTAGGACTGAGATTCGGCTGGGTCTTTGCAGACATCATTGAATCTATGATGAACCCCCATCATCAAATACACCAACAGGGCCATTCTATTATATTCTATTCCGTATTCATTTTTCAGGAGTCACTTGGAGTCACAACATATTTTCGTTTACCGGTTCCCTTTCTCATACGTACCAGACGTACCATGTCCTGTGCCTCTCTTCCGCCCCGTTCTCAGGCTACGAACTGACCAAGACCGACCACATCTTGGCTCTGCAATCGGATTACGATGCCATCTCCAAAGCCTTGTGTCCCTGGGGACACAGGGGGGCAATGATGGAAGAACGGGGTGGATTAGATCCATTACATATTGGTTTCAGTGGTTTCACGGGGGATACTCCTGATCGACCCAGAGACTGCGAGGTGAACATGTCGAACCAAACCAGCGTGTGTTTTTAGTAATTGGGTCAGACTCCTGTTGAGAGCCGTTGGGTCCTTGCTTGTCACTCAAGTTTCATGGTGGCACTGCAACAACGTTAAGGCCTCATTTGTTGCAAGAGCCGGCCGAAGCTGCAGCAAGTTCGCCCAGTTGAGAAAGGACGCGAGAAGAATGCAGGTCCAGTAGCAGCATCGTCTGGCCCTGGCGATACGCCGGATCAAGACGAAGACATGGATGACACCTGGTTCTGTGATGGTTTTCGGTCAGCTTTGGAGGTCTAGAACTGTTTTCTTTCCCTATCTCTGTTGGACATGACTAAAAATGATGTGTCCTCTCTACATGATTGTTGAAGACCACCGCTTTGGCCAGTTCGTCAGTGGAAAGCTAGGTTTTGTGATTGTCAGGCCAGTTAAGCAAAATTATCATACTTGAAACCTGCTTGGAAGCCGGGTGATAATATGAAAGAAATGCATGACGAAGTAAACAAAGATAACACAATGCCAGGCATAGACCAATCTGAAGATCAAGTGTACTTTCTTACAAGTTGCGTGACAGCAAGGAAGATGAACCGCTGCTGGTCCTCGAGTCCGGCATCCGCACCGACTCCGACGTGGGCTTCCCATCCTATCCGACGAGCTCGGCGGCGTGGTAGGACCATTTTAGATCTGTACAGACGAGAGCTTTGGAGCGGCCACGAAGTGAGTGCAATTTGGCAATGTTCGAAACCGACCCTTTCCATATAGGGGGATGAGACAACTTTGAAGACTGAACTACTGACAACTGTTTGATCTTAGTGTAAGACCTTTGCAGTTCTTGTTGAGATATCCCAAGTATGACACATGCCCATGTAGATGTGGCCTCTGATTCTTGCCCCTAAGTTCTACTCAGCAGGGTGCTGGCTAGTAATACTATAGTCAGACCTGTCAACCAAATTGTAGACCACCGACACCTCTGTGAAAACGGACAGTTACATATCTGGTATTGCCTGGCTGGTTGCTCTTTTGAACTTCAATGTCTCTGCAGTCCATGCATCTCCATGCACTGTAAAGAGGGCCCCAAAGCTATTGATGTCCCACAGCCGGGTGTTGAAGCAAGAGCTTCTGATTGGACATCCTCGCCGTGAGCTTGGAGTCCAAGTGAAGTGGCCAACACTCCCCCTGAAGCGAAGAAATTACGCAAGTCATGGGAGGATCACCTTGGTGCGCTGAATTTTCATCGGATTTGTTGACAGATGATGAGTTCCACCCATGATTTTTGGGGAACGCAGAAGAGTCAGATCGGGTGGATGATAGTCATTTCAGACTTTTAAAATCTCTGTCTTTGGGAAATCAATTCTAAGTGTTGGACATTCTTAGCCCGGAAAACCATGGAAAACCTGCTTACGGGGGAGAGAAGTCCGGACTTGGGACTTGCAATGATTTGCAATGATTTGCATGTAGAAGCCAGAAATTCCGGGAACAAAAAACTAGGCCACATATTGACCGCAGCAATCAGCAATCATCCCAATCGGGGGCTTGGGAATGTGTTCAAGTTCAGACTGTAGCAGCTGGATAGAGCAAACAAGCACATTTTCTGCACACTGCATGCGTCTTCATGCCGTCATGCGGCACGGTGAACCACCAGTGACACCTGCGTAAAGAACGACCTTCGTCCAGTGAGTTGGTAACGGCCCCAGAGCCGCACCGCTTGGACATCCTCGCCGTGAGCTTGGAGTCTCAAGGGAGTGGCGATGGAGTCGGAGCTGCTGGCAGTGACAGATAAGGTTTTCTGGGCATGAAATGGCATGAAATGGCATGAAATATTTTCCAGGTTTCCCGTTGGTCTTTGCGTTTCCGCGAAGCCGATTGTAAGTTGCGCCAGATTTGTCGTCTCAACTGCCAGCAGCAGGTAGTTGCTTGTGGGACATCCTATAGCCGTGAGCCTGGAGTCTCTCAAGCACTTAGCCTTGGCCAAACTCCTATGGCGATGTCCAAAAAGACCAGCTGCAGTTCGTCACAGGGGTATTGAATAAACACAGGAACACCCAACATGGGATCGAGAACGATGTACGTGCCAAAAGTGAATGAGATTTTCCGAAGTGGAATCAACCAGCGTCGGATTTGGTTTCCCAGGAAACAGTAATTCCACCGTTCCACCTCTAGTATTGTTCGTGAACTTGTAAGAGTGAATCATAGTGAATCCATTTCGGAATTGCCCACTTTAGAAGCAACAAACATGAATGCTGCAATTGCTGGATCAATACGGGTATGGGTCAATACCTATTAATACCATTTTTAGGGGGATGAACATCCATTTACCAGCTATTTTGATGTTCACCAGGGGTACAAGGTTTTGACACACTGCCATATGGATTGCCATTTACACGAATTTTCAGGTTGCCATGTGAGATGACATTCCCAACAGGTGTACCGAAAGACAGGACAGTCCAGCCATGACTTAGGGAGTGGAGGTTCCGAAGACCTTGGAGAAGTAACTTTGCAGACATACACTGGGTATGTGCCTTTGTAGGGGCAGCTTTTTGATTTTGCTGGGCGTGAGAAAGTGGGTCTATCGAATACTCATTTATCCCATTCTATAGCCAGTATATACATGCATGTATATAATTGTATATATACCAATTCATTACATCCCATACAGTATTAAATCCCGTAGACATCCCACATTACATCCGATATTACGATGTATTACGTACCATATTAAGGTGCATTTCAGGATGGTGAAACCTGGATCCCCAACGGGAACCAGCCAGGCTTGCCGGCCGAGTCGCAGAGGCGCTCAGGCGCTGAGTCCAGCAGTGGGTTTTGACATTTCAGGGCCATGGGAAACCTGTGGGAATTGATGGGAATTTCACTATCACTATTTCCTGGGATGTTTCGGCAATCATTCCATAGTGATAGTTAAATTAAATTGGGATTCTGGATGGATTTTGAAGACTTTGAAGCACAGAAATTCCAGCATCATATTTGCCACTTTGCTGCAGCCATGAGTCCTACTGGGAGCATGGTAGCTGATCTTTGACAAATTCACCCGGCCCATCCGAAGCAAAGACTCTGTGGCGTGGGGGACGGTCCATTCTCCAATTCTTGGTTGAAAGGCTGACTTTTGGTGATTCTCCCACGTTTTGCCGTTGAATTTTCGGAATATGGCTAGGTTTGATACTTTGACCATCCCGTTTTTGGTTGAATATCAACTTGAAGCGATGAATTTGTTTCACTTGGCCTAGGCGTTCCAGCGGAAGCGCAGTCGCAGAGACTTTCAGGTCGGGTCTCTGAGTGGTCAAAAGTTCGAGTGTCAAGGGAGGTGACTTCTGAAATATAGGCCTGTGCATGACGAGAAGATGTATGGGATATTTTTACATGGGGATATAGGGATTTATAGATGAGGATTTAATGGGGATTTCAAAATATCCCAGTATATCCCTAAATATCCCCTGCTATCCCCATGAAATTGTTATACAGTAAGATTACCCCTGAAAGTCCAACGCCTCACATTTTTATCCATCACAGTATGGTGATAATCCTATAAAGTGAACCGCTGGGATGTTCCCGACGAAGACAGAAGGGTCATCCGTGATCTCACCGGGAGACTCTCAGGTCCGGCGTGTCACGCGTATGTGTCGAGACAGAATTGAATAGCCCATTTGAAATCAGGATCAAGAAATTTCATGCGCTTGATTTCCAACTATAGCTTGGATTAATTAATTTGAATTTCAAGTCCACCATCATTGAAAGTCTCAAAACTCTCAAACATACCATAGAAATTCCATATTTGTGGGATTTTGTCCAGAGATTTGTGGCATTTTCTCACATCCACCAGCTCTTTTGGCTGCGACGCTGAAAGAAATCCGAAGGCGAAACGACCCCAACGACCACGAAACTGGAGGTGCAGATGGCCTCTACAGGCGAGGTTTGGCCAGTGGGGGTTCCCGCAACCACTTGACCAATTGGGGAACTATAGTGAAACGGATTAATCATAGGGAACTACACTTCACCAAAAAACAGGATTCATAATAGTAAACTTGGCGAAATGGAAGAACCATTTCTATTTTTAAAACCAATGTTGAATGAAATCCTTGGGGAAATTCGAGCATTTTTGACCATTGATTGGCCAAGTATAGTGTAATAGTTGTCTATGAAATCTTATAACTGCTGTTTAACTGGCTGGGTTTATGGAGGATATAGCTCTAGTTGATGGGTTAAACTGATGGTTAGTTCTTCTGTCAAATCTCACACCTGGTAAACTAACATAGCTATGAACAAAAACACAATTTTTAATGGGACAACTTACTAAAAATTGCCATTTTCAATAGCTATTTTGACAACCAGAGGGTACACCTGGTCCAATCCAACCACCATTTCGAGTCGCCGTGAGCCGTGCTTTGTGCCCAGCAGCCGTGGGTGGAAGCTTCGAAGTGTCGCCCGCAGCAGCCAGTGGGGGAGCTCAGGGTATCCACGGTGGGGCATCAAACCAGGGGGGTTTAATGGGGATATCCCATTTTTGATGGGGATATATCCACATGGGGGATATCAGAATTTGAGATTTAACCATCAAAAATGGGGGATATATAGGGCTTTAGCATGCTTTAGCCATGAAACATGGGGTTGAAAAAAAGTACCTACAAATGCAGATTTTGTATGATTTATATCATCTCAGTAATGGGGATTTGGCTATCCTTCTGGATTCTTAGCATGGGACCCAACTCATGCCACATCCAACATTGAACGTATCTTCGGAACTCGAGAAGTCAGGTTCTGTGTTAAGTTTAGGTCTTGGAAACATTGATCTAGCTCACGGAAAGAGGGGCTTCAACCACAATCAAGGGGGATATCACATGATATCACCAAAACATGGGGTATGCCACCGTCAAAACATGGAGATCCCTGGAAGTTTACTGGAGGTTTCATGGAGATTATGTCACCATCACGTCACTGGAGGAATTTCTGGTTCCGTTGAAAGCCGAAACGGGGAAGCGAGGTACTCACATGGCGGCGACCACTCCTGGAGGTGCCTCAGGACCGGCGAACTTACTCTTGGGACTCCCTTGGGGTGCCACTTCTGCAGCCATCAACGAGGAAGAAACGGGTTCAAACAGGATGATATATAACACAATATCATGATATCCATTTGCAAAAAAAACAGTTGTTCCTTGTTGTTCAAAACATATGGTTATATCGTGTTATATCCAGCTTCCAAAATGATATAACATGATAGTAACCCAGAAATAGTTTCCATTTTCCAATCTACGTCTCAGTTTCAGATGTGTGAGTTGAGCTGTATTCGGGCCACCAAGAATGATCCAACTGGTGGATGTGTTTATGATCAAATCAGTATCCCCCGAAAATGGGAATTTCAATTCAATCAATCAGTGTTGGCTACAGAAACTATACCTCATTTTGTGACAGTCATTCAATCCATTCTTGGATATGTTCCATTTTTATCCATTTTTTTCTAAGTCATGGTTTTGTTGCTCGACTTATTCGCGCTGTCCGTACCCCCAGGACCCGATGAGGCCTGGGAGGACGACGAAGGTCCGGCGGCGCCGGAGGAAGAGATGCGACAGAGGAGGGTTTCAAGGGGATGGAGGTGGCCACGTTTTGCCCATGATTTTTTTGGGCTTAAAATGTGGTAAAAGGATTTGACACTGGTTAATCACCGTGATTTACTGTGATTTACATAAACTCTGATTTTTTTTTTGTTTAATGAACTTTCAGATGAGAATCTACAATGCCATGATATGTAATTTATTCGCCTGCATAATTTGACCGAAATCATTTCAGTTAGACAGTTAGACTCCTGTATGACATTCCGCACCAAATTTGTACACCTACATTATGACGATTATGAATTATGATGTATAAGTACCTGTATCATTTCCGCTATATACACCTACATTATTATGTACTCAGTATATATATATATATATTAATATATATATATATTAATATATATATATATATAATATTACTCACCAAGTTTACCTGAAACATCACTGCTGTTTTTCCCAGGAGCGTCGGCGCAGAAGCTACCCTGTCCACACCACAGATCCAGGTTAAGGCCACTGTGAGTGGGATGGGATGGTGATGTCGGGAATATCATTGTCGGCGCTATCTTTATGTATTTTTTTTGAATGGGAGTTTGTGCATTCTTGTGCTAGTTTGACGGGTCTTTGTGTGATTTTTATTGTTTTTTTGATTGTTATGGCATTTTTTTGTTTTATTTTATTTTTTTAATGACATTCTTTGTCTTTTTTTAATGGCATTTGTTTATGGGACCGAAACTATGAAGGAACCATGATTTTATAGCCTCCTGGAAACACTTTTCCATTTCTTTTGGAGGATTCTACAAGTGAACAACGATGTGAGGAAGACGTGATGATGCTTAATTATGATGCAGAAATGCCAGAAGTATGGCATTCCTTCCGTGAGTAATGATGGTTGTTTTCCAACATATTGAACCAACTATTGTTGGTGATTGTTGGCAAAATCAATTAATGCCCCAAACCTAAACCATATAACATCCCAAATGATTTGAACCCTCCTCAAGTGAAGGGTCACTGTTGGCTTTACCACATTATTCTTTCAAAGATGAAAGACCCCGAAGCACTGGGTTGATTCTAATGGTTACATCGAACATGCCTTCTGAACGTCGGCCCATCTGATCTTCAGAAAGTTGATGGTCATTTGGAGCAGATTTGGAAGAACATTCCCTCTGGTAAACAGCAACATAACTATCGAAAATCACCTTTTTTTCATGGGAAAGCTCACTATAAATATCTATAAATCACCATTTTCACTAGCTATTTGTTAGTCATTACCAGGCCGGGTATCACAACCACTGGCGCCTGTGGGATTTCCAGATGCCAGGCGCCAGAGGGTGACGCCACGGCTTCGGACACCCCGCAGAAGGCGCTTTTTAGCACCAACTCGGTGGCGCTTTGGAGCTGTGATGATCAAAAGAGTGGGGATAACAACATGTGGCTATGGATCAATACCTATTATATCCTATTATTATCAATTCTAATGGGATGAACATCCATTTACCAGCTATTTTGATGTGAACTACAGGGGTACAAGGTTTGGACACACTGCCATGTAGCAACCAATGATGGAAAATATTGGGAAATGCAACCAATGATGTTTGATATAAGGGGGATGAGATGACATATCTGACATAACTCCCTTCATTGCCAGATCAGATTTTTAGGGACACTGTTCATTTGGATGATAAGAACACTGGTTTCCTATGCGAAAGAACGCCTGGAATTTCTCGAATTAACCCCAGTCACAGCTCCATTTCTGCAACCAGTGAAGGCAGATTCTGCTCCGCAGGCGGCTGGAGTGGGTGGTCGGAAATGGGGGACGTAGGTCGATGTAGGGCATAATCAAATGGTGACATAGACGGAGATTTGTACTTGGGAGGTGAGTTGTCACAAAATTAAGCACCTAGCCACATGCATATGGCTTTTTCATTCTGAGAAAAACATCATGTTTGGATGCGATCAGTGCATAAATCCGTTTTGCAGCTCCCAGCAGACTCGAATTTCACATATAGAAGCTTTAGTTCAAGGGGAATAGTTACTTGATGCAACGTGAACAACTCTTCTATTGGAGCATTTCATATCAACCACTGGAATTGCATCACCAACCAATCCACACGTAGTAGCATCAAGGCAGTTGGAAAGTAGATTTTTCACCAACGACCACACTTAGTCCCATCCCAGGGAAAATAAAAGAATGATGGGGAATGCAGCCAATGCTGTTTGATATTAGGGGGATGGGATGATATATGGTCTCAATGGTGTGATTTCTTGGTTTATCCAAACATGATATTAGTTAAACATTATATAGCAGATATGATGGGATGTTTGATATCATGATATGATAACACATATTTGGACCATAACATGATATAACTCGATTCTGGTCCCAAATATGTGCTTTCATCCCCTATACATCCACCATGGTTTTATGGCGGAGTACTTTATGGTGAAGGGAGTACTGATGAATTGTCCAGGTGCAGCGCGCCAGCTCCGGGATTAGCTCTGGGAAGGCTCGAGACTCCAATTCTTTTTGGGTTGGAATATTTTTTGTGGCTGCAAGGGTACCCAAATAGATCCATCAATGAATAGCCATTTTGATGGGGAAAATTATGAACCACCCAGATTTTGGGGTATTGTACCCTATTTTCAGAGAAACCCAGGGATCGCAATATGTGTTCGGTGTGGATTCAACAGAGGAAGTGGGTCTCTGACGCAGGCAGCTGCAGCCGCTGCCACCAAGAAGGCCACTGATGGGATGCTGGATCTCAACAGGTTTTCTTTGGACTGGGTGGTTTCGAATTTGACTTTGCCATCTTCTGCCATCGCTGGGAACTTTCAAAGATGTTGGACACTGGGAGGCCTCTCGCTTCACTTTCATGGGCATGGGCCGCAAGAAGTGATGGCCCTTGGATTCAACTTCAGGTCCCAGGGCCTCAATGATTCTCAGCTCTGTACGCGCGAAATTTGCGTTTGGCAAAGCCGTGACTCTTCGAGGGGTTAGATGCTGTTGATGCTACATGGGTTGGTTCGAAACTAGGGATACCCCCCAAAAATGATATATGATATGATAATATATAGGTTAACGGTATGATACAACTAGGGTTTTACTGCAGTTGATGATATATGATACATGGGTTTGTTTGAAAATGGGAGATGATCTATTATCCAACTTAGCGATGTCATTGGCGAAACATGATGAAGCCATGTGGCAAGCGGAGAGTATCCCCTGGAGTCACCAGTCCTACTGTGAAGCCTTGCAAGCAGGGTTGCAAACTTTGGTGCTGGGCTATCCTTGCAAACATATGAGTCACGGTCAAAATGGTTGAAGACCACTTTGGTATTGCAGGAGTTTTTTGTCAGAGATGTGCTCGAAACACTGTAAAGCGAGAGGGCCCCCCCAAAAGCGATAACCTGGGACCATACACGACAGTCCATTAAACTTGGCGTAAACCAAGCAAATACTGTTGTGCACATTCACAGAACGGGCGAAACCGATGAGGGAAATTCAACCTGTGGTGCCCTGTTTCCTGCAATTACCATATCATTTGGCATCCAACTCGCTCGCTCTCTCTCTCTCTCTCGCTTTTTTTTTTCTCTCTCTCTCTCTCTGTTTGTGGCAAATTTCCTTCGAACAATGTCATATGTTGGAGGGGTTATTTAGCGACAACATTAGCGATAACTTAGCGATAACCATTTGTTGCACTTGGTCCCCGGGCCAAGCCAAAGAGCCATTTCCATAACTTTAGAAAGAAATGAAAGGACATGAATGCAAAATGACAGGAACATGCATGCAAACAAAAGGAAGATGAAAGGACATGAATGCACATTGGAATTGAAGTGAAAGGAACATGAAAGGAAAATGAATGGAAATGAAAGGATATAAATGCAAAACAAAAGGAAAATGCATGCAAATGACACTGCAAACAAATGAATGCAAAATAAAAGGAACATGTTTCCGAGCCTCTTTAGGAATCGATTTTGGCTTCATGTTGGATCTCGAATATGCTGATTTCCACAAAACCCTGGAAAGCGATAGGGCCCCCCAAAAGCGATAACCATAACAATAGCAACTACTCAGATATAAAGGAGTTTGACGGGAACTCATATGGGTTTCTTCAGACATGGGGTGTGTGTATGGATTATTCTGCACGGTACTGTATGTACCCAAAATTACAATTTTGATGGGAAAGTGACAAGAAACCAGCGGACTTTTGCGTATATCATTTTGGACAAATCCATGTATACGGTCAAGTTGATTTTGGATCACTTTGGATGGCTTTGGGGGCCATGGTTCTATGGCTTAGGGCACTGAAAGCTCAAGAACTCATGCAATTCCGAAATTCCAGTGGAAAAGGGCTGAAGGAGGGTAAACCGGCAAGAATTTATTGCTCCTAATTTCTTTTTGCAATTCTTTTTGGTCTCTCCCTACATGATTTTTCATCCTTGCTGCAATGCGGGCAGCCAAGCCCACTGTAACCTGCCATGTTTGCGAGGCTTCCCAGTAGTCTCGGATGTTGAAGTTCGATGTCGCTCTACTGCCGGGCTTCACTTCTAAGAAGCGATTCCTGCGGGCAACCAGTAAAACAGGACCGCATTGACAGAGGCTTGGAAGATGATTCTGCATGGATTGGTGGAAGTTCTGGGCACACACCATGCGGAATCATGTGGAAACCAACATTTGCGAGTTGGGTCACACCTCGTTCAACTTATATATTATATGAACAAAATCACAAAAAATCCATTTCAAGCAGGTTTAGGGCAGTGGAAGCTGATGAGTTTGGCATTCTTAGCCAATGCTTGTGCAACGTCTCGGCTCGAAGGGTGCAGCCGAGCTGCATCAGCCGCAGTGTGAAACACAGTTGGCAAAGCTTTGCAAAAGCCCAATGTGGTGGGTCTTAGAACAGTTTGAGTCATACTGATTAAGATCCTTGAACTTTGACCCGCCAAATTGACGTTGAACATCAAGTTAAACCGTTTAAGAACCAGGTTGTTTCTCTTCCTGTGCATTTGAGTTTTGGCCTGTGTTAGCTTTGACAAGGTGTTAGGCGGTCTTACGGAAGTATAGATGGATGTACAACAGCAAATACCACAGAACTAATACTGTAGAGACAGATCCGTTTTCTATCCATTCCAATCCACTATCGGACACCCGTTCAAAACTCCAAAACTCTCATTCAAGCAGTATCCCATCAAAGTTCCAACATATTCCAACCCTTCAGCCAACTCCAACCCACCTCCCAGACAGCCCACAGCATCCGAAAACAGCCACTGCGGGGTGGGGGATTTTTCCATGGCGGTGGCCCAAAGCTTGACGTCTAGGGACCGTCTGGGTGGTGATTTGGGGTTGGAACCTGCAAAGGAAAGTCCTCCATGTGAGAGTTGAGTGTTAGTGTGGTTTACCAATTTTGAAACCACACAAACCATGCGTGGAGTGTATCATGGCTGTTGGATGGTTGTTTTGACAGCCATGGACAGCCCAAAAAGTAAATATTTAATATGTGATCGAGTCAGTTGTGTGAGTTTGGAGCGATGATTCCGTATACAAAAGACGTGCCTGTTGGATAAACATACATTTATTGTAAATTATTATCATTTATTCTTATAATTGGTCTTCCAGATGTTCAACAAGAAAAACTTTAACATCCGTGAAGCCGTATGGCTAAAACCTTCCAAAATCAAACGTTCCAACATATTTTTCCGCATCTATTCTCCAGATTTGAGATTCTTCCCTTTGATGGTCCTTCTCCGCAGCACACGCAGGATGGCGCCGCCGGCGCCGCCATGTACAAAGTGCCCCTGCAGGACGTGGCGGAGATTTCGAACGCCTGGTTGATATTGCGGATTATTGCGGTTTATATATGTTTATAGATTTTAAATGTTTAATAAGCCCAAAGAATATCCCCAACAGCCAGAAACGAAAACAGTTGCCAAACATGCAATGAGTGAAGTATGTTTATTGGTGCTTAGGCATAACATAGACTCCACAGAGACTTCTGTGCGTATGTGCAAGAGCCGTACAGGAGCTCATATGTTTATAGACTTTAGATGTTTAAAAACCATATCCAACTGTGCTTTAAAATGAGCCGTCCCCAAGTATCATCCACCTTGGGGGGGTGATGCTATAAACCAAGTAGGGCTACATACCACAATTTCATACAATTTCATAGACCGCTTAGTGCTGATGCTTTATCAATATGGATCCCACGTTAGACTTGTCCTTGTTGTTGCAGGGGAACCTTGGTTTCTGATGTTTCTGGAGGGTTTCCAGGGCCTTTTTCCAGCCATAAAGATATGACAGGAGAAGGACGTGCAGGCTCTTCAAGAACAGCTTTTGCGCGGCCCCCAGATGAAGTGGTGGACATAGGGGTGCTATGCCAGCTATGCCCAAATTAACACATTTTTGTGGATGATGATGATGATGATGATGATCATCATCATCATCATCATCACTACTATCACTACTATCACTACTATCACTACTATCACTACTATTACTATATTTTATTGTAATGAGTAATTACTATTATTATGTACTATTCTTACTATAATTATCATTATCAGCCACGAGGCGCGAACGCTCAGAGCGGCAGCGCGCCACCCAGCTCTGCAAGGCGCAGGATGAGGCCTGCAGCCCGGTAGATGTCTCCGATGACCTTATTAGTACCCGGCCTGGTCATTTAACATGGTTAATATATGGTTAATATATGGTTAATATATGGATAATCCAAATGGTTAATATACGGATAATCTAGAATCTATGGTTAATATGTGGTTAATATATGATTGATATATGGTTAATCTAGAATCTATGGTTAATATATGGTTAATATATGGTTAATATATGGTTAATATATGGATAATCTATATGGTTAATATATGGATAATCTAGAATCTATGGTGAATATGTGGTTAATATATGATTGATATATGGTTAATGGTTAATATATGGATAATCTAGAATCTATGGTTAATATATGATTGATATATGGTTAATATATGGATAATCTATGGTTAATATATGGATAATCTATATGGTTAATCTAGAATCTATGGTTAATATGTGGTTAATATATGATTGATATATGGTTAATATATGGTTATATGAATATATGATTGATTAATATATGGATAATCTAGAATCTATGGTTAATATGTGGTTAATATATGGTTAATCTAGAATCTATGGTTAATATATGGTTAATATATGGATAATCTATATGGTTAATATATGGTTAATATATGGATAATCTAGAATCTAGAATCTAGAATCTATGGTTAATATATGGTTAATATATGGTTAATATATGGATAATCCATAGATAATCCATGGATAATCCATGGTTAATATATGGATAATCTATGGTTAATATATGGATAATCTAGAATCTATGGTTAATATGTGGCTAATATATGATTGATATATGGTTAATCTAGAATCTATGGTTAATATGTGGTTAATATATGATTGATATATGGTTAATATATGGATAATCTATGGTTAATATATGGATAATCTATATGGTTAATATATGGACAATCTAGAATCTATGGTTAATATGTGGTTAATATATGATTGATATATGGTTAATCTAGAATCTATGGTTAATATGTGGTTAATATATGATTGATATATGGTTAATATATGGATAATCTATGGTTAATAATACTGTTACCCGGCCTGGTAAACATACAAAAAGCTAGTGAACATGGTCCATTTATAGTTGATTTACCCATTAGATATGGTGATTTTCCATAGTTATGTTAGTTTACCAGAGGGTAGTACTTGATGATTTATGATGATTTATTGGTGTTTATGATCATTGTTTTTTTTAAATATTGATTATTGATGATCATTTGTTATGATGGTTTATGATTGTTTATATAATTGGGATCATTATTTGAGATTCTTTATGATCACTTATGATTATACTTATGCTTATTTGGGGCTATTGAATTTACACTAATATCATTTGCACACAAGAATTCAATTTGCGTTTGCCAGTTAAATGAGCAAGTGTGAGAATTTGGAGCAAGTAAGTAGCTAGCGCACTGCCCAACTACCCTATGTATCCTGGCTTTGCGTGGCAATGCCAATGTCGTTACAATGCCAATGTCGTTGCAGACCGCTTCGCTGGAGGAGTTGAAACGTCGGGAGCGGCTGAACAGCAGCCTCTGGGAACAGCGCGTGCGATTGGAACGTGGGGAGGCACAGTTTTCCAGAGCCCCTGAATTTCCTCAGGCTCCACCATCGAAGCTCTGACAAGAAATGAGGATGTATAGCCGAAATCGGCTAGTTTATTGGCATATTTCCAATGCCAAGAATGGCTGGAACTGGGGTGTAATTCCGCCATTTTGACAGCGATGGTGATAGCTACTAGCTATATGCTATTTCCAATCCCAGAGTGGTTTACTGTGGGAAAACCACCATTTGGCTGAGGCGATGCGAGTGAATTGCGGGGGAGGCTCGCCAGGCCGGGGCCGTTTCATGGTTTCATCGAATGGGATCTCAGAATGGGTTGGAGGCAAAGGACCCTCCCACATTTGCAAGTAAAAGATAGTAAAAGTATTAAAAATCATAGGCTTTCTATGGGTTTCTTGTAAATTTCCTACACAAATCCGATGATTATGATGATCTTTGGAAAGAACTGATCACAACTGTACCGGGAATTTGTGGTCAATCGAAGTTCAACTGCTTTTGGTCACACGGCTCTCAGGGCGGAATCGCAGCAGCAAAAGGAGGTGCCACCGGCAATTACCTGGAGATGTTTTCGATTACTTCCCTGAGAGGTTTCAACACTTGACCAAAACCAATGCCGGCTACGGCCATGGCAAAGTAACAGTGGATTGGAATATGTTAGAGCACCCCCCACAAGTGAGATCAAGATTGTGGCATGTGATTCACTGATTTCTGTTGATTGTCCATATAGGTCCTTTTCTTCCATTCTTCATTTCTGGTGGTGTGAATAGATAGAACATCCATGAAAATCACCAAAAGACAATCGAATTCGCATAAAACGATCCGCGAATGGATAGAACATGGAAAAACATGAAACAAAAATCCAAACTAGATACTATACAGTAGATAGAACATCCATGGATTCAATCCGACCTCATCTTCCGATTTTTCACATCTCCAATTGTTGGCTGCGCTGCGAGGTGCAAGAACTGCAAACGCAGCTTCGAAGGACCGAAGCGCTACGGGAGCCTGGCGCACCCAGGGGCTGAAATTTCTTTGGAGTTTAGGCAGAAACTGAAAGTTCGTGCTTTGGCAGCCGAAACCCTGAAACTCGAAAGAACATTATGGATTTCAGATCCCCCAAACCATGCAGGAAACAACAACAAATATTTATGGTTTTATTAACAGTGAATATTATAAGTATATTATCCCCAAAGCATCCTCCAAGATCCTCCAAGAAATTGCTGGCCAGTGGCCTCTTTGGCTGAGGCGCGACCAAGGCGAGCTGCAGCGCGAGTTGGTACTTGCCTCACTGGGTGGCTCAATGGTTAGTGCGGCAAGTCCCAATTGTTTCTTTCAGTATCTTTCAGTTATGTAGGGATATATACAGGGATATTAGGGCCCAGAGTAGGCATGATTTTGGGCATTTTGGAAGTTTTCGAAGCATCTCCAACCGTAATGCCATGTGTTGGTCTGACATTCGCCACGCAGCTGCTTGGCCGCGAAGCTGCTTGGTACCCGTTTGGTATGAAAGAGGGCAGACATCCAAGCTCCCCCCAACTGAGGGTATAAACTCACCACTAGTGGGACAATAGTCAGGGAAGGTACAGGAGTTCTACCAAACGATCAATGGCTGTTGGAAAACTGAGGCTTAGATCCAACTTATCCATATACTTGTCATCTTTTTCAAGCTGATTCTATACAACAAGTTTTCCAAACCAAATCTGAAACTGGAATACCAACGCTGTGCCGGGCGTCCAGCCATGAAGCGGGTCTGTCTCATCCGCCACGGGCACAGTGAGCACAACTACTCCACCACGAAACGCTGCTCGGCTGAGGGGGACGTTAGACCCTTCGTGAACCCCATAGGATTGAACAATCGACTGCACTAGAGATGATGTGGAGGGGAAGTGAAATTGGCTGCTGGTTACTACTGTAACTCACCCTTGGTGAGTGGAACTGTTTTGCCATTTGGTAAAACCTTTCCTAACTGCTTGGGTGCCCATTTCCTTGCCAATGCGCCAGTGCTTACATTGCAATGCCCCATGGTTGGTCAAACTCCATGTTTTTTCCTGTTCGTGATCACATTTGCTAGGTTTTGTGCGAAACAAATTCATGTCCAAATATTTTGGGTGGACTAAATGACTCACATGTCTAGTTTAATGGAACCATCAAAAATCAATCAGATGAAATTATTACATCAAAATCAGTCAAACTCCATTAAATTCCCATATCCAGTTTCGATGGTTCCATTCCCGATCTCCACCTGAGGCGTGTCGTGGCTGGGCGGTTTGTTCCTCCGCGACTCGCCGCTGACGGCGCTGGGCCGAAGCCAGGCGAGGCGCCTGGGCGACGAGCTGCCGGGAGACGCAGCTGGATGGTGATCCAACCGGTGACCTGAAAAGTATCAGTGAAATCCTGTCCAGAGATGGCTAGGTGGGTGGAGCGATTCGGAGCTTCTATCCATATTCACTGGCTTCGCCACGCTACTATGCACATGAAAAATATGAAAATGGTTGCTGAATCTAAAGCTTGAATTGCTGACTGATCGACAGAAGGAGCATAGCTCAAAATCATCCTGGGTTTAGAATGTTTTACCAATATGATCCAATATGACTATGACCAACCCTTGGGATGAAATCTCCCACGATACCGACCGGTACTGACCCCTGGTGCTGAGGCGCTCGGATGAACAGCATCCCCTGCGCCAGGTGGAGGCGCGCGGCTGACACTTGCAGTTGCAGGACATTCTCCAGGTATAGGCGTCTCATCCCAACTTATATCCATCAACATGCACCAAACCAACACAAGTTAGTATATATTATAAAAATGTATAACTTAAATTACATCTATATGACCAAGATTCCTAGATGCACCAACATGAACATTCCCTCATATTGACCATTACCTAAAGATTTTGGCCATATTTCACAGGGTCGTCCAAAAGCTCCATTTGACATCATTCAGAAAATCACTTTTAACTGTTGGAATTTAGGTCATTTTTTCTGTAGCAGCCTAAACTATTGTCTTGTATAGTGACCCAATGAAACGCACTTTTTTCAACACATGTAAATACTGAAGTCAATTACGCGCTCCAGAGCGCGTAATAATGACGCGCTCCGGAGCGCGTAACAATGACGCGCTCCGGAGCGCGTAATCCATTCAAATAAAGTTCAAAACCATTTAGTACCAGCCTAAGCTATTGTCTCGTATGCTGATCCCATGTAATTAAATGAAACGCACTTTTTTCAACACATGTAACTACTGAAGTCAATTACGCGCTCCGGAGCGCGTAATAATGACGCGCTCCGGAGCGCGTAATCCATTCAAATCAAGATCGAAGCCATTTAGTAGCAGCCTAAACTATATTGTCTCGTATTGGTGATCCCATGTAATAAAATGAAACGTACTTTCTTCAACACATGTAAATACTGAAGTCAATTACGCGCTCCGGAGCGCGTAATCCATTCAAATAAAGTTCAAAGGCATTTAGTACCAGACTAAGCTATTGTCTCGTATGCTGATCCCATGTAATGAAATGAAACGCACTTTTTTCAACACATGTAAATACTGAAGTCAATTACGCGCTCCGGAGCGCGTAATCCATTCAAATAAAGTTCAAAGGCATTTAGTACCAGACTAAGCTATTGTCTCGTATGCTGATCCCATGTAATGAAATGAAACGCACTTTTTTCAACACATGTAACTACTGAAGTCAATTACGCGCTCCGGAGCGCGTAATTATTACGCGCTCTGGAGCGCGTAATTTGTTCAAAGCATTTCAAAGCCATTTAGTACCAGCCTATAGTATTGTTTCGTATATTGACCCACTGTAAGAAAAATGTACTATTTATTCAATACATGAAGTCAATTACACGCTCCGGAGCGCGTAATAATTACGCGCTCCGGAGCGCGTAATTTGTTCAAATAAAGTTCAAAGCCATTTAGTACCAGCCTGTAGGGCCTATATTATTGGACCCAATGTAAGAAACATGTACTTTATTCAATACATTTAAATACTAAAGTCAATTACGAGCTCCGGAGCGCGTAATCATTATGCGCTCCGGAGCGCGTAATTTGTTCAAATAAAGTTCAATGCCGTTTATTACAAGCCTAAACTATTGTCTCGCATGTTGATCCCATGTAACTAAATGAAACGTACTTTGTTCAACACATTCAAATACTGAAGGTGTAATTTACTTTAAATGGCATTCAAAACCATTTAACATCAGGCTACGGACTCCATATACCAACATCTTTGTTGGGGCCCTTGGGCTCAGATATGTTTAGATTCAGATTCATTCCGCAGCTTGATGCTACCATTACTGTGGGCATGTACATGCTCACTTTTATGAAAGCAGTAATCTACTTGTCTAAGTATGTTTTTTCAAATTGTTTATCATTTTTTGTTGGTGGGAAATGGAGACACTATAATGTCACGATTAAGTGTGGTTACATGGACTCGCCATTTTCTTCCATCTCCACTCCCTTCTATTGCCTGTTTGGCGCTGATGGTGATGTTTTGCATTTAGGGGAGGAATTGTCCCCACATGATTCCGCAGCTGGATTGGATCAGCCATCAGCTTCGATTGGCGGTGGAATCTTGGCAAAACACAAATCCACTCAATAAGGGAGTTAGGAAAAACCTAACTCCCTTGTTGAGTGATTCAAGTTGAATCACTCAAGAGGGTAGTTACGTTTTATCTGACTCCCTTGTTGGGCCCTTTGTGTTCCAATTGATGTCACCTATTCAACAAGAATTACTCAACAAGGGAGTTAGGTTTTTCCTCACTCCCTTGTTGACCCGTTCGACGCGAATCACTCAACAAGGGGGTTAAGTTTTTCCCTACTACCTAATTGAGTAGATTTCACTCATTGCCTAGGATGCCCGTTCAAGAAGAATCACTCAACAGTGGGGTTCGGGCCAATCCCCGTTCAAGAAGAATCACTCAACAGTGGGGTTCGGGCCAATCCCCGTTCAAGAAGAATCACTCAACAGTGGGGTTCGGGCCAACCCCCGTTCAAGAACAATCACTCAACAGTGGGGTTCGGGCCAATCACCGTTCAAGAAGAATCACTCAATAGTGGGGTTCGGGCCAATCCCCGTTCAAGAAGAATCACTCAACAGTGGGGTTCGGGCAATCACCGTTCAAGAAGAATCACTCAACAGTGGGGTTCGGGCCAATCCCCGTTCAAGAAGAATCACTCAACAGTGGGGTTCGGGCCAATCCCTGTTCAAGAAGTATCACTCAACAATGGGGTTCGGCCAATCCTCGTTCAAGAAGAATCACTCAACAGTGGGGTTCGGGCCAATCCGCGTTCAAGAAGAATCATTCAACAGTGCGGTTCGGGCCAATCCCCGTTCAAGAAGAATCACTCAAAAGTGGGGTTCGGGCTTATCCCCGTTCAAGAAGAATCGCCCAACAGTGGGGTTCGGGTCAATCCCCGTTCAAAAGGAATCACTCAACAACGGGGTTCGGCACTGAACAGTGGGGTTCGGCCAATCCCCGTTCAAGAAGAATCACTCAACAGTGGGGTTCGGGCCAATCCCCGTTCAAGAAGAATCACTCAACAGTGGGGTTCGGGCCAATCCCCGTTCAAGAAGAGCCACTAAACAATGGGGTTCGGCCAATCCCCGTTCAAGAAGAATCACTGAACAGTGGGGTTCAGGCCAATCGCCGTTCAAGAAGAATCACTCAAAAGTGGGGTTCGGCCATCCCCGTTCAAGAAGAATCATTCAATAGTAGGGTTCGGCCAATCGCCGTTCAAGAAGAATCACTCAACAGTGGGGTTCGGGCCAATCCCCGTTCAAGATGAATCACTCAACAGTGGGGTTCGGGCCAATCCCTGTTCTAGAAGAATCACTCAACAATGGGGTTCGCGCCGTTCCGCCTTCAAGAAGAATTGCGCAACAAGACAATAGTTTAGGCTGGTACCAAATGACTTTGAACTTGATATGGTGAATTATGCGCTCCGGAGCGCGTAATTTATTTTAATATGTTTGTTGGATAAAGTAGGTAGGCTTCATGTCCACAATGGTTTAGGCTGGTACTAAGTGGCTTTGAACTTTATTTGAATGAATTGCGCGCTGTGGAGCGCGTGATTTAGTTTAACTGTTGTTTAACAAATCGAAAGATACAGGAAGTTTCATGGATTCCATGAGGATTCCATGAGGTATAATATATTTGAGTTGATAGCGTGGCCTGGTATTCAATGGTTTTGACTATTGTTTAAAATAAATTGCACACTCCGGAGCGCATAAATTATTTGATTTCAATAAGGCCCAAAACAAATGAAAACCAGGCTAAACTATTCTCTCTGATATCAATCCGATGCAAATAAAACATAATTTACTCACTCAACAAAAATACTACAGCAAATAGAGTTTCATCTCGAGGAAATCCAGTTAACTTGTCACTCCAGCCAAGCCTTCATCTTTGTAAAGCACCCTTTGGTGATCGAACTAACAAAAACTCAATAGTTAATAGGGAGAGTCCGATCTGTGTGCGAAAAAGAAATCCAGCTGATTGCCATCATTTGTTTGTTTGATTTTGTTTGTGGGACTCAGAATTTGGTTTCATCATTTGATTTTCAAGAGGGTCATTTGGACAACCCTGTTTCAACCCTCCTAGCTGTCTGCAGCCGGCAGGTTGTGATCTCCAGCCCCCTGAGCCGCGCCATCGAGACCTCTCTGCTGATTTTCGGCGAGGAAGCGCAGCCGCCGCGTGGCTCGAACCAAGGAGGAAAGGTGGCTTGATACCAAGCTGTTTGAATATTGAATGGTTCCTATTGTTCTTATGAAGCTGGACATTATATGATATCTCAAGATATATCTCAAGGAATGACAAGTTATGACAGATATAAATATAAAGTAAAAATGCAATCATTTTGAACTATGGACCAGTTTTCCAACCAACTAATTTTCGTTATTCAACCAACCAATTCTCCTTGCATTTGTGACATATCGTCACACTTTCTTTTCAGGATATTGCTGTTTGGACAAATCTTTCAGCTGCAGGTTGCATCAGTCATCTCCACACTGAGTGTGGTGCCTCATTGGACTGCACTTGCAGCACTGGGACATGGCCCGCTGGTTGTGGATATATAGCATCCCCCACAGAGATAGAAGAGTCAAATCGTACTATATGACGATTTGGGGCGATTTGGGTACTTTGTCAATTGCTTTTCTATCATTTTCTATCTTTTTGATTCTTTCTTTGGGCTTTCTTAAAGTGGAAAGGATTTCATGAAACCTTTTTTTTGAATCCGAAAATCAACGACGGTCTTCCAGGCCCTGCCTGTGAGACATCCGACATCCCAAGGCGGTGCATCTTTCCGTGTGACACTGGACGGACTACTGAGGTGGGGTGAGAAATTGGATGGTGCAGGCACTTCCCAATAGGCTGCATTTTTCTCACCGTATTTGTGTCAAAACAACTGGGACTCCTGCGGGGATGGGTCCAAGTCTGCGGCTTGAGCCAGGATTTGCTGACGAAATTCAGCTGCCTGGAGCAGTGGGAAGGTTTCTCCCAGCTGCCGGCAGAGTGGTGGCCCAAGGTGGAGGGCATTGGATGATTGGGACACTGAAGGGAGCTGGAGTTGAGTGAGGACTGTTTGGTCTTATTGGTCTTAGGTTATTAGTATTATCATGTATTATCTGATATCTGGTATATTCTGGTATTAATATTAATAATACCTGGTATTAATATTAATAATACCTGGTATTATCTGGTATACTAACCTAGTTATTAGTATTAACCTCCATAAGTTGGGATATAACCTCCATCTGGGTGCCACGTTGATGCCAGGATCGATCCATCTGGCAGGTGACGCCAAGGGATCGGGCCGGGAGACCCGGGACCCAAACAGCTACAAGTTGGGTGCCCCAACTGCCAAGGAAAAATGGTAGGAAAAATGGTTGGGTGGGTGGTTTCTAATGTAGAAATTCAATGAAATTCATCACATTCTTTCAATTATGTTGACATACCCGGCCTGGTGAACTAACAGTTTGCAATTGAAAATGGCCCAGTCGAAATAGTGGATTTTCCCAGCTAAAAATGGGTGGATCTTTCCATTGCTATGTTAGTTCACCAGGCCGGGTATGTTCAGTGAAAACTGCGAAGATGAACTGGTTTTTGATTGCAGATGTTTTGGATGAGTTCAAATGCGACATGGGCCAGTTCCACGCTCAGGTTGACGCATTTCGGCGCTACTTGGCGCAACGGTCAGAGGCTATCCGGGCAGGGTGATTTGCCTGGGATAAGGGCGAGAAATGGGTTGCTATTTAGATTCGGATCTGTTTAGTATTCATGCTTTTTTGGCGGATGGTGAACCAAATCATTTGTAATACAACATGTTTGTCAAACTTGATCATTCGGTGCTATATCAGAATGAATCAGCAGCAACATATTAATGTTTTTAGTAATATGTAATGTTAATATTACTGCGTTAAGATTTACTACTCAACAGAATGTACAGTAAATGTTCAGTCCCCAGTTGAAGGTCACTACTTGTTCACGCATTCACTGCAGGGACTGGTCCATCAGCCAGGCGGTTCTGGCGGTGGTGGGCCACGCGGGCTTCTTCGGTGAGTTGGTAGGGAAGCACATGAGCAACTGCGAAGCTCGGCAGTCCTGTGGGGGTTGCGGGTTGGGGCTGCGAAGATCTTGGGGAAATTGAGGATGTTGTTTGGACATTGGACAGATGATCATTTGATGGTTTCATGCATCTCTTCTCGAACGAATGAGACTTGTTCTATATCCTTGTCATGATCTACTTTGCGAGCTGAAGAAAACAGCGGTACAAAAATCACCCATGGTTTTCAGCCTCCCAAAGCCTTGAAAAAGAAAACTCAGAAAACTCATTCTTCTTCCATCGGTGCTTCCAAGCGCCGAAAGGAAACGCTCTGGTTGGACCTGGACCCTGCGGATGCCTCCGTGCGACCGGCCGCGAGCGTTGCTGAGGGTGCCAAGCGTGACGGAGAAAGAGCTGCGTGTGGGGGTAGCTGACCATGGGACATCGCCCACATCATTATGACTATCATAATCATACACAATCATACCATATTTCTATACATATTTCTACCATCATTAGGTATACCGCCACCATGCATCATCATACCATATATCAGTTGCAATCAAAAACGTATTTATATCATGTTGATACCATCATCATACCCTTGGTGACAGCAAAACGCCTAGGCCTTGCACCAAGCGGCCGCCGAGCATGCGCGACGGCAGCTGGCGCAAGCGCCAGGGGCACCCAGGGCGAAAGAACGTTCCCTGTTGATATGATACCATTATGGATAGTATGGATAGTATGGATGGGCTGATTTTGTTAATTCTTACACTTAGAATATTTGTTTACAGTTAAACAACATATGATCATGACTATATACATGTGGATATATCATGAATTGTTTTATGGATATCTATGGAAACTTATGGGTGCAAGAATGGATATGGCGGTGGAAACGTGGGAGTTTAAATGTATGGTTGAGCTTTCGATCATGGCAACATCTTTCAACCTCCCAGACACTTGGAGTATCGCTGCTCACTTCACACGGCCTTGCCCAGGCGACGCGAGGGGAAGGACTGCCGCGGAGGGAAAGACCTCTGACATTCTCCTGCCCCGATCGATTTTCTCTGCATTAAACACGTCAACATGTTTTTTTTTCAGTAGATTCTTCAATCATATTCCAGCCATTTCTCATGGTTTTTTTCTGGTTCAGCCACTGGCAGCTCCACCTTCCGAAGGATCGGGAAGCCCTGGAACAGGAAATCCACGAGCTCCGCCTCGAGCTGACGCAGGTCGCTGTGTGTGGTCAGTGGATCCAAAAAAGATTTCGGAGAAATTGGCAAATGCCCTTTTTTTTCGTAACACCTTGGCCTACACATCCAGATTTTTTATGTTTGTCATAGAGTCATATCCATTATCACATCCGTTCATACTGGCTGTTTTTTGTACATGTTCTGGTGGATTGTTGAGGATCCGTAGGTATCTGATATCCAAACTCACCTGGTTTGAAGAAGTCGCGGTAGCACCGCTGTGCCAGGCCAAGAATACCATGCAAATCCGCCTGCGCGAACAGGAGGTGGGAGAGATGCACCTGGGGTTTCTGGAGATATTTGTTGATTCGGAGGTAAATAGTTCCCAGCCAGCCCAGCCATCCATGTTTTTGTTGGGATAGATTCATCTTAAAAGCCATACTTTTATAGGATTGTGGACCATTTTTGGCCATCCATGTTGGATTCTTTTGGCCCGGTGAGTCGTTGAGCAGCTGTAGGCAGAGTTCCAGAAGCAATGCCTGGAATTGAGAGCCACCAGACTGGAGGAGGCCAGCTGGGGAGAGGGTGCAGATCTTGGGGTGAGGTGATGAACGAAAAAACCGTCGAAAATAAGAAGGATTGTATAAGAACATTAATATTGTAATACTCATTAATCTGGTGGATTATACTGTACTCATCAATTTGATACTGATATCAACATAAATATACGAAAAAAACATGAAGTGATAATAGGAAGGAACATTAATACTGTAATACTCATGAATTTGGTGGTGACGTCTCTGTGACTTAGAAATTCACAATAAGTCGAATCAAGAGAAGGAGGAAATGGGGCTGGTAGAAAAAGGAAGGGTTCAACAAAAACCATGGGAATCAGGAAGAAAATCATGGAGGAATTCAGTACTCAAAGGGACTAAGTTTCCAACCTGAGGGATTGGTACTTGTTTTAGGAATCTTTCGGTGAGCCCAGTAGGATGGCAACCACCCAGACGCCGTTGAAAAAAATCCCCAGGAGAAGCGCCAGCGCCGGGAAGATGCCAGGAGGCGACGACGGCAAGTCAACTGCGATCCATTCAGAACTGGTGGCAGTCGGACTGATAGGACTGGTATGATAGATGAAGATTGGTATAATATACTGATATAGTATACTGTGGTATAGTATAATATAATACAATATGTGTTGGTATAGTGATTATTATTATATCTGAAGGTTAGGATGATGCAAGATCCAAATAGCGGCAAGGACTGGTATGTAGCAGCTGTGAGCGCAGTGGATCCCGCTATGCTGGAATGCTATGATGGGTAGCCCGCTCCAAAAAAGCAATAAATTATAACCAGGGTTGGCCTATTTAACCAGGGGTTTGTGACGTATCCAAATTGGATCTTGGAAACTATATTGAATTCTTCAGAAACCATATTGAGTTCTTCAGGAACTATTTTGGATTTGGGACAACTATGAGCTGTGACTGTGATTGAGACTTAACTTATGCATCGGAAGCTGCACATGATATGTGCATGATACTTGGGAATGCTTTCCTACATCTGAATATTGCATACCGCCACATGGCTAGATACATGTTCCTGGCTTCTGCGCTTCTGAATGGCCGAGCATGCGCGGTTGTACACTCTACTATATTACTCAAAAACTGATAGATATACTATAATGATTGTAGCAATATTTTTGTTTAAAAACATGTTATTACTGTTACTATCATACTAAACGGTTTTTCAATTTGATAACCTGACACCTTTGACAAGTCATAAGTTTGAAATCTGAATCGGAACTATTTTTCCTTTTCAAAACCACCACGTATCAAACCAACTGCAAATTCTGAATTTTACATAATAAGTTGGATGAAATAACCTAACAAATCACACACAAATTGTGATACGACACGGCCTCGCTGGCAGAATGGGGTACGGAAAGCATTGACGACATACAACGCACAATGACAAGCAACATTTCATCCAAAATTGAACTGGGCTGTACCCGCCTGAATTGTGAAGATGCCTCTGTTATTAACTTTTGACCATTCGCGACTGACATGATTGCTGCACGGTTTGTTACGACCTGTGATCTATGTGACATGTGAGGAAGAGCCATGAGCAAGGATGACGATGATGACCATGAGGATGAGGATGAGGATGAGGGTGAGAATGATGATGATGATGATGATGATGCTGATGATGCTGATGATGCTGATGATGATGATGATGTGGTGATGTGGTGATGTGGTGATGTGGATCAAAATTCAAGTTAAGTAAAGGAAACAACAGGTCAGATCGGAAGGCCAAAGTTGGAAGTTTAGAGTTTCTAGCTTTCAGAGTCGGCATGGGGCTGTTTTTGCTCACCCCCAACCACAGAACTGGCGTACCCCATGTGCTGGAAAGTGATGTTTAGATCAAAGTGGGGTGTAGTTGAAGATGTTCAGAGGGCATGCGAATTTGAAGATTGATATTTGCCAGGCAGTTAGTGCATTCCAATATAGCCCGTGAGATTCTCCATACAGTTCCTGAAGTTTTCCATATAGTTCCTGAGATTTTCCATATAGTTCCTGAAATTTTCCGTATAGTTTCTAGCCAATTTTTTGCAATTTTCAGACCCCAGGAACGGTCGCGACGGTTTCTGACGGTTTCTACGGTTCCATTTTTGGGCATTGGAGGGGTATGGTTGACATGTGGCTTTACGGGGCCACAAATTGAGCCGGAAGAGCTTTGAAGAGATCCAGGGATACAGACGCCGTTTGGGCATGGAAAACCAGATTTGGAATTTGCCTGGTTTTTGGAATCAAGGTGCACGTTGATTCAATTCACGGGGCCCTCCTTCCCTGTGCTGTTTTTTCCGGGTGACTCCCCACAGCTACACCAAGAACATCGATGATGCATTTCTTTCATCACTGGCAGGAACCAACTTGCAGATTTGTTCATGTTGCTGATGATTTCCATCCCACCCATATTCTTAAAGGAATTTTGGGTAGGTTGTTGTGGGCTATACTATTTTGGCTATACCACTGAATTATGGTAAGTACTATATTCTGCGGCCGCGCCAACGCATATATCAAAACAACTTTTAAAGCACGCCGTACACGAAAAACTTACAACTTGTAGCTTTTAGCTGAAAATTTGAAACTAATATGTTTTGAAAAAATATTTGGATCATAGATAAAACGAGAAACAAACATATGATTTAGGGGTCAGGACCGTTCCGTGCTACAAGGCAGAAACCGTCGCGACCGTTCCATGCCATATTCAAGATTACAGTCGGAAACCGTCGCGACCGTTCCATGCTATAGCCCTTAAAAAACGGATATAGTCCGGAACCGTCTGCGACCGTTCGGAACCGTTCCTGGAAACTGCGAAAAAGATATAGTGTAGGAACCGTCGCAACCGTTCCACGCTGTATTCAAGATTACAGTCGGGAACCGTCGCGACCGTTCCCGCAAAACTGGATTCTTGCGTTGTCTTAGCCTAAATATATCAATATCTATGTCTATATGTATTTATATTTTGCATTAGAATATGTATATATATATATATACATACATAAAATTGTTACATATGTATTTTTATATCAATACAACACATCATTATATGTGTATACAAGTATATACATACGTTATATCATATCTTTTGAAAAAACTACCTAGTTATAGTTTAGAACATAAGCCGGCTATTTATAATTCTATGATTTTGGTTCCAACATCATCATTGATCCTGTGGTTTGGGGTATGAATGCCAACACCTCTGTAAGTGTTTGTGCCAACTTAAAAGGCTGAACCTAAGTGCAATTCTTTCAGCACAACCCAGTTTTTTCAAGTTCCTGCATTTCTTGCTTTTAGTTCCAACATATTTGTTTATAGTTCCAATATTTTCCCATATAGTTCCTATATTTTCCCATATAGTTCCTATACCCAGGGTGGCCACACACAAATAGGCCATCACTGGTTATAAGCAATAAACGTTAAACATGGAACGGGTAGGAACGGTGTTTTCTATTGATGTTGATGTTGATGATGTTGATATTTATATGTTGATGGTATACCATTAAATAGTGTGGTATTGTCGATGATTTTGCGGAGGAAATGCGCTTCGCATGGGCCTTCCATCCTTTGATTTTCAGACGAAGCCCTTGGACCCGGGGGCCATAAATTTTTGGCAGGTCCCCTGCGCTGACCGAAAGGGCCACTGGAGGCATGGGGTGAGTTCATCTTCGTTACAGTTGTGTGGGCTATTGAAGACTATATAGATAAAAAAAGGGGGAAAAATATATGTACCATATCTATCCATATATCTATCCATATCTTAATGATATACAGTTTAGAATTCTATTTCCGTCCATCCTTGAAGTCCCTGTATTCCAATGGATCTCCAATGGATCCCCGCTTGGATTATCTAAAGTGACTTATCTCAGCCATGCCAGGCGCCGAGATCTCGAGAATAGAAGGCCGTTCGGATTTCCAATGGATTTTCCATGTATTTTTTGAGAGCAACGATGTTCCGACATCTATAAGTATACCATATCTACATACATCATGAGATATTGTAACTGATTATTCCTGAGATTTATAAGTCTATCCATGTATCTAGTTGTGAGTTGTGGATGTCATGGCTGGATAGTCCAACATCCCAAAGATAGACTGCTGGCACCATAGCGGTGACTGTTAATGGCCGAGGTTCTCTCGAGGACGTGTCCATGTTGTCCGAAGGCGGGGAAAGATTTCAGCGAAGTCAGCAACAAGTGGTGTGAACCATATCATTGTTCCGACATAGCCAGAAGAATGGCATATTTTGGATTTATTTTGCTGGTTCTAAACATATTTTTTCGTCATTTCGGATGATTGGCTGTTTGTTCTCATGATTTTCCATGTGTTTTTCGGAGGTTGGGCATTGCCGTCCATTGTCTGCGTCATCCTTTCCAGACTTGACCTGAAGCAGTCTTAACAGCCTCAAAATCCCAGCCAAGCCAGCTCCAGAAAATACACAAACTCAATCACTTTCACAGCTGTAGAAAAAAGCAGAACAGAATAGGTTCTCAATAAGAATAACCAAATATTCAAATATATCTATCCAAATATCAATCCATATCATATTTTCCTTCCAAAAACGTCCCAACCAACGAAGGTAAGCAGTCGGCTTGGGCGTCCCTTCGCCCCCATCCCATCTGCAGGTGCTGCTGAGGCCATCAACAAGTTGGGTCGCCCCAGTGGTGCACGTTTCACCTGGAGAAGTTGGGTGAAATCCGATGAAATGATTAAAAATGGTTACTGAAAATGGTTGTTATTGAAGTCTGATGAAATTATTGAAATTAGTTGAAGTATTGAAACGCATGATTGAAATGAAGCTTGAACATGGTTCCATTGTTTTGCAGCTTGATTCAGGGGATGGTTGTTCATTTGATGTCATGGTCCGTGATGGACGCACGGCCAACTGACCTCCGACATGATATGGAGAGGTAATTACGGAAAGTGGGAGTGTTTGAAAATAAGGCAGACCGGTATACACCCGTGAACATTTCGGTGTTGATAAGGCAAACACATGAATAACCAGTGGATTTACCCTTTGGTTATTTAACATAGCCATGGAGAATCATCACTTTTAGTAGGTACATCATCTATAAATGGTCATTTTCCATATAGCTATGGTAAATAACCAGAGGGTAAATCTATAGATGGGATAAGATTATTCCAATTATTAACCATGATTATTCATTATTCACATTATTCACCATTATTCACCATTATCAACCATCATTACAGATATAATCCGACACAAAATGTAGGGTAACTATCATTAACCATAGATTCTCCACATATTAACCATAGATTAACCATTAACCATTAACCACGTGTTTTTTAAACTGTGATATTTGGACAACCACGACACAAGCTACTAAACTGCTATATTCCCACCTCCAGCAGCCGAAGCATCGCCCAGTCGCCCAGGATGAAGTTGTTGGAAGATCAGCTCCGTTCGTGGCAAGGTGACGGTAACGGACATGGGAAGCATCCAATGTCAGCCGATTGGAGACAGGATGTGTCGATGAAATCATGGAGATTCCACAGGTGTAGCTCGAACTCTGAGTTTTTTCACATGTTTGTGCATTCCCTTGGTGGTTAGTTTGTAATTATATGATATATTATATCTGGTTGGTGGTTTGGAAGATTTTTATTTTTCCATATATTGGGAATGTCATCATCCCAACTGACGAAGTCCATCATTTTTCAGAGGGGTTGTTTTACCACCAACCAGATAATATAATATATAATGAATTATCATAGATTATAATATATATATATATTATATTATATATGTAATATGTTCCCTTGGTTGATAGTGAGTTGCCGATTTCCCAGTGGTTTTTCACCATCCCAGGGATGGACCACGACAAGTCCGGTCGGCCTAACGCGTTTTCGCGTTCTCGGGGGACCTTGGTGGTGTCGTGGTAGGACAGTTGGAATCTGAGGTTCTGTACCATAAAACTATGAAGGAAAACCATGGTAAAGCCATTTGAGAACAGAAAAAAAAGGGGATTGAAACCACCAACTCAATCTACTGATATACGGATGAAAGGTAAGGAAGTCACTGACTGACCAGTTGTGGATTACAATAGTGTAATACTGAACCATTGGGCATCCTGGACATCCTTTTTTCTGGCCTGTACTTGTACTTGTACCAATTTGCAACCTCTTTGTTGGTCAATACTATATTTTTTGTTTCCCATCGTAGAATCCCAATCTTTCTGTCATCTTCACCGCCAATTTTCCTTCATTGAGCTCCCACTTTTAGATCGTTGAAACACGGGTTCCTGCCTTTTCATTTCCTTTTTTCAGATCCATGATTCCGGAGGCTTCAGTCATCGATAATGATTTTGAACTCATTTGGCTATGGGTCAAAAGCTTGTACCCCTTTTTTGTTCACATCAAGTCATAGCTGGGTTAAAATGGATGTGAATAACCCACTAAAAATATGGTATTTTCATAGGTATTGATCCATAGTCATTTAACCCCCCATTTCTTGATGGTAAAAAACCCTTGCCTTCTATGCTGCTTCTGAGGTCGCTGATCACGGGTGACCCGGGTGCACCGGCCGGTGGAGGGACCGCAGTGGTGTCGGAACGGCCTGAGGTGAGGGGTTGGATGGGGCGCTTGGACATGGAAACAAGGGCGGATTTTTTTTTTGGTATTCCTGGAAAATATCGAAACATATGTACAACATATATAGGTTTTAGATGGTTTTAGGATCTCATCTGCAAGAATCGGATTTTAGATGGAAGATGTGGGTTTTCACCCGCAAACATGGGGAGTTTGACCCGTGTGGGTCATGGGGATCTCTCTTGAACGGCTCCGGGAAGGAGCCCTCACTGGATGGGGTGAAGCCACCAACCAGACCTTTGTTTTAGGTGCCTCCACCATGAGTTCGCACAATCTTGCCTTTCCACAAAAAGCCAACTCCCGCAGCGTTTTGGGTCCGGGGGTACCTTGGCCAAAAGCCTTGCGTCTGGGCGTCACTGCTCCAAGAGAAGATGGAATTCGATGTAAGAAGTTTGGTGATCTACGATGAGGAGCTGGAGGGGGTGGCAGCTGTCTCCATCCCGAATGTGAATGTTCAAACGGTTTTGGTTCCAAACCTCAAAGTGGAATGCGATGTTGTGTACGTCCTTGTGCCTGCCAGCCAGCATCCCAGTCAAAGCCACTGTCGTGGATCACGAGGAAAAAATGAACGTCAGAAATACAGCGCAAAGCGGACCTATGTTCGTCCTGAGTCGTCCTGAAGTTTGGTGGTACATCCTCAAGACTTCAGTTCATAGTGATGGTGGAACAAGATAATTATATAATATCACAACAGCAGAATCATGCAGACTCATATTCCAAGTAGTCACCACTATTAGTATGGTCCAACCAGCAATCAATCCTCCAGGACGGCTTCAATCCAACAGTCCTTGAAGTCAGAGAGTTCCACGTGGCAAAAGCATTGCTGGAAGGACAAGAGGTGCTTGGAGCAACTGCCTGGGATGCGTTGGTTTCCTCTACAAACAATCCTGAACTTTCTTCACCACCATCACGGGCTGATAGATGGATATGATGTCAATTTGTATCAAATCATTGTTTTAGACCCAGCAACAAGCCAGGAGCCTTTGGGAGAACTGGTGCCGTCTCAGTGGGGCTTGGTGCATCTCTTTGATCTCTGCCTTTGGTTCGGCCACATCGACACTGCTCTGGCCTTGGCAAATGGTGGTGTGAAGGGCTGCAGCTTGGAGGATCACCACCTGGGAGCATTGCCAGACGCCAGCGATGTTGAACAAAGGGAGTTTAGGTGGTGTGGCTGCAATGGCTCGGAGCGCTGCAGCACATGCTGCTGGGCTTTCCCTTTTGAGAATGGCGTTTGGATGAAGGATTGGGATGCGCCTCTGGATGATGCCTCAGGGGCTGCATGGGAGGCAGCCAAGATGCCCCTCGTCAGGGGCATCCTGGACATCTCCTGCTGCAACGACCCGCTCCCCTTCGCCATGTCTGAGGCGGCGGCCGCGCGGCTGCTGGACATCGCCATCTTGTGGGGCAATGTCGAGGCAGCGGCCAACTTGGCCAAGACCCACCAAGCTCGGCCGCTCCGCCGGTGGTGCGGAAAGGAGATATATAGTTTCGCGGCCTTGTGGGATGAAGACTTGGCCGAGTGGAATCCCACATTTTCTGCCGCCACATTTTCTGCCGCACTATGTGCAGGCGCAGATTTTGAGGGTGTCCACACGGATGTTTGTGGGTCAACTTATGCAGAATCAATTGATGTTCCGCTTCTCCGAGTTTTGCCCCTACACTTCGAGCCAGAGGACTGGCAGCATCTGGAGCAGGTCTTCCCATCGGAGAAGAACCAGTGGCCATCCCGCGACGTGAAAGTGGGTGAGCTGTTTCTGACCCGTGAGTACGGTGAGGATGTCCTGCGGAGCGTTTCGGTGCAGAGAGTCCAGAATGCTTTGAGGGCAGGCTGGGATCTGAAGTACATCTGGATGGAATTTGACGCAGCAGGACGCTGGTATGCTGCCGGTCTACTGGACGTGGAGGTTCTGTGTGGTCAGCAGGAATGTGCAAGTGCTCTTGGGTCCGCCGGTGTCGAACTGAGGGAGGATTGCCTGGACTTGCACAGACTGGCGTTTCCCAGGGATGGGCTGGAGGCTTTGCGGGGCGGGCCAAACTGCTTGTCGGCCAGGGTGAGTTTCGGTTCAGCCTCTGAGTGCAAGTGCGCGGCATCTGCAGCAGCGCATGCATTTCTCATGAACTCCTTCAAGCGCGAAGGCGTCGAGAAGGGGATCGCCCTCTACCAGACCTTGGCCAAAAAGTTCCACCCCAGAGGTGTTCCACTAGCCTTGGTGCACGACATCTTGTCGTTCTCCATGGAAGCTCCCAAGATCTTGGACCAGTTGGATCTCTGGGACGAGGTCAGTGGTTGGATGCCTTCAGTGCAAATTGATACAGATGGAGATGACAAGGCATCTCTGGTGGAGGATTCGGAAGTTGAGGAACAGCAAGGTTCCGAAATCGCCCAAGAGCCAGGTACTCTGAGCATTTGCCAGGTGTTTTTGTTTCCTTTTGGCAAAAAGACTAGCGAAATCTTGCGAAATAGATACATTGAATTTATTGCAGCTAGTCGTCATCTTGGATTGTAGTCTTTATTTTAAGGTGCCCTCCAACACCACACGTTGGCACATCCTGAGGCACACCATGGGCCGAGCTGAGATCCGAACCCCCTGAAGCGGACGTGAAGACGACGGACGACCTGATGACAGCCCTGCAGTTGAGCCGCGATCAGGTCCCAGTGCTCAACATGGACGGGGTCTGCGTGTTGCTCGGTATCTCACCAGGTTCAACATGGTTCAACAAAGTGGTTCTAGGAGTGGAATGTCATAGGTCGTTTCACAAGCCACAGGTCGTTTCGCAAGCAACAGAAACGTGGTCCTACTTACAACATCTTACAACTGGTGTCGTTGATCTGCGATTCAATTCTATAGTCTATAGATGTCTATAGTCTATAGATGTCTATAATGATTTTGGCTTTCTGACAATGACCCGGCCAGATTGATGTTTCATCCTCGTTGTCGCAAGCAAGTTTTGGATGGCCACCCAAGGAGATCAACTCATGCGAGCCTCTGAGCAAGAATGACTGATAAACAGATTGTTAACCCAGTGCGTCCCCCACGACGTGGTTTTGGAGAGTTCCAAGGGTTTGCTGCCTCCTTAATTGGCTCATGTGAGGTTCCGGCTGACCCGAATGGCGACGTCCGAGCACGTGGCCCGGGTGCTGTTGGATGCCACCGGGCCCTTGGCGGAGCTGCACCATCGTGTCCTGGAGGCCGGCTGCGAGGTAGACCCGGAGTGGAAGCTGGGCATCCAACAGCGATTTTTGATTGAGTTACAGTGCTTTCGGGATCTCAATGATTCAGTAGATCGACAGCCTGTAGAGAAACCACTTGGTGAATGGTTCTGGGCTGGCTTACAATCACTTAAACATACTTAAACTAATTGAAGCGAATTCAGCTTTGCAATGCTTGACATCTGAGGAAAGGACATCCCTCATGTCCCTCATGTGTAAGGGGATAGCGTGACAAGCCGCCAAAAAGTATGTCCAGGCCCCAACACATTCCTTCAGATTTAGATTTCAATTTTCTTATATCATTATAAATTATATACCCAACAATCAAACGTAGGATTCCGACTTTGAACAATTTTGGAAGTCTATTCCATTCCATTCTGGTGCTTTCCAAAAGACATGGATGACATGGCCTGTCTTGAGACTTTTTGAAGCATCTCAACATGTTGTCAACCACCGCAGCTGCGCTGGTTGTGCCGACGCTGAGGAATCCGGTGAAAGCGCTGCTGGTGCCGATCGCTGAATCCCAGATGGCCGAGCTGCAGGCGTTGGCGGAACACGGCTCCCTGGCAGTGCATGTCTAAGCGGGGTGCGTCCTGGACGCTGCGGGCGCTGACGCAAACAGCACCCGGTATTGTCAAATGATTGACATGCAATGATTTCCGTTGATACTCGGTTCATCTCGGTTCAAGGTCTTGCAAGGTGGTGCCACCCAGTTTTAAGTTGGTTTTAATCTCCTATGTCATGTATCATAGACCCCGTTTATTCGAGTTATAAACCATAGTTAACATGTTAACACTTATGGGGCACCACCTTGTGCCATGAGACTCCATCCATCAGAAATTCATCCAATCGTATCCAATCGTTATCATTTCTTCTGAGGTTACGAGCTCAGCCGGGAGGACCACATTTTGGCCCTGCAGTCGGATCAAGATCTCATCACCCGGGCCTTGCGTCGCTTGACCAAAGGGCGCTGGAAAAGTGACATGGGCTGACCATTCTGGGCCTGTATGGAATTTTGTTGTAGGATATGTCCATAGAATGCGATCATCGATGATGACTTAATGCATTTTATAGAAGATATGGAAGTGCTTTGAACTTGTTTTTAATCTCTGGCCCAAGGAGTTGAGATTTTAGATCGTAGTGCTGTGGATTTGCAACGGTCTCGAGGCCAGATCTGCAACAAGAACCGGCCAAAGCTGAAGAAAGTTGGCCCAGAGGCTGTGATGCCGGGAGACGCACCCGTGGAGCAGCAGCATGATTCGGAGGACTCTTATCTCGACTGGTTTGACCTGGCTCGAGTTTTGATTTTGCTCTATTTTTTTGGCGAACAATCGCCGGGCAAAATCCACAGTTATTTATCGCATTTTTACATTGGCACAGATCGTGTCGTGGACATGCCGGGGCCTCCACGGCATTTCTCACTTGCCACTGTGCCATTCACATCCATTCACCATGTCAATGTTTCTTCAACTTGAGCATCGCTCAGGAAGATGAACCGCTGCTGGTCCTTGAGTCTGGCATCCGCACCGATTCTGACGTTGGATTCCCATCGTATCCCACCAGCTCGACAGGATGGTAGGCCTTAATTAGGACGGAGATCATACATTTGTACAGTGGCAAATAGTGGCAAGGTTTCGAAAGCCAGCTTGCAATGTTTTATATCTTCAGGATCTAAGCAACATATTTTTCTGAATTCGTTTTGCCAAGAATCAGTTCCCTTTCAAAAGTTTGCTATGCTCCACATGCCCCACTTCTGCATGGTTTCATGTATAGTTGTTGAGCAAATGGCTTTGGACCTTTGCGCGGAATCGGCTCCTAACGGTGGCACAGTGGCGTCCAGTGAGATCTTGCTTGGCAGGTGAAATGGTTGAAGCGATAGCCGATAGCCTTCATATTTAAAACGGTAGATCTTTGCAACTTCAGAGGATTTGGAAGAGTGCAGAAGCAGAATTACGCTTGCCTTCAGGTGTTTTATGCCAGGGCCACCTGGGTAAGAACTATATTTAATTTGACGATACTTTTCAAAAGTGACACTCTGGGAAAACCAGCGCACAAGAAATGGCTAAACTGGGATGAAACTCCTTGAACTGAGATCTGGATTGAATTTCATGTGATTTAAGACCGATTTGTCCAAGACGCTGATGAATCAGGGTGGATACTTGGACTTTTTCACGGCGAGGCATGTTGTGTCAGGAATTGACTGGCTTCACCCCACATTTGGACACCAACCGGCCTAGAAAATCCGCTGCTGCCCAGCAGGGTGTGGAAGCAGCTGCTTGTTGGATATCCAAGTCGTGAGCCTGGAGTCCAAGGAGAGCAGCGGCCGAAACTCCTCTGCTGTGTGCAGAATGAAGTGGAGCAGTGTCACTGGAGGTCAGTAATGACAACTGGATTTGGCTTGTTTTGTGCAAGTCTTACAACATTTATCAGATCCTAAACCTGGAAAGATGTGCAGTTTGAGTATATATTGAATAAATATGAATAAATATGACTAAATATGAATAACTAAAGGTAGCGTTCTTGGATCTCAGGGTCATATAATCATCTTGAACTTCTGTGCCAATGAAGGCACAGCCTGAGATCACCCTTTTACAAGACACACAATATTTTCGATTTTGTGGTTGAAAGATGCTCAGTAATGAACTACCAGTGAAACGCTCCTCCAACAGTCCATCAGTTTCTTAGTTTGATGATGAATTGCCTCGTCAAAGGGTTGGCAGGCGCTTGGACATCCAAGTCGTGAGCTTGGAGTCTGAAGCAACCAGGGCTGCCAGAAAAAAGCAGCGTTTCCGTCGGCATTTCCTTTGATTCACCGCAGGATGAATGGCGAAAATCATGGTGAAGCATCCAGGAACGTAAAAATATGAGAGCTACATATTGAAACAGGAGCAGGGATGAGGGGCTGTTCTATCAGTTTTTTGTTTTCTGTCACTTGTTGTTTAGATTTTCAGAATTAGTCAGCTGCGGTTGGCTTGTTCGTGTACTGCATCGTCAGACTTGGCTGTTTTATGCTGTTTCGGTGTTTGGTTTGCTTCGGCACAGCGGTGGATGGCGCTCAGGTTCTACCCAAAGGTATACAATTCGAGTTTGCGCAAGCAATTTTTGTTGGTGCTTCTGTGGTGTTGGGTTGTCACCACAATCATTCCATAAAAAGAATTGCCTTTCCGATTTTTTGTGGCTCACAGTTTTAGGGCCCCTCACCACGCAGCGGAAGCATCGTTGAGATGATGAACTTTGATGTTCGAACTTTGGTGATTTACGAAGAGGACACAGTCGGTGTTGGGGCAACCTCTTGGAAAACATCTGGCCGATGGGAACGGGAGCTTCGCACCAAAGTTCTGAAGCTGTGGGGCTTCATGGATAATCTGTTTCATGTGGGAGAAATACCGAATTGATCCAAATTCGCCTATTTCCATTCTGCAAAATGGCAGTATGTGGTACTCAGAGATCATTCATCGGCCAATGAGTTTTGAATTCTATCCATGATCTGCAGGATTCCAACGAAGAGGACGCCAGCCAAAGAGTTTTTGGAGTCAGAGAATTCCATGTGGCGAAGGCCTTGTTAGATGGTCAGCAGGACAGACTTGCTGTGAGCCAGTTTTGATCTGTTGCCGTGGTGTTGCTTCCCATCTGGAGGAAACAGGACGCAACAATCCTGACGCGCTTGCTTTTCCATGTGCTAGGATTTTGTTTGGTGAACAGTTTTGCGAAAAGAGTTGAATAGCAAAATATGTGCAAACATGCCAGACAGAGTCTTGCATAGCAACAGATTTGTGTCATTTGAACATCTGTGCTGGCGAGTGACCCTTTGCCCGTCCGCTAACCTTTGCCAGGAGCTCCTGTCAGAACTGGTGTCATCTCAATGGGGCTCAGTCCGCCTGTTTGACCTATGCCTTTGGTTCGGCTACATCGACACGGCTCTGGCGCTGGCAACAGGTGGAGTGAAGGGTTGCACTCTGCAGAGTTACCACCTGGGAGCGTTGCCAGATGAAAGCAATGTTGAACATCCGGATGCAACGGATGTGCTTCATGATCGTTGGTTGAGATGCAAGTGCCCTCCAGAGAAGACTTGCAGCTTCTGTTGCTTTGGTTTCTCTTCGGACAGCGGCATTGTCATGAAAGACTGGGATGCCAATCTGTGGGAGGCGGCTGCCGCTGCCATTCAGGCAGCCAAGATGCCCCTCGTCAGGGGCATCCTGGAGATCTCCAGCCGCAACGAGCCCCTCCCCGCCATGTCCAACAAGGCGGCTGCGCGGCTGCTGGACATTGCCATGTTGTGCGGCAACGTCGAGGCAGCGACCAACTTGGCCAAGAGCTGCCAAGCCCGGCCTTTGCGGCGGTGGAAGGGAGACGAATTGTGGATGGGTTTAAATTCATATTTGGCCAGTGCCACACTCTCCACGATTTCTGCTGCGCTTTCGGCAGGGGCAGATTTCCATCAGCTCCATACGTCGTTGTATCTACGTCGTCTTGGTCACTGCGTTCCAGTTCTAAAGGTTGTCTCTCTTCGCTACGAGCCAGAGGAGTGGCAGAAAGTGAAACAGATCTTTCCAGCAGACAAGGGCCGCTGGCCGACCGAGTACTTGGAACTGGGGCGTGTGTTTCTGTCCTTGGAGAGGTATGATGGCCCGGAAAGGTCGCTCTTGCCTCATGATACAATGCAGGCCAATGTTTCGTTGTGTATGATCCAAAATGCTCTAAGCAGAGGTTGGAATTTGGCCTTTGTTGAAGTGGGACTCGAAGAATGTTTCAACTATAAAGCCTTCAGTCGTGGAGGGACTCTTCTCGATTTGGCCATTCTTTGTGGTCAGCCGGAATGCGCCGATGTTCTTGCTTCCGCAGGGGTGGAACTGGATGCGGAGCCGCATCTGGAGAGGCGCTTGGAGATGCACAAGCAGCTTTTTCTTGGAGAGGACCTGGAAGTGGGACTCCGTCTTGATGACAAAATTTACGTAAAGCGGGGTTCCGCCATCCAGTGCAAAGCAGCCGCCTCCGCTGCAGCACGTGCATCTCTCACAAGATCATTCCAGCGAGAAGGGACCGAGAAAGGGATCGCCATGTACCAGATCTTGGTGAAAGAGTTCTACCCCAGAGGCGTTCCGATAGTTTTGGTGCACCACATCTTGAGCCTTTCGATGGAAGTTCCCGGGATCATGGACCAGTTGGATCTGTGGGACGAGGTCAGTGGCTGGACCCCATCCTGGGAGGATTCGGAAGCTGTCGGACGGCACAGTGCGGAAACTGCTCAAGAGCCAAGTGCTCTTGGCATTCGCCTGTAAGCGTTGTTGCTTTCTTTCCCCGGCCTACACAAGGAAAGCCAACTTTGTGAAGTCTACAGTGGTGTAAATCTGTAATTAGTTTGATCTTGCAGTTTGTCATCATGGCCCGAATCTGCATGTCACGGCACGTTTGAATTACGTTGAACCGCACCATTTGGCACATCCTGAGGCACATCATCCTCCCAGCAACAATCCGAACCCCCTGAAGCGGACGTGAAGACGACGGATGACCTGATGACAGCCCTGCAGTTGAGCCGAGATCAGGTCCCAGTGCTCAACATGGACGGGGTCTGCGTGTTCCTTGGGCGCTGTTGAGGCTGAGGTGGAGTGATATATGAATTCAATTGGATTCCTCACACAAATAAGCAACCATTTTTGATTGTTGAATTGGTGTTTAGGGCTCTTTTGCTTATTAAAACAGTTGTATCCGGGAGAAGATGGTTCCGCAAGTGGTGTCTTTGGACACCAGTCCAGAAAATTGCCCGTGCTGTCCTGGAGACTTGGATTTCCTGATCATTTTTGATGTCTCTCCTGCAGATTGGAAAAACGAACTCCTCTACATTGAATAACACCAGGACCCCAAAAAGGTTTTGCCAATGGCAGGAGTTTTGGACCTTTGATATTTTTTCTGCACTGGAAAGCATGATCTAAATCGGGGTTATTGAATTTTTTGGCCACATCAAAAGGCATGTGTTTTGCAGGTGTACATGTCCATAAACATTGTGAAACCCATGCGGTCTACTCGTTTCATTCTCTTTCCATGCATGTGGCGGTATGATGGATGTTTTTCCTTTGTGGTACGTTCAAGACCAACTTTTGACTGAGCAAGCAAAGCAGACAGATCAAGTCGTTTGAGCAAAGACTATGGTCCATGGTTTTTGAAGTTTAGATTTGATTCATGAACAGGCAGATGACCAACCAGCAGGTTGCGTGGAGCTGAGGTTCCGGTTGACCCGGATGGCAACGTCCGAGCACGTCACCCGGGTGCTGTTGGATGCGACTGGGCCCTTGGCAGGGCTGCACCGGCGCGTCCTGGAGGCTGGTTGCGAGGTGGACCCGGAGTGGAAGCTGATCTTACACAGGAGAAGGGTGGCACAGTTTCCAAACTGAGGGGGATTCACTTCATTCAGTTTGGAGCTCGTCTCAGACAATTTGAAGAGGGGTTTACAAGTGGAATTGTTCTGGGGAACAAAATCACCCTGACATGCTCAGTCCTCGGGAATCTGTTGGGTTTCTTCACCTTCAATCCATGTTTCTGCTGCGGACCAAGCTCATCCAACTTTGATTTTGGCTGTGCAGCAGTTGCTGAGGAATCCGGTGAAAGCGCTCTTGGTTCCGATCACTGAATCCCAGATGGCCGAGCTGCAGGCTTTGGCGGAACACGGCTCCCTGGAGGCAGTGGTGCCTGGTGGTTGGTGTTGAGCGGAATCCATCCTGGATTTCACAAAAGGTACCGTCAGCTTTCCCTGCTTTGGCGCAGTTACCTTTTCGGGGGCAAAGGTGCAACTTTCTTTTTAATGTTTCCGTTGCCTTGCATGGCTTCCATTTTGGGGCGGTTATCATAGCCTTGACATTGCTCTCATCTCCTCGCCAGCCACATCCTCTTCCTCGTCCTGCACCCGCATCCTCACAATCTTGGCCCTCATCCAATCATGGTTGCTCCATGTTGCTCCACCTCATCACCATCATCCTCCTCACAATTGTCCTGATCATTGTCTTTGTATTTTGCCTCAGTCTCAATGTATAATTTGCACCTGCGCTCAAGCAAAATTTAGTGGGTCGATCCTGCGGTATCGCTCGGCGCTCTTCCTTATCACCCACTATCACAACTACATACAACTATTGTATTATTGGTTTCCCTGCCCTTGCTCTCAATCAGACTTTCTCAAAAAATCCCAGGTGGTCAAGATGAAGAATTGAAGAAATGCCTTGTGTTTTTTTACGAAGGCGATGTTTTCGGTCAGGTTTGCATCAAAGAACTTTGTGAGAATATCAACCCTACATGATGAAGAGGCTGGGTTTTCCATGCCTCTGGTTTCGTCCTTCTTTTGCATCAGGTCACTGGCTCCACAGGACTGTGGTAAATCACTTCCCGAGGCTACGAACTCACCAAGAGGGACCACATCTTGGCGTTGCAGAGCGATCAGGATCTCATCACCAAAGCCCTGAGTTCCTTGGAGGAGATGGATTTCATATGATTTTATGGTGTTTCTCTGAAAATGATGGTCGACCATTCCGAGTTTACAGCGAGTTTACAGAAGCTCTAGTGTTTTTTTGGCTCTTGATGATGAACTGAAACCTCATCATTGACAACCATTTTTATGCTTATGCTACTTCGCTGGTCCCTTACTTAGAATGATGACTCGTTCAGCTGAAAACTTGGAGTTACACGTGGTTCTCTCTGAACGAGATACGTTTTGTGCGTGTTGACCCCTAAGTTTGAGATTGGATGACCCGTGAAAGTGTTGTTTAACATCACATTTCTTTGCTTTGATTTCAATGTGCGATAATGTACCGTATGAAGATGTGCACATTGCCACAGGTCTCTTGTTCCGGCTTGGTGACTTACTGCATCTTGCTGCTAGGTGTGTAATTCCTATTATAGTCATCCCAGAGTACATTGACGAGTGCACCATGTTATGGATGAAGACCTCCAAACTTTTGCCCCCAGCTTTGTGAATTGTGGGCTTGCAGCGGTCTCGAGGCCAGATCTGCTGGAAAAATCGGCCCAAGCTGAAGAAAGTTGGCCCTGAGATCCCAGAGGCTGCCATGCCTGGAGATGATTTGGACGACCCTCAGCACATTTGACGTTTTTTTTGGGCACGGTTCACCTTGGGTGAGGGCTGGTCGAGCTGGATGTTTCCGCAGTCGTCAAGTTTTTGTTTGTTGGGACTTGGAGTGGCACTCAACCGCGAGCCGGGGTCTTTTGGATCCTGACACTCCAAAGAAGTCTGCGAATAAAGGTCCGGTTGAACATGTTTGGGGGATTCGAATGGACTTTGATCTCAGCAATCCTCAGGAAGATGAACCGCTGCTGGTCCTTGAGAGTGGCATCCGCACGGATTCTGACGTTGGCTTCCCATCGTATCCCACGAGCTCGACAGGATGGTAGGCCTTACCGACATTTATTTGTACAGTAGCAAGGTTTCAAAGGCCAACTGCCATGATTCACCATAACTCTTCTTCCGATCAATATCCTAATTTGGAAGGATTGCTGTGCTAAAATTTTGGAGCTTCTACGGTTTTCCACAATCTTTGAAGTGGCTTCGAAACCTTGCATGGAATCCGCTTCCCATAGTGGTCAGTGATATCCTGCATAGAGGGTGAAGCGTTGTGAGGCCAGTGTGCAGTGTGCCATGTGTTTTCTGCAAACATCCACCGATGATGTCGTGATTTTCAGAAATCGCCTCCAACTCCGCTGATGCCCACAGCAGAGGGGGGTGGAAGCAGCTGCTTGTTGGATATCCTGGTCTTGAGCCTTGAGTCCAAAGTAGCGGCCGAAACTCCCCTCCGCTGCTTGCGCAAGAAGGAAATCACGCAGTGTCATCGGAGGGTTCAACACCGGTGGAGTTGGGAGGGGAGCGGATATTATGTGGGAGCCCAGACCCTTTTTGCCTGAAACCACTACATTGCAGCCTTGAGACTTGACTTTCCAAGCTTTCTGTGGTTTAAGACATGGTCTCCCTCCCTCACCATCAGTGAACCACTGCGGTCATGCTGCCCAAACTTCATTCCCATCATTGGATGAGGAACTGCCTCACAAGGACAGGCGGCTGCTTGGGCATTCGGGTCCTGAGCCCGGAGTCTGAAGCGATGCCAAAACTGTCAGAAAAAGATTGGCAGAGTTTTGGGGGAGACGGAGTTGGTATGGCATCGTCCTTGCACAACTCCAGTGAGCCTGAGCAGGGTGAAGTTGTTACATCAGCTGACTCCTCGAACTTTGCTGTCCAGTTGATTGATTTGCGTCAAAGTCAGGGACCATGACAGCATAGAGTAACAGACTGCTGGTTTCACACATCGCAAGTTGTTTGTTGTGCTGAGTCGTCACTGCAGTGAAAATCCTACAAAAGAACGACTTTCTGAATTCCTGTTGGCTCGTAGTTTAAGGGTCCCACGCCAAGCCTCGTTGAGAGCCATGAACTTTGATCTTCGAACTTTGGTGATTTACGAAGAGGACACTGCGTTGGGGCAACGATGTTGGGGCAAATGGCTGGACAATTCTCGTGTTAGATGGGAAATCTGGCCCCACCTTCAGAGTCTTGAAACCAGTCATTACACATGGGCCAGATGAAACTTGCATGGTGGCATATCATTTTGTGTGGCCCCTTCTTGATTCTTGCTTGTTTGCTTTTAATATTGTCCTAGGTTTGCTGAATTCGACCAGCTATCCATATTCCGCTGTGTTCATGGCGTATTGGGACACGTATTGCATATACTTCACACTGGTCTGGTTGTGTTTTTTCCATAGCCATTTTCCACCTTGACCTGAATCTTAGGATGCCAAGCGAGTTCTTGGAGTCAGAGAATTCCGTGTGGCCAAGGCCTTGATGGACGGTCAGCAGGACGTTTCTCAGAGTTGCCATTGCCTAACACCAAAGGGGTCCTGATACCATTGCTTCTCAATATATTTTTTTTTGGTGAAAGGGGTTAAATGGCAAAACATGTGAAACATGGAAGACTGCAAAGCAGCTGAAGTGTCTCAATTGAACGGCTGGTGAGTCCAATGGCCAGGAGCTCTTGAATCAAATGGTGTCATCTCAATGGGGCTCAGTCCACCTGTTTGACCTATGCCTGTGGTTCGGCTACATCGACACGGCTCTGGCGCTGGCAACAGGTGGAGTGAAGGGTTGCACTCTCCAGACTTACCACCTTGGAAAGTTGCCAAACGCCGGAGATGTTTGCCCACAGCTTTCTCCATGTCAGTGCACTGGCTGGGAGACATGTCTCGAATGTTGCTGGGGCTTTCCTTTGCACAGAGGAATCTGGATGAACGATTGGAACGTGCCTCTGGAAGTTGCGGAAAAAGCTGCAAGGAAGGTGGCCAAGACGCCGCTGGTCAAGAGAATCCTGGAGATCTGCAGCAATGGGGTTCTCCCCTTCGTCATGTCTGAGGAGTCAGCAGCTCGGCTGCTGGACATCGCCATTCTGCGCGGCAACGTCGAGGCAGCGACCAGCTTGGCCAAGATTTGCCAAGCTCGGCCGTTGCGCCGATGGCGTGCAGACGAGCTGCTGCCTTTCACACCGTTGGATGAATGCAGAATGTTGCCGGTGATTGTTGCTGCACTTTGGGCCGGTGCCGACTTCCACGATCTACACGTGTTGTGGCAGAATGGGAAGGGTCTCGATTGCTCGGTTCCATTTCTTCGAGCTGCACCTCTTTATTTCCACCAAAAGCAGTGGCAAGTTGCAGGGCATTTCTTCCCACAAGATAGCCAGTGGCCAAGCACAGCCATGAGTGTGGGCCATCACTTTCTCTCTGAATTCTCAGGTAGGCATGTTCGGCGCTGCAGCCTCTCCACACGTAGAATTGAAAATGCCTTGAGGGCAGGGTGGGACTTGAAACACATTTGGACTCCACTTGGACAAGGAAGATCCTCGAGTGATGTAAACCTGATGGACTTGGCAGTGCTATGTGGTCAGCCTCACTGTTCAGATCTTCTTGCTGAAGCAGGGGTCGAACTGTCCCTGGATTCTTTGGATTTGTGCAGGCTGGCTTGTCACGGAGATCGCCCGGAGCTGCATAGTCCTCTTGGTGTCGTGAAGTTGGCTTCGGCCTTCCAGTGCAAGTCCGCGGCATTTGCCGCTGCACTTGGATTTGTCATGAAATCGTTCAAACCTGAAGGTGTTGAGAAAGCGGTGGTGCCACGCCAAGTGATGCAGCCTCATCCGAGACACTTCCCAGCCGCCCTGGTGCATGACATCCTGAGCTTTTCCATGGATGCCTCTAAAAATCTGGATCAGTTGGATCTATGGGATGAAGTCAATGATTGGATGCCATACATCATTCGGAGCTTGTCTTCCAGATTTTCAGAGGCAGATGGAGAAGACACATCATGGCCAATGGATGGGGACGACGGTGGAGAGCCTACATTGGGATACACTGGGTTCACTGGCTCTTCTGAACAGTTTTTTGTTTGATGCTTGTTTGCTGGTTGCTTTGAAGTTCGTTGTAATTTGCCAGAGTTCGCTACGGGCTAGGGCTGGCAACTTTCCACTTTGAACTTTTTCCACTTTGAACTGAATTTTAACAAGTGTCCTTGGCAACCTGTTTTTATGCCAAAAAAGGGGTCTCCAGGTCACTTGTTCGAAGTCAAGAAAAACAAGTTAAAACGAAAGAACATGAAAGAACAAATCCGAAAACTAAGCGGAAATTGCCACTGAGGCTGGAGGGTTCCCAAAAATGTCACATGTTTTAGATGTTGGATCTAGCATCCTTAATTTCCCATCCAAGGCAAAACAGCGACGAAGCCGGCATTCTCTGGTGACCCCCAAAAAGGATGCGGAGAAGGACATGGGGACGCCCAGCTTTTTGTGCAAGTCGATTTTGGGGACTTCCTAAAAATGGGGGGGAGCCCGCATTAATGTACAATTCGTCTTTTTTTAGTGGGGAAGCCAATGCTTTCGTGGTCCACCACTTTAGCAAACATCCATTTGAACCTATTTGCATGGTCAAATTTCCACCAGCTTTTGGCAAACTGACATGGTGGGAACTGACACGGCAAGGAGAAACCCGTTTTTGTCTCATACCCATTTTGGCCAGGCAACATTGGTTGTGCTACAAAGAGACAATGTAGGGATCACGGGGAGTTCGCACCTTACCACGGTTTAGTTTTTGATCAGAGCAGCGAAAGGAAGATAAGCAGATACTGAATCCTTGAGCCTGAAGCAAAAGCTCTGAATCAACTTTCCCAGTACATCCGACGAGCTTGGCAGCGTGGCAAGACATTTTTTTGTATAGAAGTGCAGTTTTAAGCTGCTGTTCCAATAGCGGCTACAGTGATTCCACAAATTTTCCAGAATAATCAGTGGTTCCATGTTGTTCCCATATCCTTTGAGATGATCACTCTCTGAAAAGATGCCTATAATAGGCTATTAGGATCGTTTCTTAAATGCTGTCTGAATGTTGTCATTCCTTTTTCACGCGAATGGCCTTGGAATCTCTACGGGGCATTCGGTCCCAGAGCTGTCCGGACCTTATACAGTAGCGGTTGAAGCTGGAGGCAGCGCCAGCTGAACTAAGTGGTGGATGATGTCCCTTCCATCAAACATCAAAATCTGAGCTCCTTATGCGTGGGCCCTGCATTGGTTTCACAATGAGTTCAGCAGAGCAATAAATTACTACAACCACTGACTCAACAAGCATGGTAGATTGTAGCTCCAAGACTTTCAATCAATCAAGAATTTAAGGCTCCAGAATTTTTGGATGTTACCTAGCAACAGCATGCAACAGCGGAGCAGCGACAAAATAATGATCTGGTCGCTTGTTTTGCTCATTTTTCTCTATAGTACTTCCAAAATCCAGTGGCGCATGATCGTTTGCCTGTCTGTTTGTGAAGGTTCCAGGCACAATATTCTGCCAATTCTATTGAAATTCGTCACGGATTTGATTCACAAGCACTTTCCTCTGTCAACTAATGTTATGTCACCAAGAGTTGTCACCTTCACCCGCTTCACCGGGACATTGTCGCTCCGGCCACAGGGCGATATGCGACCCTCGTCTCAGAAGAGCTGAGAACCTCTAAGGAGGCCCCTGAATTGGTTATATATAATATATATATATAATATATATATAATATATATATAATATATATATATATAATTAACCTTTCCCAAACCAGTCCATGCAGAATTCTATTTGTTGAATCACATTCATTCCTAGATTCATTTAAAACCTGTCCTGCCAAAAGGGCCTTCAAATTAGTTGCCGTCGTATCCAGCAGGGTGTCGAAGCTGCTCCCTTAGACATTCTGGCCGTGAGCCTGGAGTCCAAGCGAAGTGGGGGAAACTCCCCGTGCTGGAAGGACGTGTGGCGCAAGTGGTGACACTTGGAGGTCCATGACCAGTGGTTGAATGAAGGGTTCACAAGTCCAAAACATAGTGACCAGCCCGCTCAGGTGGAATGCACATGGACACTAAACGTCTTCAAGAATGTTCTTGAAGCGAAACCATTGTTTTGATTCGTTCATGTCTATTGTGCTATATTGTGCTTCTTTGTTGGCTTGGCAGTATGAAGTTTCATTGAGGCAGCCTGCAGGTTGTTCGACCTGAAAATACATATACCAGGAAACATGCAGCTTGAAGCGCATCATCATTTCCGGGGCCAAAGTTTATTTGAGCCTGTTGCTGTGGTGTGTAACTCAGACAGAATCCTCATACATGATACCTTCAGTGAACCACCCGTGCCATGCTCCTAAGACTTCATCGATAACCAATTTGGCTCGAAGCTTTGACAGACGGCTGCTTGGGCATCCTGGCCGTGAGCCTGGAGTCTGAAGTGACCAAAGCTGTCAAAAAGCGGCTGACTGATGAATCTGTTGATTGACCCCATGCAAGGAACTGATTGCAACTGCTCGAAACTTGAATTTGGCACAGGTAGTTCGAGTGTCATCTATTCTTTGGCCCTTCCAAAGCATTCTTCCATTCTTATCATTCTTGCTGTCACATGCTCATCCTGGGTCAGGAGTTGGAGAGAAATGCATTTGTTATTTTTGGGCGGTTCCACCTGGTGTGGAAAAACTTTCCATGCTGTCCTCTGGCCCAATAGCTTTTTTGGGTCCCTTATCCCAGCTGCGCCGCGCCGAAATGATGAACTTCGATGTGAGAAGCTTAGTGATCTACGATCAGGACTTGGGGACAGGCAATGGGTGGCCATGTCTACAAGGTGGTGCCCCCGTTCGATAGCGTTCAGTTGATGCAAATAACCCCAATTTCACAAGGGTTTTTGTTGGTGATGTATCTACAGTTTTCATGGGATTATAAACCAACAAACATAACTCGGGGGGCACCACCTTGTACCAACTATGGCTGGACATATTGCGTGTGCGCACACACAGACACATTCACGCTGTCAGGGAAACGTAATTGGACAACAGCTTTCCCTGGCAACCCATCCATTCCCTGCTAAGCACCAGTAAGTCAATCCTCCATTCAAGTTTTGGATTACACCGGCAGGAGCCCCACCAGGATGGCAGCCCCACTGTGGTGGGTATCGAATGGTTCCAGGTGCTGAAGGCCTTGTTCGAGGGTCACAAGGAGCAACTGGTGAGGGTGTCGTTGCCTTGTTGACTCGGCGTAAGTCTGCCATGTCCAGCAAAAATCAACACACTTCGAAGACACAACAGTAACTTCAGTATGTGTTCAGCTTGGTCATGATATGTCGCTGATATCACTGGAAGTAGATTGCCTTGTAGTGCTTGACCTGAACTTGGTCTTTTTGTTCAGGCTGAAAGGTGATGCCACCCTGACAAGTGGTAAGCATCCACATGAGGAGTTATTTGGCTGTGCCCGCCTTCCAAATGGTTGGAGCGTCCTGAAATTTGGAGCTGTCTTTTTTGGCCACTAACGTCTTCCTCACATCATGTTGTTGACCTTAGACCCACGACAGAAAGAAAGTAGTTGTGGATCTAGCCATGATGGCTAGATTTTCAGAGCGTGCCTGATCTCCTGCCTTTCCTACCGTACATTGGCTGTTGGAAGAGCGATGTTGACGAAAGATCGTCGCTGTGAGGATTGCTTATTAACTTATTGATTGCTGTGGGTCAGTTCGGGCCTAGCCGTACGATCTTGCACCATTATGCACCATTGAATGTTGATGTTTATTGTTGCCGCCCGTTTTTAGAAGCGCAGCTGACACTTCAATGGTCACCTGATGTGGGTACGGACATGGATTTAGGAAAAGCCTGTGACGCATGCCAGTCACCATCTCTGCCAATATGACACCAACGCCAGGAGCATCTGGGAAAATTGGTACCATCTCAGTGTGGTGCGGTGCATCTCTTCGACCTCTGCCTCCGCTTCGGCCACGTCGACACCGCTCTGGCCTTGGCAACGGGTGGTGTGAAGGGCTGCACCTTGGAGGATTACCACCTGGGAGCATTGCCAGACGCCAGCGATGTTGAACCTTGGTCTAGGCGGTGTCCCTGCATTGGCTGGGAGAGCTGCAGCAGATGTTGCTGGGGTTTCCCTGTGGAGAACGGCGTTTGGATGAAGGACTGGGATGCGACTCTGGATGCTGCAGCCAATGCTGCACAGCAGGCAGCCAAGACGCCCCTCGTCAGGGGCATCCTGGACATATCTAGCCACACCAAGATGCTCCCCTGCGCCATGTCCGATGCAGCGGCCACCCGGCTGCTGGACATCGCCATGTTGTGCGGCAACCTCGAGGCGGCCACCAACTTGGCCAAGACCTACCAAGCTCGGCCGCTTCGCCGGTGGAGGGGAGATGACTGGCGGGATTTCGTAGACTTGGCCCGGTGGAGATTCACATTTTCTGCCGCACTATGTGCAGGCGCAGATTTTGAGGGTGTCCACGTGAAGTTAGTTCCTGATGTTCCGCTTCTCCGAATTTTGCCCCTAGGCTTTGAGCCAGAGGACTGGCAGCAGCTGGAGCAGGTCTTGCCATCACAGAAGAACCAGTGGCCATCCTGCGACGTGACACTGGGTGACATGTTTCTGACCCGTGAGTACCGTGAGGATGGCCTGTGGAGCGTTTCCGCGCAGATAGTCCAGAATGCTTTGAGGGCAGGCTGGGATCTGAAGTACATCTGGATGGAATTTGAGGCAGCAGGACGCTCGTATGATGCCGGTCTACTGGACGCGGCGGTTCTGTGTGGTCAGCAGGAATGTGCTGGTGCTCTTGGGTCCGCCGGTGTCGAACTGAGGGAGGATTGCCTGGACTTGCACAGACTGGCGTTTCCCAGGGATGGGCTGGAGACTCTGCGGGGCGGGCCATACTGGGTGTCGGCCAGGGTGAGTTGCGGTTCAGCCTCCGAGTGCAAGTCCGCGGCATCTGCAGCAGCGCATGCATCTCTCACAAGATCATTCCAGCGAGAAGGGACCGAGAAGGGGATCGCCCTCTACCAGACCTTGGCCAAAAAGTTCCACCCCAGGGGTGTTCCACTAGCCTTGGTGCACGACATCTTGGGCTTCTCCATGGAAGCTCCAAAGATCTTGGACCAGTTGGATCTCTGGGACGAGGTCAGTGGTTGGATGCCATCCCTGGAGGTCGCAACAGATGGAGATGACAAGGGTGTTGACGAACAGCCGGGTGCCCTGAGCTTGTGTCAAGGGATGTCGGGGCACCCTTTTTTGCGTTTTTTTATTGAGACATGGCATTAAATATCATTAAATACATGGGAAGACATGGGAAGACAAAATTTGGCCATCCTTTGTGACTGTATATAGTGTGTATAGTAGGTGTTCCGGATTCCGGATTCCGAGACACGCCGGTATGATATTCCGAGGCACTCCAGTGGCCGAGCTCCCGCCCGAACCGGCCGAAGCCACGGACGCCGATGCGAAGTTCATGGAGGATGTGACGACTGTGCTGCGATCAAATCAGAATGAGCCGACGCTGAGTTCAGACGGGGTCTGCCTGTTTCTTGGAATCCTTGTTTGGTTTTTCGATAACAATGTATAGTATAGTTGGATATGTTGGATGTAGTGGTCAAGATTCTGGCCCCTTGAAAAAGAGTGAATGAACACCCCTTAGAAAATATCTATCATATCTGTATACATTGTATGCTACATGACTACATCAAGAGATGGAGAATCACAGTCCGGTCCAATGTCACATGTGATGGGTGGCCAAAGTAAAGACATGGCTTATGCATTCTGCGCAGCATTTGTGAAGGTTACCCTTGCAACTTGTTTTGTACGAAGGTTTCGGCCACTCCTTTGGCAGGCTCTCTTTCACATCATCATTCAACCATACATGCAGATCAGCGAAAAACATCGAAAAACAAGGTTCATTTGATGCATATCTTTCGAAGAGTCAGCGGCTGAATATAGGCCAGAATCACTCCTAATCGAATCACATGGAACCTGCGCTGCACACGTTTCAGACGGGGCAGCCCTCAATAAGTAACACAGTTTCTTTCACGTTATAGGTCTTGAAACTGAAGTTATTATGTGTCGTGTGCTTTCACTTAGCAGCAGTAGGCTTGTGCGCATTTTTCAAGTTCATATGTCATTAAACATTGATACACATTGCCCTTAGATTTCTTTCACCATCATTCCATATCGTTCCTTTGCTTATGCTAAAAATTCTCACTGACCTGGGTGATAAAAAAGTGCCTATGCAGCTTATGCATGAAAACATAATATATATATATATATGAAGACATCACTGGCCTGAAAGTGTTCGCCTGCACATGCCAACACCAAGGTTTCGACTGAAGAATCTGGCGACGGCTCCCCACGTCACCCAGCTGCTGTTAGATGCCACCGGGCCTGTGGCAGAGTTGCACCAGCGCATGCTGGAGGCGGGTTGCGAGGTTGACCCGGCATGGAAGCTGAGCTGACATTTGGTTGCCTTGTCCAAGGTACAGGATACAAAAACTGCTCTTTTTTCTGAAGGTGCCAAACGTGGCGGTGGTAGATACGTCGCCATATAAATCCAACGTGCCTTAGAAAATGTGGTGGACGAAAGTGCGCCCATTCGCACCTCCTTTTATCGTGACATCCTAAAAGTATACTGTATACATAGTAAAATCGCAGCTGCCCTCGGGCATCGCTGCGGGGGAACACCTATCTGCTATGACTCAGGAATCCCGTCAAAGCACTTTTTGTGCCAATCACGGACATCGCTGAGTTGCAGGCGTTGACAGATCGTGGCTCCTTGAAGGCAGTGTTGCTGACACTTCATACATCTTGTTTTTTTCATTTTTCTTGTATCGAGACTTCGATTGAATGCAAACGTGGGCCCAAGCAGGTGCTGCCTGGACTCGGGATGCTTCCCAGCAGTAAGATTCGGTTTGTGTCATGTCCCGAGGCTACGAACTATCAAAAAAGGAGCACATTTTAGCGCTCCAGTCGGATCAGGATCTCATCAAAGAGGCTTTGCGTCCCTTGGCGAATCGTGAGAATTCTATGCAGATTTCCCTTTCAAACTTAAAGATGGTGAATGAGCCATGGCTCATTCGGAATCATTACAAGCTACATCCGTGTCAGTGGAATATCATGGATTACTTAAGTACATTTTCAACATATACATATACGGTAATATACGTTTCTGCCCTTAGGGTGGATTTCCGTCACCTGTTTGGCTGACCTTACTGTACTTGGCGCAAAATTTGTCGATTTTTGGCAAAAATTATGGACACGCTTTGGAAGGGATAGAAATATACCCGAGCAGAGTCAACATGACTGGAGAAATTCGGGGGGGCTTTATTTTCTCCAAATAGACGTTTTTGGCTTGAAATGGACAAGTCAAAAATCAATGGAGAGAAAACATCAAAACCTGCATACACATTCTATATTATAGATGCTGCCACTGTTTGTGGACATCCATGCTATCGCATTTTCAGTGGAGGGTGATCACCAACTTGGTGACAGGCCTAGATTCCTAGATCTCTTTGCATGTAGTTTGCGCGGAGCTTGGATTGATAACACCCAAAATGATCCACGCTTTCCTTCTGCTTGGGGACAGTCATTCTGTCATGAGAGCATATGAGAGCCCCTTTTATATAACATAGAATTGGCGGATAGGAGAGGCAGTTAGATAAACCTTGTTGATGGAAGAGATTGCAACTTCATTAAGAAAATGCGGCAATATGAATGAATTCGAATCTGTTGGAATGATCTTGTGCCCACCTTGCATGTTTTGATGGAGAGCATATATGTTCTGCTGCAGTACTAAGATAGTTAAAACAATCGACCCCCTCTCTCCAAGTTGGACACATTGCATCTTGATTTTGTCAGCTTAGACCATTCTTGGACTTGGACCCACAACTGGTCAGTGAATTCCCGTGATCTTTGCCTCAGAATTTTGCTTGGTCTGTTCGCTGCTTGATTCACCTGATCTTGGGCTTTTTCAATTGCTTTGAGGCTCGATTTGTTCAAGGTACCGGCCGAAGATAGCAGAAGCCGGTCCATGCCCAGAGAGACTTGGATTGGATGAGTTCAAGGCTGCGACAAATTCTATTTAGATGTCTTTTGACCTGGCCGTTTATTTTTTCAATCATTATTCCACCATTGAGATCCATTGAGGGAATCTACTAGGGTATATACGGTATACTTGACGAAATGGTGGCTTCTTTGGTCCCCCTCAAGCAAAACCAAGGAGAGCATCCCCTGGTGATGACCCAGCGGATTTGGAAGAGCTGGCAGACATCGATGACGCTCTCCCGCAGTAGGCTGTGGAGATACAGAATGCTGTTTCAGCCAGATTGGACACAGTTAGGATGTTCGTTCCACCCTCAACTGGTGGTTGGAATCCTTCTCTTCTTGTTTGCCACTTTGTTCATGTCGCATTTTCAAGCCAAATATGTGGGGATCTGGGACTCGTGTCCAGTCAGTTGAATGTGAGAAGCATTTACTTTTCCAGGAGAGGATTTTCAGGTAGGTGTATACCGAACCCGGTGGGTGCCAACTGTTTGGGTTTGTGTTGCTATGTATAACCGGGGGTCACTGTTTCATGTTGTTTCAACATAGGTTGAACTGTGCGTGAACATGTTTAAGTCAAGGTTAATTGTTACCCTTCACCTTTTTTATGTGTTGGAACTGGCCCCGATCTGCAATATCCTCCAACTGGTTAAACTACTATAGATACTGTGGCACCTTTGGGGTAGGCCTAAGTGCATTCCAGTCATGTATGCTGTGTTGATTCAAACAGATTGGATCCGTGCGGTCTTCAATCTTTCTGGATTTTATTGGCAGTCGCTAATTTACATTCTCATCCACACACTTTGAAGTCTTTTTTTGGATGGCCTTTGTCGTTGCATCACATGGATCATGTCAACAAACAGCGACTGAGCTGAAGATGAGGAGTTGCTGGTCCTTGAGCTGGGCATCTCGCGCACTCCTTCTGATCATTTCTACCCATCGCCTTCGACGGCACCGTAGGATGTTTTTGTTTGTACAGATGCGAGGTTTAATTGGCCAGTGATTCCAGCAGTCCAGTTTAACAAGTTCTTTCATGCAGTCACGAGACCCTAGTCTTTGGTCGTCTAGCTTGAATGAAAGGCCTTTGAACCTTGGCAAGGAATCCGACGACCGACTATTGTTCAGTGAGATCTTGCCTGGAGGGTCCGTCTGGGTTAAAGGGGTTTCCGAAGCTGCTAGAGATGGCGGTTGTATCACTAATTACAAACCATGTCATTTGGAAAAAACATTGCTTTACTACTAAACCGAACCATATCAATACCAGCGTCATTGTTCTTATACAAGTTCATACATGTTGTGTATGCAGGTTCACCCTCTTATTGCGTGTACAGATTTTGGATCTCCTGTGCCTATGCCAGGGGCAGCAGATCAGATTCAAATCTTTACGGCAGTGCAGCTGCTTGCTGGGCATTCAGGCCCTAGAGCCCGGAGTCCATGCAACGTGGTGGCTGAACCCCCTGGCTGGAGCGGAAATTGCGCCGTTGTGTCACTGGAGGAGAGCGGCATGATTTCGCAAAGATTTGAAAGTCTTTTCCTTCACAGAGACCAGGTTGAAAATGCAACCGAAAGCATTTGTTAACCTCTCTGACTCAGAAAGACGAGCTTCACGCGCTTCGTCTTCTTACCTTCCATATAACAAAGTCAACAAATCATACTGTGTTTGGTTTGGCAAGTAGCTATGCCGTTTCAATGGATTGAACTTAAGCTAAAACTTGTAGCTATTTTCCTGCTAAATTTCCTTGCAACCAACTCTTTGACTGTCCCAAGTCAATCTCCATCACTCTCCTGTGTCAAAATCATCGCAATCTCCAGTGACCCACCGCGCCTTTGACAAATTCCTGCTTGGACTTCCGCTGCCTCATCAAGGCTGGGCGGCTTTGAGACATTCTGGCCCTAGAGCCTGGAGTCTCAAACGACTGGCTGCGAACGGCCCGAGAGAGTCCAAAAAAAAGGGAGCCGCAGACGAGTCATCAGGAAGTGAAAGCTTGCGGCTACAGAAAGTATAGCAACATATAGCAGCGCTTGGGGAAATCCTCAGAGTTAGATGGGTGGTCAAAATCTTTCCAACACAGGAGTGTCACAGAACGGCACCACCCATTAAACCTCCATTAAACATCCACGAAACACCCATTAAACATCCGTAAAGTAAAAGAACCCGGGTAGCCAACCACCACAGCTTTCAACGACGCTGCGACGCTACATCTTGGCCCAAGAGGGTCGAAGGTCTTGAGATGGGGGACTTCGATGTAAAAAGTTTGGTGATTTATGAGGACCTGGGCCACTGGGTTTTTCGGGATGAACGGTTGAACCTCAGCCATTCTTGGTATGATTTTCCAAATTCTGACTATGAGAGAGTGGTTGATAATATGTATATATAATTATAATATGATATAATATAATATGATATGATATGATATAATAAAATATAATATAATTTAATATAATATAATATAATATAACATAATATAATATAATAAATATAATATTATATATGTAATAATTGTAATAATATATGATAAATATACATGGTGAAGAAATTGAGCAATCAGTCCTTTTTGAGACAGACGCATACGAGAACCTAAGACTACATGCATCGGAAAAGCAGCTTCTGCAGAGTCAGATAGACCTTACATCCTGGCGTTACACACCAAAGCCATCCCAGTAACCAGCCATGAGAGCTTTGTTTCTGGTTAGAAATCATCCCACTTGTAGGGGGATGGTTAAAAAATGTTAAAAATCAATGGATCTACTTCATTACCTCCAACTCAGGTACCCGTGATTTCTATAATTGCAGGAGTGTTTTGTTTGACCATGGGTGATGCCAATCAAACATTAAGAAATGGAGAATGGGATGATTGAACTTGGGTTTGCAGGGTTTCAAGGTACCCATTTTTGGGCAAACCCAGAATCCAGTCTTTTTGGCTGACCAGCTCCTCATTCTTTCAGCTCTACAGTGATATACACATGGTGTTTGGACGGGGAAATACCAACCTGTCACCAAAGGGCTGGCTTCATCATGCTTTGTTAATGAATTTCACATTTTTGTCATTTTTTGTCCATCGATCCCTCATGTTGTGTTCGGCAGGATTCCTACCAGGAAGATGACGATCCGACAGTGCTTGGTGTGTTGTATTTCGATGTTCTGACGGCCTTGTTTGAAGGTCACAAGGAGAAATTGGATCGTGGTTTCGACATATTGCCAGATTCCATTGAGATATATTGAGATATTCCTGTCACACCCAAAGATTTCCTAGGACACCGAATTAAATAAACACCTGGTTGAGCAGAGCAATCCATATGTTTCCTGTTGAAGATGCAGTCCACTTGGTTCACCACCATTTCCCAGGAGTCCTTGGCAGAGTTGGTGCCATCTCAGTGGGGCTTGGTGCACCTCTTTGACCTTTGCCTCTGGTTTGATCATACAGACACAGCCCTGGCATTGGCAAGGGCTGGTGTGCAGGGTTGCGTGCTGCAGAGTTACCATCTTTCTGACTTGCCGGATGGTAGGGACGAGCAAACCATTTTTTTCTATGGCTGTAAGTGTAGGGGATGGGATACATGCAGCGTTTGTTGCTGGGGCTTCCCGGTGGAAAACGGCATTTGGATGAAAGATTGGGATGTGCATTTCCTGGATGCGGCTGATGCTGCATGGGAAGCATGCGAAAGTCGTCTTGTGGGTGTCGCGTTGTATTATTTAAGTTGGGACCACAAGCTCCCTTTTGCCCTGTCTGACAAGACGGCCGCGCGGCTCCTGGACATTGCCATCTTGTGCGGTAAGGACGAAGCAGCTGCCAACTTGGCCAAGCTTTACACAGCTCGGCCTCTGAGGAGGTGGAGGGGAAGCGAGCTACGCCCATGTTGCCGCTGGAAACTCTACACAATTTCCGCTGCCTTGTGGGCAGGTGCCAACTTTCGTGACCTCCAGGTGCGATTTGATGATATGACGGAGCTGCTGTTTCTCCGAGCTGCACCTTTGGAGTTTACCCTGGAGATGTGGCAAAGGATGGAAGAATTTTTCCCACCAGAGGAGGAGCCATGGCCAAGCTGCGACATCATGAACATTGCAGAGATCTTTTTCTGGAAAGGGCCATGGGATGATGAGGACGATGAAGACAATGAGTATGATGAGGATTATGAGGATGAGGATTATGAGCATGAAGAGGATGAGTACGAGGAAAACTACGAAGACTATGAGTATCAGTATTACGAATACGATGAGTATGACGAAGACAGTGATGACGATGACGATGATGATGACGATGACGATGACGATGAGGACGACACTGTTTCCAAGAGCCTGTCAAAGAGCAGAGTCCAAAACGCTTTGTGGGCAGGCTGGGATTTGAAGTATATTTGGATTCAACTCAAACCACAGGACGATGACGAACCCGTGTTTTCTGCAAGCCTTCTGGACGTGGCGATTCTTTGTGGACAGTCAGACTGTGCCAAGATTCTTGCTTCTGCCGGTGTCAGGCGCTCCCTGTGCTCTTTGTATTGGTGTAGGAAGGCGTGTCACGAAAGTCACGAAAGCTTGGAGTTTCACACCGAGGATTATGGTCCCCTCTGGCCCGCAACAGCCCTTGAGTGCAAGGCTGCAGCTTCTGCTGCCGCGCGGGTCTTTCTCAGCAAATCATATCAGCAGCAGGGTGAAGAGAATGGGATCGCAGTATACCAGGTCTTGATTACCAAATGCCATCAGAGGCCCTTACCTATGGCTCTGGTGCACGAAATTTTGGCCTTGTCCATGGAAACTCCAAAGATTGTTGACCAGTTGGATCTCTGGGACGAGGTACGTGGTTGGATCCCGCCCGTAAACCCAGATCTGCCGGAAATTTCGAGGAGCCGCTCCTGTGGATCTGATGGGAGCACTGAATCCCTTCGTGTTGGATTTAGCAGAGGGTTATTTCATTATACCACTATAATCCCATTATATCCCATTATACCACTACAATCCTAGTTTACCAGGCCGGGTACCCCAAGGGTATGGGGGGTATCTTCCATAGCAGGGGATGGGTTTCCGTTGACTTGGACCTTAGTTAACTTAGACTTGGGGCTTGGCTCTCTCAAGATTGGCTTCTCACAAGTCATTTATTTGCATTTGAAAAAGATTGAAGGTGTGTGCAAATCAGGAAAATATGATGATTCTTTTCCATTAGAGTATATGAGAGTAAATAGATACCTATTTGAATCTATTTGAGTATACTTAAGTCTTATATAGTCTTATATTGTTTGCTAAATATGTGGATTTCTTACAATGTGGGACCTAACTTCATTGGTGTCTTTATCAAAATTGCTGAACAATGACTAATAACTTGAATGATTTTGCGGGTCCCCGATTTAAAGAACCCATAAAGAACCCCAAAATGGTTGGCTGCATGCTTTCGGAAGGAGGAGGAACCGACGGATTATGAGGTTGTGGACTGAAGAGAGGACATGTTTGCATGTTGCTCGCATGGCATTTAAGGGGATTTTGCGGGGGATATGAACCATTAGAATTAGAGGTTTTTTGATCGGTAACTAATGGATCCAATGGTCACGATTATTAATAACGCATTACTGTATAACACCAACACAACTGGAAATAACACTGAATGGTGGTTCCAGATCTTTTATTTTCTTTTGCCCACCACACACAAATATGCTTGGGATGGGTGGTTCGAAAAGGAAACACTTTAGGATTACCAGAACAGAATCGTTTTTAGCCGTACATCATCGAACTAGTCTTTTGCCAATTTTCCTTAGCTATGTTCAATTACCAGAGGGTATATCCCATTGTATCCTATTGTATCCTATTAGATCCCATTTACTGGTACTAGTAAATCATGTAATAGCAATTGGCCGGTATGTATGGGATAGCCCATCATATCCCTTGCTATTACTAAAGGGAATCATATAAAATAATCCCATCATATCACCATATGCTAATTCCTTGCTATGTTGAATTACCAGACGGCATATGATATTGCATCTTACATTTATTGGTAAATCATCTATAAATGGGCTGGTTGGTGGTTTGGAACATGAATTTCATTTTCCATAATATATGGGATGTCATCCTTCCAATTGGCTTTTATATTTTTCAAGATGGTTGAAACCACCAACCAGTGGGTTACAGTAATTGTATCTAATTTTCCATAGCAAAAACTGTTGGTCCGACATTCTGCCACCGCATTGTTGCTTTCTGCCAAGGTTTCCAGCTCTGCGCGGTGAGCTGTGCGCTTGAACAGTTGGGAAATGTGTCAACAAAAAGTGTCTCCAACCGAAAGAAAAGGGGGGGATCAATTCTGTCCGTAACTATCGATATATAATCCAACTTAATCCAATTTATTTATCCTTGAGGTCAAGGCTAAGCAACTTTAGATTTGTTGATCACCATTAAAGCCACAATGATGAGGAGATTCTAAAGCAAGGAACACATGCTTTGCATGGCCAGACTGAACATGGCAAGGCAAATATGGAACATGCAGTGTTGGCATTACTGTATTGTATACACTGTGGGATTTAGGTATGCATAATTTTAATTCATATACATGTCGAAGATTAATGTTCATCCCTGGGTTGTTGATGATTGGGGGTACCATGGTTGAAGATGCCACTACTTTTTAGCTCCCCGAATCTGATTCAACTAAATTGTGTAAGTCCGTAGTTGACACTTCCCTTCAACAAAGTCGGGGATGTGATATATGTGTTGACTAACAAACCATGTTGATCAGAACATATGTTTGTGTGTGAGCATTTTTCGACAAGATAATGCAAGTGGAGATACACTTCAACCTGTGGGATGCTTCGTTTTTTGTTGGGTATGTCACCCCCAACGTGGGGGACACCCTCCTGCATCCCTTAGGAGCTTGACATGTCATGACAGTCCAAAGAGGGCATTCAGCGAAATGAAGCGAACAGATGCGTGCAAAAGATGCTGATCATTGCTGATAGCTGATGGTTTCATGTGTTTGCCTTACTAAATGTATAATATATATATACATTATATATATGCATGCATACATATACACGGTATATTATACGTATGGTATGGAGATTTCACACGTGGAAACGATGTATAATCACTGAAACTTTCTAAACGCAGTTTTTTCCAAGTTTTCAATCAACAGATGGGATTATGATGCTGACTGACTACATGATCTGTTTAGAACGCCAGAAATTGGAGAAGGGGTGTCGGATAAAATCCGGTACCCTGAAACATTGCATGGTTTTCTGTGCCCAAAATTCGATAGGAATCGACAATCCCCAATGCTGGATGAGTTGCGCTGGAAGTTCCGATGGCATCTTAAAAAACACAACTCGGGGTTTCAGCCAGGAACATGTCTAGACTGACACAAACATCACCATTCCTAGAACTTGGGCGTATTTTGGCACATTTTCCTATATAATTAGCTATCTCAACTTGATCCAGTTTTGGGCTATTTAGTCTATTTAGTATCTCTTGAAACAAAGCTGCCGAAAAGTACCATTATCCACATCTTGGATAGTTGGATTTCCCCATCAATTTCCAGTTTTCCCCATGTTTTTCCCCATCAATCAACCCACGGCTTCACAGCCTGGAGATGATCCAATGGCCAGGTTTCACCCTATCATCGAGAGGCGGATCCATTCGATCAATCGAAGTTTGCAAAGGTTGCACTCATATTTGGGGAAGCATACATGCCATGGTGCCATGGTGTAAAGTAAAGTTCAAACCTCATGTTTTCCATATTAGGGGATTTACCACTTGGGAGATTGTTGTTGGCTATGCTGGTGTAAGACCTTGTTTTCCAACTACTCAACTAGTCTCGCTGATTGGATCATTGGTTCAATCCCATAATTTCCCACAGTTTCATTCCCACAATAGTTCAATAGTTGATTCAATTCTTCAACCTGTTCTTCAATCCTGCAAAATCCCATAAACAAATCCTATGTCCTATTAGATGCTCTTAAATCCCAGAAAATCCCATAATATAAATCCAATTGAATCTCCAAAAATCACATAAAATTCTAAGAATACTGAACTAGGTTCAATTATTGGACCAATGGCTTCTATCCCTATGAAATCCCACTGATTCCTCCGATCCAGGCCGAGTTGCTCCTGGAGATGCAGCAGGAACACCTCATGGCACGGACACCTGGTGAACCAGACCCTTTTAGCCATGATATGGTGGGGATATACCTCATGTAACTAAGAAACTTAAGTTTTTTTTTAACCATATATAGCTTAGAAACTTGAGATTTTACCAAAGATTTACCGATTTTGAAACTTATGGATCTTTACCAAAGATATATACGTAGTTTTGAAACTTGGGGAGTTTTTCAAAATCTGGCACAGAAACTCGACGATAAACGCAACAAATCAAAATAGACACGGAAGCTGCAATGGTTCAGTGAGAATATACCCTTTGGTAAACTAACATAGTTATGGGAGCCATGGCCCATAGAAATAGATGGTTTGTCTATTAAAAATGGGGATTTTCTATAGCTTTTTGTATGTTTAGCAGAGGGTACTACGAATGGTAAACCCAATCCGTACATATGTCGATTGGGGATGGTTGGACTCTGGGAGCCTCACTTGCAAAAGTCACGGATCACATATTCATACAGCTGGTTCTGATGGGAATATGATGGTCATGTTCATCAATCCATTAGATTTCCCATCATATTTCCATAGTTCCCATCATATTTCCCATCATATTTCCCATGATATTTTCCATCGTATTCCCATGATATTTTCCATGATATATTCCCATGACATATTCCATATATTTCCATGATATTTCCATATTTCCCATCACATCCCCTTGAAAAATCCGCCACCTTTGGATGCTTCGAAAACTCCCCGGTACGTTCCGTTCCGAGACCATCCGCCTGAAGCGTCAAGCCCTCGAAGCGCGACGCTGCGCGGAGTTCCGGATGGTTCCTTCGGTGAAGGGCGCAAGGGATGGGGGGAGAAGGTGTTGGAAGGGTGAAAAAAATGGGGAAAACCTTGAAATGGTTACCCTCTGGTAATTTAACATAGCTATTGAAAATGACCATTTATAGTGGATTTTCCCAGCTATAAAATGGTGATTTTCCATAGCTATGTTAAATTACCAGAGGGTAGATTATTTGGTGACATATTGATGAATCATGAATCTAAATATTATTTACCATCAATTATTTATAATGAACATGAAGATTCATTATTCAACATTATTCTAGTACTTTATCTTTATATTATCTAAGTTCATATTTGTTCTTATGCAAATATTGGGGAAGCTGAAAAAATGGAGGTTTCCGAAGTCACGGGGGTATCCCGAAATCATCCAAGTCATGGATGAACATGACTGGTATTGAAACCTATGGAGGCTTGGGGATCCTCTATTTAAAGAACCCCCGATATTGGCCCTAAGTCAAGGTTTGCCCAAATTTTCTAAGAAGAAATATTGACTAAGATATGATTGACAACCTAATTTGTTAAATATTTAACTATAAGTTTAAGTGTTCTTCTCGTACTTTATTTATTTTTGTAGTGGGTATATATATATATATATTTACGAACCGCAGCTATTTCAATGGTCATTGTTGGATACAACACCACAATATGTTTGGGATATTTTCAGGATCATAATCACACAAAAGATATATGTTCGATTTAAGCCAGATTCAGTGTTGTAAGGAGCCATCAAGATGAGCTTAACATAGTGATTCTATGTATTTATCAGGTTGGTTGCCAAGATAAGATTTATGATTTCATAAGTGATGAACTTGGTTGAGATTTCACCGTCGAACGCAGGGACACCAGGATTTGGATGGGAATTTCAGCAGAGAACCAAAAACAGTCGCAAGGATAAATAGGATCCCGGTTCGTAAAATGGTCTTGCAAAAAAGGGACAGATCCGAAATGTCGCCTGAATGTTATTGGATGTTATTGGCATCAGAATGCAACATAATTTTAGTGTCTCTAGTAAATAACATCCAATAACTATAGGATCTCTGGTGATTTGGAAAGTTATTTAGTCTCTACCATCCTCTCTAGTAAAAAAAACATGGCCTCCAAATAACTTTCCACAGATAAATCCCTCCAACTCGAGCCATCGAAATTTGCCCTGCTTGATTGCTGCTTAGATTCCACAGTCACACTATTCTGATACTTAAATACTATCAATGGAGAAGTATATATTAATATATTATAAGCATTTGTGTTTTTTTCTTCTAATGTTTAATATACTATAGTTAACTATAGTCGTAGATAAAATCCTGACAATCAAATACCCTTCGGTAAACATACAAAAAAACTATGGAACATCACCATTTTTACTGGGTAAATCCACCATTTCTATGGCCATGTTCAATAGCTATGTTAGTTTACCAGAGGGTAACTATTATGAACCATAGCTTATCCATATATTAACCATAGATTGTCCATATATTAACCATGTTGATGTTTGTTAATGTTTGTTCATCCATATATAGATTTTCAATCCCCAGCCGTTGATGCTTCCCGAGGTGCGATCCGCCTCGCTGCCCAACTCCATCTTGGACAGCGTTTGGAGCCAAGAAATGGCGAAATCTCTCCCATGTTTCCTTCAAACACATGTTTCTATATGGAAACATATAGCTTCAACAGGTCTAAAATCACCTCACTTAAGTATATTCACTTCAGGTGGAAACAACTAATCTACTTTACCGATACTTGAACCATTTTCCTTGATGAAAACTGTTCCCTGCTTCACCATCAACGGCCCAACGGCACCCAGATTCCTTCCCGCTTGGCGAAGTCACCGGAAGCTTCGAAGCAGGTGGATGTTGGGTTATCATCCGCTTTGGCGATAGAGTCGATGTTTGTTAATGTTTGTTTCTGGCAATCTCTGGATTTTGCCAAAGTCGAGAAGCTTTTGGTGGTAAGCAGTGGTAACATCCTATTTAACTCTGATTCTAGAAATTCACCCTTGTTGGTGGACTTTCTTTATCTGGTTGGTGCTTTGGAACATTTTTAATTTTTCCATTCAGTTGGGAATGTCATCATCCCAACTGACGGACGCATATTTTTCCGGTTGGTTGAAACCACCAACCAGTTCAGATTAGTGAGTCATTATAATAGCCTTATTTATCCAGATAATATACCAGGTAATAATCATCCCAATTTAGTCATCATACTGTATATATATATATATGTCAAGTGGTCAAGTCCCATTTCTGGTGAACTCAATTCTTGGTGCAGGCCATGGTACCGCGTAGCGAACCATGCCTGCTGCTGCTCGGACGGTGGTTAACCAACCGGCAACCACTGGCTGTTGGCGGATTGGAATGGCTCGTAATTCATGAATATATATATAATATATATATGATTATTTATAGTTATATATATATACGTACTCGTACGTATAATTATATATATGATTATATGTATATATGTATGTATTCATGAATCAAGGGACCTGTGTGGAACTGTGGAATATTATTCATATGATATAGTATGATCATTTTCATAGGTGGGATTTTGACACCCATAGTAAATCACAATGATGGTAAGGATGGAAGATGTGCTTCTGATGCTGTCATTTAGCACTATTGCAGGTGGTTTTTAATCATACTCAGGGCCAGCAACTCTTAATCGTGGCATAGTCATGTCGAGGAATCGATGGGCCATCCATGTCATCAGGTGAGTTTTATCATCGTTACAAAGATCTGATGTGAAGACAAGATGAAAGGAACCCAACATCAAGACATTTCTAAAAATGCTCTTGAAATGGTCCACGCTTCAGCGATTAAACATAGCACCCAGGAGAAAAGAAGACAACAGTAATTTCCGCGACAAATGGGGGAGCTAACTCAGGCAGAAGCTGGAAGCCTCGCCCAACAGTGCAGGCAGGGCGCTTTGTGATTAGCGAAGAGACTTTCATTTGGATTGGTTTAGTCCAATGATACTAATCTTTGGAGCAGTCGTAGTCGGAAATATGGTATCCACATGCTATTCAGCATGAATGCACATAGGCATGATTATCGATGTTTAGACTATTTCTATCTATTTCTTATTTCTTTGTGTATATATTTATTAGATCATCAGCTTCTAGAAGTATTATCAGTGTTTGAGTTAATAGTCATGTGTATGTATATGCAATTATCTCACTTTTTTAGTCCCTTTTTGCATGGTCAATCCTCCCGGCAAGTATCCCAGTAAATATCCCCAGATACGATAAATACAAAGAATTCAGTCCTTGATCATTTGGATTTTTTCAGTCCTGACCATCCCATTATTGAGAAGGCGAAGGACATCAAGCATTCATTATCTCATAGCATTAGCTTTGAACCATGATGTATTTGGGAATCGTTGGGAATCACATTATCATGATTAATATGTTTGGGAATCTATCTGGAATCATGATATAATCTTGATAAAATAGCAACATACACCAAAGTTGAAGCACCATGTTTGATGTTTAAGCCACCAGTCTGGTGCGCCAAGAAATCACGGCGGATGATCACCTTCCAAAGGGACGAACTTGTCACAGGCGCTGTTCTGGGCAGCAGTCGTTCCAATGGAGCCAACATCTCTGCATCAGGCCTGGAGAAGCTACGGTTGGAGAGTTTTAAGTATTTTTAAGTGGGATATCTGCCAACCAAGATTGATGATATATCAGTTGATTAACGAGTTGGGAGGTATATCAATTCATTTTTTCAATTTTATACATAGAACAATTGCATTATTTGAGAATCAACTAACAAAGTTGCGTGTAGGGATGATTTGACACTCCACCAAAACTCACTCTCCCGAGATCAGAGATTCCATAAGTTTTGCGATGATGCGCAGCAAATTATCAGCAAATGATCAAAGTTTTGTATTGAATGATATGATAATCAGCAGCAAATCTTATTGTAGGAACCAGTTCTGATCCAACAAAAAACTTGTCGAACAAATCCACGATTGTCGATGCTTGATCCTCCGCAAGTTGGATGATTTGAGAATGTCTGGGAATGTCAGCATGGATGATTGCCATGTGAAAAACGCCAACAAAGCCAGGTTTGACTCCCAGAGGGTATCAGCCATATCATGCCATATCAATTTGTAGGATACTAACCATATATTTTCTACAAGGTACCAGCCATCTGCGACAAAGGTTTGATGGCAAGTACCCTCCACAATCATTCATGCAAATTCGATCAATTTTGACTACCAGAGGATACCAGAGCATAATTATTCTACTCATTCTACTCTAGTATCCTGCAGTGTTGATACGTTGTAATATCCTACAGGCATGATAGGCGCGGAGTAGTGCTACAATCTCGTATGAGTCTGAGAAATGGATGTTGGGATACTGGAGATGTTCCCAACAAAAGCATTCCATTGATCCACATCGATCCACTATTCATTAGTGAAGTCTTCCATCTCTGATGGATTTCCATGGGTTTTCACCCTATGTTTGATAGTTAAATCCTCGTGCCCCAGACATGATATGGTTCTCCAACCAGTCTGCAGGTTCGCCGCCACGAGATTTCGCTTGGGATCCCGGTGCGTGGTGTGATTGCCATCACTTGGGGGTCAGTTGGGGGTTGGAAGATGACTTTGAGATCTAAACATGGGCCGAGTTTGTTTGGTTCTTTGATGGTGTGAATGATGTAGAATCCCGACTTCAAAGTATGTTACAATAGGGGTACCCTCTGGTAAATTAACAGTTGGACCCTGAAAATCACCAATTGTTAGATGAAACTAATCTTCCAACCCCTATCTACCAGGGTCTATGTTAATTTACTGGAGGGTAAAAGACGGTAAAATAATGATCACCACTGGTGAATCACCCAACAGAGGCCCAACCAAAAGAGGAGGCAGGGTTTTCCGGCACCAGGGCACCAGGGCTGGTTGGAGTGTGCTTGTGGTTATTAGCCATGCACCCAAGGTATGAAAACATGGGATGAAAAGAAAACACAACGGGGATGGGAAATGATCATGAATGATAATAACTGATATAGATTAAGCATCTAACCATATCGAACCTATGAAAAGACGCATTTGAAAATGGGTACTTGGATGTACGAACGGAGGTTTTTTCTACTATTTACACATGACCAGCATCATGATCGCACAATTGACATTACGGAAGCCACATTGGGAAATTGAACCTATTTTCCAAGCTTTTCTTATATACTCTGGGTTAAACTGAAGTAAATGTTTGAAAACCAATGGTTCCTCTATAGGAAAATGAATTCCACACTGTTTTCCACATCTATCCTCCACACACATGGTGTCTGAAGTCTGAACATCCTGGAAATATGGTACCATGGTGCTGGAATATTTACCAACATTTACCCCTAATAAGTCACCCAGTTTTGTAGGTAAACATACCAGCACCAAGGAGCATTTGGGACAAATTGGAGTATCATACCTTTAGGCCATCAGAACCGATGTGTAGATCACTCATGGGTTAAATCCTAAGCTTAACTCTTGGATTATTGTTACTTACAAAATCCCATGATCAGCTACATCCCCACTATATTCCCATTGTTTCTCCATTATATCCGAAGAAAATCCGAATAAAATCAGCATAATGTGATCATATAATATCATATCCCCATCATATCCTTATAAAATCTCAAAGTTCCAGCAGTTTTTTTTTCCAGTGTCGAGTCACGTCACTCATCGCAGGCCAAAGAGCCTTCGCCCTGTAGCTGTCAGGCGTTCGGTCGGGGTCCTATGGCTGCCCTGGGTCTGAAGGGTAGCCCTAAAGCCATTCCATTGGTGACTCAATCTTAATTTTGTCCCTTGTATTGTGAATGTCAATGAATCTAACAACATCAATCTTAATAATCATATGTTTATCCTCGTTGTTAGACATTTGCGGGAATATGTCCCTCGTTTTCAGAGAAATCCAGGGGATGACGGGATTCTCAATGATATAGGGATTGTTTATTGAGAATCTTGTGGGAAATCGCCCCAGGAAGTATGGAGTGATATGATGTGATATGGGCCATATGGCTTTCTTTTTTTCGACGTCTTGGAGTTGGAAGATTATCTACAGCCGCAGATGTTTGGACCTAAAGTTGGTGGATGAATACACCAAAACTCCGGTAGAAACGGGTTCCCAGGATACGCAATTAAGGACAGACCCTGACAATCTGACAGTTCTTCTCACCTTTTTTTCCAGTTTCACACATGTTTTCTAGATGCTTTTAGCCTGGAAGATGTTAGATGCAGTGCCAGGCCTTGTCGCCTGCTCCTTCACTGGAGGTGGGGATGGGATTTCATGTTGGATGCAGTAGATGAAAAGAAACACCATCATCTTACATCACTGCAGTCATATGTTTTTTCAGAAAATAAGATATCCCAAAATCTCATGGTTTCTCATGGCTTATCGGTAGTTTCTTTGTTCAATATACACCATGTTCAGACACACCCCAAATCAGGTGTTCATGATAGGTTTCTTATACGTCCCAGATATACCCATTATACATCCATCAAACCCCGATATTGCTGGTAAACATACCGGAAACGCCCATAGTCTGTCCTGCGTGGGTCAACGTGGCGCATTCCATGATATTAGACCAATAGAATCATATACTGTCGTTATGGACCAATTCTATCTGCACAAAGTTGCATGAGGATATCCCATTCTCATATTGCCCAATTGCCAATATATCTATCATGTCATATAATCTATTATGTACCAATATTATGTGTATGTATACAGTATATATATAATATATATATATATGTATCAGCCATGATATTTGTCTTGGTGAGGCTGCCACCGCGGACCGGCCCGACCTCTTCGTGGGCGCCGGCCCGGCGGAGCGGAGCTTAACGATCGCGATTTGGGGGGATAGATATGTCGTGACAATGTGGATGGTTGCGAAATCCTGCATCACCAAAAGGATGGTTGAAACCCTAACAAAATATATAATGGGATGTTTACCATCTATCAACTGGTGCAGGATTTCGCAACCATCCACCGTAGTATCAAAAATAATACAGAGCCATACAGAGCCTGCCTATGTATTAATAGATAGTAAGACATATCATTTTTCCATACATGTCATTTTTGATACTATATTGATATGGAAAAATGATGGTTTAACCACCAAGAAATGGTGATTTTTCATCATGGGATATTCATGAGATATTGGAAAAACCTCGTCTTGTAGGGATGGTGGGAGATTTTTTTCGCCCGTTTTTATCATCGAACCATTCATGGTCCATTTGATATGTATAACATTTTAAACATTTTGTAAATAACCAATGGGGTATAACTTTATAACATGGTATAATAACATGTTTGATTTGACATGTATAACTAATGGGGTATAACTTTATAACATTTTATAACCACAATCACCAACAATATGGGAGTAGAATAAACATAGTTGGTTGAACAAAAATAATGACGTTGTGACGTCGTGACGTCGTGATATCACAACGGAATGATGGTTCATCCCCAAATGGCTTCAGCCAGATATTTTATGGGGCTGAAAAACAGGATATGAATGGGGATGACTCCCTTAGTGAAGAAACATATTTTCAGGTTAGTGATGGCATTCAATGGCATTCAGTCCAGGGACTTCATAGGGACTGCATTCCGTCTACAGGGCGGAACTGTGGAGTCAACTGTCTTCGATGTCCATGTTTTTCACAATGATGTGGCTTTTGGACTAGGGACTCCATAGGGACTTGATATCTTTTGTGGGGGTATTGATGGGTTGACAACCGGAAGGCTTGTCAATTTTCATGCGAGTTTTGCCGCTTATGGGGATTGAACCCACTGTCCTTATAGGGATATACAGTAAAACGGAGATATTGCTGGGATATAATGCCAACTTGTTGTGATACTTCGATGTGCTTGAAAAGGGGGAAGTTTCTCGAAACAAACCATGGGAACCAGTACAGTATCGATGTTGAGGACACTGATGGGAAATCCATTGGATTTGACGCAAGTTGCGACCTGGCGTTTTTTTCTATGGAACATCAACTGGTGTGAAAATTCAAGGTCGAATATGCCCAGAAAACGGGGTAATTGAAGGGTTGGCACCATCTACAAGGGTGCCCGATGATGTTCGATGTATCCTGTACTAGGGGTTTCCTAAAATGATTTTATAGCTACCAACAAATACGTATCATCCACTACGTTTGTTGGGATTTTCCGGAATCCAATATTTTGGTTGAGATTTTCCATGATTTTCCATAGTTTTGTGGTGATTTTCCATGGACATAAAGCAACCATAACTTGGGGATCCCCCGGTTCAACGATGGAAGCCCTGAGGACTCGCCCATGGACGTTGATACCAGGTCAAAACGGGGACGGAGATGATGGGGGGAAGCAACGAAGATATGAGATGAAAAAGAGGTACCCCCAAATCAACCATTTTAGATTGGGAATTTCCATGATAAACAATCCATTTTGGGGTATCCCCATTTCAGGAAACTACCATTTAGTGGAATAGAGTAATATAGTGGAATAATTTATATCTATACTGTATATTGATATATATATATATTTATGTATATTTATATGTATTGTTGAATTTGGGGGTAGCATTTTAGTATGACAAGACATCACTCTTTGATTTTGAGTCAACCACGGATGATGATGATGATGATGATGATGATGATGATAGAATCCCACTCTTCAGTGGCTCAATCCCGATCATTTGTTGGTGAAATCCTCAATAACTGGTTGGTGGTTTCAAACATTTTTTATTTTCCATAATATATGGGATAACCCTTCTGATTATTTCCCATTGACTTTCATATTTTTCAGAGGGGTTGAAACCACCAACCAGATAATCCACATATTTTCATCAATGTTCAAATATTTCAGATTTCCCCTCATTGACACACGGTGGTGCCCCCTAGTTTTATCTCAAGGTTTATGTTCATCCATATAATTTATAATATATATATATATATGTATAACTATAGTTAGACATGTGATATATCCTATACCCATAGGCTTCATGTATGCTATATATGGTAACATTTACCATCAATATACCCCACATGTTAGCATATATAGCATACATGGATCCTATGGGATATAGTTATAGTAAAAAATAAAAGTCATTAGAAACCCATTGAACAGAGGACCGTCCGCCAGGTGTCAGGGTTCTCCCTCTCGCGCCGCTGCGGGATGCCTGGATGGGATTTTTCAGGGGGTTTCACATCTGGTAAGCCTACAAAAAGCTATGAAAGGTCACCATTTGGAATAGGTAAATCAACTGTCAATGAGCCATTTTCTATGTCGCTATGTAGAAAATGACCAGAGGGTATTATCTGGTTGGTGGTGACTGGAACATGACTGGATCATGACTTTCCATTCAGTTGGGAATGTCATCATCCCAACTGACTTTCACTCATATATTTTTCAGAGGGGTTGGTAGGTCAACCACCAACCAGACATGTTTTACCAACTCAAATTGGATGCAACGGGTGACTGACTGGGCAGAAAGCGTCCAGCTGCCATTGCCAAAGGCTGGACGTTTACCGCCACTGGCAGGTGGTGGACGTGCTGGGTTGGGTCGAAGTTTCCGCACCGAGGGATGGCAGAGTTTAGCCAGATATCTTACCCTGTGGTTATGACTAACAGTTCGCCATGGTTAAGCCATGGCCCATAGAAATAGATGGTTTACCTATTAAACATGGTGGATCTTTCCATGGCTATGTTAAATAACCAGAAGATAATGGGTAGTTTTCTATTTGTTTGATGTTTACTAATATTTGTCAATGACAGCAATCCAAACATCTCAAGTTGGAGATGATTTAGGTGTGTCTAATCATATTCATATTTACACATACAGTGCACCCAAGAATCTCATTGGTCAGTTATCATGCTTTCCATCGACAATTTCAGGCACCCCGGTCTGTGGTTTCAGAGAAAATGGGGATTCTGCTATTGGCCGACCCCATCTCCATCTCCTTCCATTCCAAGAGATGCCCTGGTTGATCAGGGCTTCGGTTGGTAGTTAAGCCGGGAGAAGGACAAATTGGTTACTAAAACTTGGAATTGCTCCAATTTTCTATGGTTTCTCCCAACTCACCAGAGAGCTTTGGGGGCATAGGCTCTGGTCATGGCTATCACCAGTAGGATTCACCCATGTCCAATCCATGGCTAATCCATACCGATAAGCCAAGTTATACGATACGTTCATGTTCTTCAATTTACCTAGACCCTCCAAAGTAGCTAGAACAAATGTAAAACCCGTGATTTTGGGATGTTTCACCAGTTGAACACGGGTACTTGGAGGGTCTATATCCAATTCATCTATAGATGAGTTTGCCTTTGTCCATTGCTAGGTTAAATTACCAGAGAGTATACCTCCAGCCACCTTTTTTCCAGCCTCCAAACGTTCACTGCAGATGTTGTTTTTGGGATTTGGCTTGGAAAACGATTGGGGACGGTCAAAAAATGATACCCCTGATTTCTTTTTCACGATTTGATTCTGTCGCAGAGCTTCTGTCCCCATCGGTCCCACGTTGCAACCTGTTGGATTTGTGGAGCTCAGTTGGGAGATGCTTTGCTGGATGTTTGTGGCAACGAAAGCAATATCTGTGTACAAAATTAGGATCTGGTCAACTCCAGCGCCAAAATATGCCCAGCTGTCGCTGGTAAAATTCAACGCTTGGTGAATGGCGGTTGGCGGTTTGCGGTCCAGGATTTTCCGCTGTGAGAGGGTGTTGCATTGGTAAAACAACTACCTTCTGGTTATGACTAACATAGCCATGGTATAGATGGCCCATAGAAATCGATGGTTTACCTATTAATAGCATGGTGGATCTTTCCATGGCTATGTTAAATAACCAGATGGTGCCACTTGCTACATAACCCTCTGGTATTTTTACGTAGCTTTGAAACAATGGCCCATGTATAGATGATTTACTCAATCTAAAATGCTGATTTTCCATAACTATCTTACATTACCGGAGGGTAAGTCCAAGGCTGTGATTGAAGATACCTTTGTGGACAAGCATTGCATGGCCCTCAAGGATGTCCGAATTCCACAGCGACAAGTTGGGAATTCCTTCCCCAGCCCGGGTTACATAGAGGCACCAGGGTAATAAGCCACTGGGCCGTTGATCATTGGGTGCTTGCCATAGGAGCCAATGATATCACTGGTGGCTGACTTTGCTGGATGAATACCCTCCAGACATGGTGACATGGTTGAGGAAAATCTCTGGTGTTCCTGGTCTTAACTTTTGGACCATACCAACTGGTTGGTGGTTTGGAACAGACTGGATTATCACTTTCCATTCAGTTGGGAATGTCATCATCCCAACTGACTTTCATATTTATCAGAGGGGTTGAAACCATCAACCAGCCAAGAAATGAGTGGTAAGAACAGAGGGTTGCTGTAAGAGGGACATGACCAACTGACCAACCAACATTGTGACACAAAGGGCAACAATTTTGAGACCTTACTCCAATCAGGACCCCCGTAAATCTCCAGAACGCGGCTGGTGTATAGCTGAGATTACATGGTCTGAGGTAAGGCATGGTGGTCCATATCAAGCACTGAAGGTGATGATAGGCCATGGAGGACGTATGGTGATGTAGTCATGGCTGTCTTTTTCCCAACGGTTGCCTAATGAATAGCGGGCTGCCCCCATTTAACAAGCCGCGGGTAGGCGATGGCAGATGGCCAAACGTAGGCCACTTGCAGGGGGCTGTATACAGGGCGCCCTGCGCAGGTGTTGAAAAACCACCCGAGCGCGGGACGATAGGCGTGGGATTGTGGGCGCGTCGGTGATTTGCGGGGGTGCTGCCAGTTTGAATGTTGCAAGTCTCTTGTTTGGACGGAGCAGGCCTGCTGCAGATGCTTTGGCGCACATGCCCGAGATTCATTCTTTAGGTGCTGAGGAAGTGATATTTGCTGCCAAACATACGGTAAAATCTGTAACGCAATTATTGGTAGGCAAACGTTGTTCGTATCAAACTGGACGTGTGCTTGCTGTGTGTTACCACCATTTTGTGTCGTTTCCAGCAATGCCCATCTCATTTTCCATTGCGCCGTGAGCAAGTGTGTGTGTGGGTGTGTGTGTTTGTGTGTGTGTGTGTCTCATGGCGTTTTTTTGGCACATGTCTATTCCTCAATAATAGCTGCCGGCATTTCCTCAAAGGTTTGGGACACGGCCGTAGACATGTCCCAAGTGTAGGACGGATACAAGATTGTGGTTATGTTGGGTGCCATTGGTTGCCCTTCCCCGAAATATTTAGTCTGTTTCGTTTCATCGTGCATTGGAGAAGGTCGTCCCAGGTGAAATAGCAAATTGGTGATTTCCCTCGAGTACTTGACCCCATGCATTATTACCTAACCACCTGAAAATCTGGAACTTGCGGCGATTTTGCAAATTTGTGGTTGACCAAGTACCGCAAGTACCCTGCAATGAATATAAAATAGGGGTACCCCAAAATCATCCAAAATGATCCCACTTTCGTATTGAAACCCATGGTTTTGGGGATCCACCAGCTTAGGACAACCCCAATACATGTATACCCTCTGGTAAACTAACATAGCTATGGAAAATCACCATTTTCAATGGGAAAATCCACTATAAATGGTCATTTTCAATAGCTATGTTAAATTACCAGAGGGTAACTATATTATAGCTATTTAAAGCGATCCCATTAGGTCGCAGCTGACAGCATTGGCCTCGCCGCTGTTTTGTTCAGGCCTTGTTGGGGATTTGAGTCCCAGCCGCCGCGGGGAGCTCGGGCTTATGGATGTTTATGGTATACCCCGGGGATACCGTGATCAAAGGAAGTTGGGAAGCAATACTTCCGAGTTACGGACAAATAGAATTCTGAGACTTGAAATGATGAAGGGTGGTATGTCATCTAACAATACATAACAAAAGAATAAGAAGCTATGCAGCTGACCTTGATGAAGGGTGGTAGATCACATAACAATACATAATGTAACCATACATAACAAAAGAATAAGAAGCAATGCAGTTGACCTTGATGAAGGGTGGTAGATCACATAACAATACATAATGTAACCGTACATAACAAAAGAATAAGAAGCAATGCAGTTGACCTTGATGAAGGGTGGTAGATCACACAACAGTACATAACAAAAGAATAAGGGGAAGTGATGATGAAGGGGAGTGGTGACGAAGGGAAGTGATGATGAAGGGGAGTGGTGACGAAGGGAAGTGGTGACGAAGGGAAGTGGTGAAGAAGGGAAGTGGTGACGAAGGGAAGTGGTGAAGAAGGGAAGTGGTGAAGAAGGGAAGTGGTGACGAAGGGAAGTGGTGAAGAAGGGAAGTGGTCAAGAAGGGAAGTGGTGACGAAGGGAAGTGGTGAAGAAGGGAAGTGGTCAAGAAGGGAAGTGGTGACGAAGGGAAGTGGTGAAGAAGGGAAGTGGTGAAGAAGGGAAGTGGTGACGAAGGGAAGTGGTGAAGAAGGGAAGTGGTGAAGAAGGGAAGTGATGATGAAGGGAAGTGGTGACGAAGGGAAGTGGTGAGGAAGGGAAGTGGTGGAGAAGGGAAGTGGTGACGAAGGGAAGTGGTGAAGAAGGGAAGTGGTGAAGAAGGGAAGTGGTGCATGATGTTGCAAGGGGTTTGTTTTGGGGAGGAAGCCGGAGCACGAAACCTTGTATTTTTCCGTGTAAAGTGGCTTCAGCCGGCGATGAAAGGTACCTCGTGTGTGCGGCGGGTGCGGTTTGGATCGTTTCGAGTTCAATCGGTTCCTCCTCTGTGTTCTGCAACCAGTGGTTGTTCCTGTGTGCGTAGTTCTATGCGTTTCTTGAATCTGTAGTTGCAGATCGCATTGGAATGGCTGCATGATTGTTGTCATCTGGTGTTGCCATGTGCGTAGATGCATGCGGGTTAGCCACGTCATGCTGTAAAACGCATTGTAATGGCTGCATGAATGTTGCATGGGCTTTCTTTTGGGGAAGCCGGAGCACGAAACCTTGTATTTTTCCGTGTAAAGTTGCGTCAGCCGGCGATGAAAGGTACCTCGTGTGTGCGGCGGGTGCGGTTTGGATCGTTTCGAGTTCAATCGGTTCCTCCTCTGTGTTCTGCAACGAGTGGTTGTTCCTGTGTGCGTAGTTCTATGCGTTTCTTGAATCTGTGGTTGCAGATCGCATTGGAATGGCTGCATGATTGTTGTCATCTGGTGTTGCCATGTGCGTAGATGCATGCGGGTCAGCCACGTCATGCTGTAAAACGCATTGTAATGGCTGCATGAATGTTGCATGGGTCTTTCTTTTGGGGAGGAAGCCGGAGCACGAAACCTTGCATTTTTCCGTGTAAAGTGGCTTCAGCCGGCGATGAAAGGTACCTCGTGTGTGCGGCGGGTGCGGTTTGGACCGTTTCGAGTTCAATCGGTTCCTCCTCTGTGTTCTGCAACGAGTGGTTGTTCCTGTGTGCGTAGTTCTATGCGTTTCTTGAATCTGTGGTTGCAGATCGCATTGGAATGGCTGCATGATTGTTGTCATCTGGTGTTGCCATGTGCGTAGATGCATGCGGGTTAGCCACGTCATGATGTAAAACGCAATGTAATGGCTGCATGAATGTTGCATGGGCTTTCTTTTGGGGAGGAAGCCGGAGCACGAAACCTTGCATTTTTCTGTGTAAAGTGCTTCAGCCGGCGATGAAAGGTACCTCGTGTGTGCGGCGGTTGCGGTTTGGATCGTTTCGAGTTCAATCGGTTCCTCCTCTGTGTTCTGCAACGAGTGGTTGTTCCTGTGTGCGTAGTTCTATGCGTTTCTTGAATCTGTGGTTGCAGATCGCATTGGAATGGCTGCATGATTGTTGTCATCTGGTGTTGCCATGTGCGTAGATGCATGCGGGTTAGCCACGTCATGCTGTAAAACGCAATGTAATGGCTGCATGAATGTTGCATGGGCTTTCTTTTGGGGAGGAAGCCGGAGCACGAAACCTTGCATTTTTCCGTGTAAAGTGGCTTCAGCCGGCGATGAAAGGTACCTCGTGTGTGCGGCGGGTGCGGTTTGGATCGTTTCGAGTTCAATCGGTTCCTCCTCTGTGTTCTGCAACGAGTGGTTGTTCCTGTGTGCGTAGTTCTATGCGTTTCTTGAATCTGTGGTTGCAGATCGCATTGGAATGGCTGCATGATTGTTGTCATCTGGTGTTGCCATGTGCGTAGATGCATGCGGGTTAGCCACGTCATGCTGTAAAACGCATTGTAATGGCTGCATGAATGTTGCATGGGCTTTCTTTTGGGGAGGAAGCCGGAGCACGAAACCTTGTGTTTTTCCGTGTAAAGTGGCTTCAGCCGGCGATGAAAGGTACCTCGTGTGTGCGGCGGGTGCGGTTTGGATCGTTTCGAGTTCAATCGGTTCCTCCTCTGTGTTCTGCAACGAGTGGTTGTTCCTGTGTGCGTAGTTCTATGCGTTTCTTGAATCTGTGGTTGCAGATCGCATTGGAATAGCTGCAGTTGCCGAGGCTGTTGCGATAGCCAGTTTGTCAGCAGATTTTCTCAATAGCCAGTAATGTTCCTTTTAGAAATCCTTTTAAAAAGTGCTGCAAAATCGTCTTTTTCCTGCTTTGGCGTCGAGATCCGCTTTGGCGTCGAGATCCGGTGGGAGCTGCAATTTCCGACGCCGTTGCGCGTATTTCTATTGTGTTTTGCAACTCAGTCTCTGCAGATCGCATTGTAGTGGCTGCGTCAAGGTTGCTCGGTGCCGCGGCTGCATGCGTAATACTATTGTCTTTTGCAGCTGAACATCGTAAATCGTATTGGAATGGCTGCATCAAGGCTGCGAAAGTGATTTGTCAGCAGATTTTCTCAATTTTGGCGCTAATAATTTTCCTTTTAAATTCCTTTTGAAAAGTGCTTCAAAATCGTCTTTTTGTCGCTTTGGCGTCGAGATCCAGTTCCTCAGTAGTAGTACTGGGAAGTGATTCATGAAAGCTTAGATGACATATGAGAAGAGATGAGATGAGAAGAGATGAGCTGGGATAAAGTGAGAAGAGCTCAGATGAGATGAAGTGTGGAGTGTGAAGGGTGCAGTGTGAAGTGTGGGGCGTGAAGAGTGCAGTGTGAAGTGTGGAGTGTGAAGTGTGAAGTGTGGACTGTGAAGTGTGGAGTGTGAAGTGTGAAGTGTGGACTGTGAAGTGTGAAGTGTGGAGTGTGAAGTGTGAAGTGTGGAGTGTGCAGTGGGAAGCGTGCAGTGTGAAGTGTGGAGTGTGAAGTGTGGAGTGTGGACTGTGAAGTGTGGAGTGTGCAGTGCGCAGAGTGCAGTGTGAAGAGTGCAGTGTGTAGTGTGGAGTGTGAAGACTGTCAAGTGGGAAGTGCGAAGTGGAGCTTCAAATCTGACATGTGAAACAAGACATCACTTTCGCAGAGTGCACGCACGCACGGGCTTGGCTGGCGCACGGCGCATGCAAGTTCTATAGATGAGAAAGGTCTTATATATATCTTTAAGGCAACTTCCGCCCCGCCTCGTGCGGGTACTACTGGTATGACTTGGTCAATGAATAGATTAACCATGATTAACCACAGATTAACCACAGATTAACCACAGATTGACCATAGATCAACCATGAAAAGTTTGGGAAGGGTTTATGGATGTTTATGGTATACCCTCTGGTAATCAGAGGTGGCAACGGGAAATCCCTTCAGATTGAAGGTTTCAATGGGAAAATCATCGAACTAAATATTTTTAAACAAGGGATTTTTCATTGCCATGTTTGATTGCCGGAAGGGATTGGACTTGACTGTCACTCTGTCACACCTGAGAAAAGATGATGTAGTCATGAACCAATTGAATGGAAAGTTCAATGTGCAGAACAAAGCGTCAGTGGTTCGGATTCAAAAATCATTCAATAAAGGCCCCAATCATTGATGATTGACAAAAGAAATATATAGATAGATCCGTCCCATGAATCTCACCTCCTTCTTTTCTCGTGGCAACCTCCGTCATAGCTGCGAAAACTCACATGACCCACGCCAAGGTTGGGACAATGCAATGTGTTGATTCTGATTCAACATTAAGTTGAGACATCATTTTCATTCGAAACATGGTTTGCTTTCCCAAATCATTTGTTTTGACCATTTTCCAGTTTACTTACCCAAATCCAAGAAATTGTTGGCCGCTGACACGTATGCCTGATTTCTGCATCGCCATGTCCATTGATTGAAATTTGTTTGCCAGCGATAAGCACATCCCCTCATTTACAAAAAATGTATGACACTCCCAAAACCTTGAATATACCATCTGGGTCTCTTTACATTCTGAATTCGGATCACAGTGGTTTCATTCCCATAAAATAATGGATCACTGCAGCGATAAGCCTCTAGGGGTTCCATCCCTTGTCAAGTCCTGTGTATATGTATGCAGAACACATGGAAAATTGTTCGCTTAGTTAAACAAATCAATAGTTAGGCAATAATACATTGATGATATATATATATATGAATAGATATAGATCTATATTAGCACGCATTCATACTTGATGATATCCCTGTTTTTGGTAGTTACTCTTGTGACATAATCAGGACGGATGTCATGGTTCTGCCCATATCAACCACCCATGATCAACCCGCCCATCACATGCTGGAGTTGAACCTATTAGAATTTGCGGAATGATTGCTGGCCGATGGAAGTAATTTTTCATTGTTCCAGGAAACATCCCATTATATTCCTATTATTATCAATTATCATCCATTATATTTCATTATATTCCAATCAGATTCCCATTATATTCCCTTCATATATCCTCAGATATTCCTCACATATCCTGAAATTCCTCTGGTATCCTCAAATATCCTCAAATTATCCTCACTTATCATCTGACATCCTCAAATATCCTCAAATATTCCTCAAATACCCTTGAATACCCCCAAATATTCCTCAGATATTCCTCAAATATTCCTCACATATTCCTCATATATCCTGAAATATCCTCTGATATCCTCAAATATCCTCAAATATCATCTAACATCTTCAAATATCCTCAAATATTCCTCAAATACCCTTGAGTACCCCCAAATATTCCTCAGATATTCCTCAAATATTCCCCAAATATTCTTCACATATTCCTCACATATCCTGAAATATCCTCTGATATCCTCAAATATTCCTCAGATATCAGGTAGGTGAGTTGTTACATCCAGCATCCCCACGGTTGCGACGACTTTCCCCAGGTCCCGAGATCGACACGCAGCAGCAAACGCAGGAGCCGCAGGAGGCTGAAAGGCCACAGAAGGAGGCGGGACTTGGGCGATGGAAGCTGGTTTTTTTCTGGTTGGTGGTTTGGAACATGACTTTTATTTTCCGTTTCATATATGGGATAACCCTTCCCATTGATTAATATTTTTCAAGATGGTTAAAACTTAAGACCACCAACCAGTTTTTGAAGAAAAACAATCCCAAATGCGAACCATGGTGCTGGTTTTTGTTTACCTACAGAACTGGGTGATTATTAGGGGTAAATATCTGACAGGGCTGGTCATTCTCGTGTCCTGCAGATGATTTCGATGTTCGATTGTCGAATGTGTCGATTAATACCTGCATATCCTGTAAACCCACATCTTGCACACATTCATGCGGTTCTTTCTTGTCGGGAGTGGCTATTCATCTTAAGTTGTCTGTGGTTTCTTCTCTGTGAGCTCTCTCGGGGACATTATCTGGTTGGTGGTTTGGAACATTTGGATTATTTTTCCATTTATATTGGGAATGACATCATCCCAATTGACGAACTCATATTTTTCAGAGGGTTGTTTTCCCACCAACCAGTTATGATTTACAAAGCCATGATTCCCTGGTCAAATGACTCAGAACTCAGGTGACCCAGATCTCCGGAACTCTGGATGCCAGGCAGGGACCCAAAAAATTGATGGCTGATTCACATCACTGGGGTAAGGCTTGGTAAGGTGGTTTCAACGAGTTTTCCTCAAGAACTATATATGATTTATATTTATTTATAGGTGTTCATCTGAATTTAGTATTTTTTGGGGGGACCTGATGGTTTTTGATGCATGTGCATGTACATTTTTGTGATATCGGGCTGAAGCGTGTATGGCTTAGGTTGCAAACATGTTTTGTTGAGCCCTTTCTTTGTAATTCTTCCGTAATTGGGTGGAAAACCCCAAGCAACATGTGGATTTCTGCCTCCAATCTTCATGTTAGGTCCACCAGGGGAACCCCTAGCCGACCTGTGTCGGCTGTTCAAACATGGGATGTTGTCCATCCCCAAAAAAAGAACGGGACCCTGATGGGATGGTGGTCCCCATTTGGGTCAGGAATCACGACACCGTAAGAACCAAAGAAGTTCGACAGATTCATCATGTATGAAATTGTAAGATTGTAAGTGAAATATACGTAATACTATATATAATATTTATATATATATATAAACATAGATGAGCAATGATAACTTTTTTCTTATATGATCTTATATTTCATGTAATGTCGGTAAAACAGTAATAAACCATTCCCCAAATCACCATTTTTATAGGTGGTATAAACCATTCCCAATGGGTGGTTTATTCCCCACCTGCCAGGTGAGGGTTGTTAGATTTTATGTCAGTTGCCTCCTCGTCCTCCTCCTCCTTCTCCTCCTCCTCCTTCTCCTCCTCGTCCTCCGCCTCCTCCTGCCTCGTCCTCCTCTCCTCCTCCTCCTCGTCCTCCTCGTCGTCCTCGTCGTCCTCGTCGTCCTTGCTCAACTGCGACCCGCGATCCACAGTGTTCTCTGCCGGACCTCAACCACGACCATCCACGCCCAGTGTTCCCTGCCGGACCTCAACCACGACCATCCACGCCCAGTGTTCCCTGCCGGACCTCAACCACGACCATCCGCGCCCAGTGTTCCCTGCCGGACCTCAACCACGACCATCCGCGCCCAGTGTTCCCTGCCGGACCTCAACCGCGACCATCCACGCCAAGTGTTCCCTGCCGGACCTCATGTAGGAAGATATGGGACAAAGAATGTGCAGAAGAAAGTTAGAAAGAATGTCAGAAAGAATGTCAGAAGATATGCCAGAAGATATGCCAGAGGATATGCCAGATAGAATGCCAGATAGAATGCCAGATAGCCAGATAGAATTCCAGATAGAATGCCAGAAGATTTGCCAGATAGAATGCCAGAAAATATGCCAGAAGATATGCCAGAATAGATATGTCAGAAGATATGCCAGAAGATATGCCAGAAGATATGCCAGAAGATATGTCAGAATATATGCCAGAAGATATGTCAGATAGAATGCCAGAAGATATGTCAGAATATATGCCAGAAGATATGCCAGATAGAATGCCAGAAGATATGTCAGATAGAGTGCCAGAAGATATGCCAGATAGAATGCCAGAAGATTTGCCAGATAGAATGCCAGAAGATATGCCAGAAGATATGCCAGATCATATGCCAGAAGATATGCCAGATAGAATGTCAAATAGAATGTCAGAAGATATGTCAGATAGAATGCCAGAAGATTTGCCAGTAAGAAAATGTATAAATGTCATGGTGGGGATCACACGAAGTAAAGTAATTCTTGTTTTACCCAGATATATTAATTACAATCTGGTTATTTAACATAGCCATGGAAAATCCCTTATAAATGGAGGTTTCTAGCCGGGAAAATCATCTATAAATGGGCCATGGCTTCCATGGCTATGTTAAATAACCAGAGGGTAATTAATTAATATAATCACCATCTTTCATGGGAAAATCAACTATAAATGGTGATTTTCAATAGCAAACTGTTAGTTTGCCAGACGGGTACCCAGATTATATTGATTACCATGTGGTCATTTGACATGGCCATGGAAGCCATGGCCCATTTATAGATGATTTTCCCAGCTAGAAACCTCCATATATTTTGGTGATTTTCCATGGCTATGTTAAATAACCAGATGGTAACCACTATTAACCATGATTAACCATAGATTAACTGTTCCTTCATTTGAGAGGGCTTCAACCATAATCATATTAATTAACTAGTGTTGATGGCTAAACCCCCATAGAAAAGTGTGAAAATCACCATTTGTCATGGAAAAATCAACTATTTCTATGGTGATTTTCAATAGTTTTTTGTATGTTTACCACAGGGTATCCCCCATGATATCTCCATGGTCTCCCCATGTTCGGCGCGCCGCGTTCAGGCTGAAGGAAGTGGAGCTGGATCGTGCCTCCTGGCGCCGTCGCACCCTGCTTCTGGAGGCTGAACAAAAACATGGGGAGACGATATGTGTGATATATTCATCATAAATAAAGGATAATAAAGGTATAATAATATGATAGAATAATCCGATGATATAATAATATAATATGATATAGTAATTATGAATTATTTTGATACATGATATGTGTTTATAATCATATATGTGGTACAAAATAGCAGTATAAAAGTGGTAAAATCTCTGGTATCATATTACATTATGATACCAGTATGTATATACTACACCCAATATAATTGGGAAACATAGATAATTGGGAAGCATGGGATCAAACATTTCTTTGTATAGATGTAGGGATGCTGATGCATCGTCCCATATGGGAGTCTCTTCCCATTTATAGATTTATAAGCATCTATTTATACCATTATCATGGGATTATATATGATGATATGATATTATATGCAGGTATAACAATGGTGGAATATTATAACTAGCCCCATAATATGGGGTAGTAGTGTTTTTTGATATTCGGTTGAATTACATGACCTCATGTGGTGTCGTGAATGATGGGAATTGGATTAGTGGAATCATCCCCAAATGGCCGAATGAGATAGCGTTTTCAGGTTAGTTAATCATTGGAATGCAGCCAGATATATGATAGATTTGAAATGATTTGAAAATTATTAAACTTAAATAAAATAGGTATAAATTATCTATTCCAGGTTAATGACATTTTGGAGACGATAGGAATCAATGATCGATTTTCATTGGTCCCAACGTATCGGCCCCGCTCCGGAACGACTCTGTTCCGCACGTTTAACACGGTTCGAATGTTCTAGCGGATTTTGAAGTACCAGTAGGATCCAGTAGGTTCTATTTTGAAATTATGGATGATATAATTTTTATATGTTTTTCCCGTGTTATTTCACGCAATCGTATGCGAAATGAAAAACGATGCCCCCCTCAAAGTTACGCTCGCCGTCGTCGCATCCCAGGAGCAGATGCAACGCTTGTTGCAGCAGCACATTGACCCAGTGGGTGGTTAAAACAGACCAGGATGGACTGGTGATCTGCAGTAATAGGACTTAAAGGGATTTAATGTGGTTAAAACAATAATAAACCATCCCCCAAATCACCATAGATAGGTGCTATAAACCATTCCCAAATTAGTGGTGGTTTATGGCATTGTTTTAACCACACGGAAGTGGTGTTTTCCATGGGAAATTTCACCAACGTACGAAAATGGTGATTGAAAAAACTGATGATCCCATGAAATGAAAAGTGGCTGGTTGGGAAATCCGCGAGATAAATGGAGGTGAAAAAAGTCGCCATATAGCTGGGCGAATACTGCCATATATTATATATTGTGGACATATTTATGATAAATTTATATATATATATTATCTAATATATGGCATCAATATCTCCACATTATCTCCACAATATATATATATACATATCCAATATATGGCATAAGTATATATATGTATATATATATGTTACCAATATATGGTGGATTTTCTGCCACCTGTGATTAAATCAGAGGCTATCACTGAAAATTGGTCATAGCATGGCTCCTATCAGCGAACCTGGTGGACAAACCAATGGTGAGGGAGTGGTTCTGTTGTTTGGGGCATGCATATTCCCAACAAAATGGGGAGCCAGTTGGAGCTACCATTTTTTGGTTTCCCAATCTTGAAACCAACAAATCAGAAGAAATTGTTGCTCCAACTGGAGCACATGATAGAACAGTTGATCAAATCCAATCTGGTTGTGGAGATAGTTATCCAACATCTTCACCAGAACCTGGTGCCCAAAGTCAGTTTTGATGTGGCCAATTTCACCACGGAGAAACCATGAAGGAACATTTTGCCTAGTTCTACATCAGAACTATGAAGCATATTGACAACAGTATATTTACATCCATCCAACAGAACATATGGAACCATATACTCAGAACCATGGAGATATATTTCAACCATATACTATGAACACATATTACATCAGAACATGTGGATGGAATTGCTTTGGGCTGTGAGATATTTTGGGTTGCTCCCCCAAAGGGGAGATTTTGACTACATCCCGGCAACAAACAAAACTATCAATGGACCATAAACCATACTCTATTCTTCTCCCATCATTGGGATTATACCATCATTGGAATATGAGGATAAATATGATTATCAATATTTATCAGTACTCTCATTGGGATCATACTTCATTTACCATATGGAGAGTAGTTTTTTTTGGTGATTTACCCTATGGGGATTCTTACCCAACCAGACCATAGGGTGTAACATTTACACCCCACGGCCCCATAGGGCGAGTGACCGAGGCAGAGCGCCAAGTCCGAGGAGGTGGCAAGTCCTGGCAAGGTCTCGATCAGCTGGGATGAACTTCAATGTCAAATAGCTTGTATTTCAATAACATTATACCACAGTTAAACAATAGGGAAACCATAGTTAAATGATAGGTAAACCATAGTTCTAGTTAAACCATAGCTGGTTGGTGGTTTGGAACATGACTTTTATGACTTCCCCTTCCTAGTTGGGATGATGATCCAATCTGACGAACTCCATCATTTTTCAGAGGGGTAGGTCAACCACCAACCAGCTAGTATAGTTACTATCGCAAGTTTCTTACATTTTCTTACCCTAATGTTTCTCAAACATCGAGAGTTCAATAACATCCAATAATTATTAAGTTAGTTTTCACGTTGTAGGTATTTAGCTGACAACTATCGAATCAACTACGTAGCACGGAAACCATTTGGGGATGATCATATTTTGACAGATTTAGAGATATAAGCATTGTTATTTTCATGGTTATCATCTATCTTACATAGTTTCACGAATTATTACTTAGTTATAGAAATTCATCCATAATCTGTTCTTTTTGAGGGATTGGTGACGTGGCGTTCAGCCAAAAACGGGTGCTCCCCACCACCTACTAGAAATAATTACTACAGGTGCGACAGGCTTTCAATTTGACCGTACCCTACCGGTCATTCCCAGATGTCACGATGCACATGGATTTGCCCTCCAACATATTTTATACCCATTTTATCCACTGCCGAATCCCATGTCAAGACACCCTTAAATAGCTCGTTGTTGGAAATCGCGCTGTACCCGGTAAGGCACTCTCCTTGGACTGGAAAATCCTCCATGGACTGACTGGGGATTTCGTAGCCAGCTTTTTGTTTGATGATACCGCAGGGTAAATCCCCATTGTATCCCCCAATGCATTCCCAACCTTTCTCCACTATATCCCCAATACTGTGTATTCCCTATATGAGATTCCGTCAAAAATTAAGCTGATTAAATATGTATTGGAGTGTGCATCGGATGTTTGTTTTTGCATGAAACCTCCTAAGACGATAAGGGACTCACAAAAAAAGAGTGCCCGTCGGTGTGCCATGCAGTTGTGGTGAGACGTATCAATTGTTATGAGTAAACCCGCGCACTCGTAGGTAAAACCAGTAAACCCTGTAAAACGACAGGGGACCTCACTAATTTCATGACGCACTTGACGGAAGCAATAAATGTCGACCGTGGCTCATATCCCCATTCTATCTCCACATAATTCCCTATTACCGGAGGGTAGCTCCCCTCGACCCTCAACGTGCCCGTCAGCTACGAGGTGCGTTGGCGTCCGCAAGCCTTGCAACTGGAGGATCGATGGGGGCGAACATGGGGGAACCAAGCAACACACGTGGAAATGTGGATAAAACAATGGGATTTAATGGATTTAATGGCATTGAATGGCATTTGGGGGAAATGGGATACTGTAAAACAATATACAAGGCGGTTTTGTTTCGGTTCCATTTCAAGTGCTTATCATGCAGTGTTTTAATGTCAACACCCAGAGCCCAGGAGACTAAACCCTGACTATAAGAAGAGGGGGGTTTGCACCCCCAAAATGGTGAAATCAACTACAATTGGTACCCCCCAATAATAAACTGCTGGTCTATTGATCATGGGTTGGCATTAAAGAGATCACCGGCTAAAAGAGTTTTCTTCCATGTCAACAGTGTTGATCTATGTTTTTTTTTCCCAGTTATTTATGGATTATACATGAGCAGTGTTCAAAAACCCTTGTTAGTTGACGATTGTATAGGCTTATACTTTCCAATATCTTGGGCAAGTTTCTTATCCAACCAGTCGAAAGGGACGAGATTCCCCACATGGGGAAGAAACAGCCAGGAGGAGAACACGGAAGCGGAGGCACAGCTGTGATCCTGTTGGACCTAATCTTCAGGGAATTGATGGTCCATGTCCAAGCCAAAGCCCTTAAAAGGAGAGAAAGCTATGATCGTCACCCCCAATAATTAGAGGCTTTGGAAGATGCGTGTTTTTGTTGAACATGGCGATGTTTTCTTGGTTCAACTTGGATTTTTCCCCACCTGCCAGGTGAGGGTTGTTAGATTTTATGTCAGTTGCCTCCTCCTCCTCCTCCTGCTCCTCCTCCTCCGCCTCCTCCTGCCTCGTCCTCCTCTCCTCCTGCCTCCTGCCTCCTCCTCGTCCTCCTTGTCGTCCTTGTCGTCCTCGTCGTCCTCGTCGTCCTCGTCCAACTGCGACCCGCGATCCACAGTGTTCGCTGCCGGACCTCAACCACGACCATCCACGACCAGTGTTCCCTGCCGGACCTCAACCACGACCAGCCACGCCCAGTGTTCCCTGCCGGACCTCAACCACGACCATCCACGCCCAGTGTTCCCTGCCGGACCTCAACCACGACCATCCACGCCCAGTGTTCCCTGCCGGACCTCAACCACGACCATCCGTGCCAGTGTTCCCTGCCGGACCTCAACCGCGGGTATCCATGCCAAGTGTTCCCTGCCGGACCTCATGTAGGAAGATATGGGACAAAGAATGTGCAGAAGAAAGTTAGAAAAAAAGTCAGAAAGAATGTCAGAAAATATGCCAGATAGAATGCCAAATAGAATGCCAGATAGAATGCCAGATAGAATGCCAGAAGAGATGTCAGAATATATGCCAGAAGATATGCCAGATAGAATGCCAGATAATATGCCAGATAGAATGCCAGAAGATATGTCAGAATATATGCCAGAAGATATGCCAGATAGAATGCCAGATAATATGCCAGAAGATATGCCAGATAGAATGCCAGATAGAGTGCCAGAAGATATGCCAGATAGATATGTCAGAATATATGCCAGAAAATATATCAGATAGAATGCCAGAAGATATGTCAGAATATATGCCAGAAGATATGCCAGATAGAATGCCAGATTGAATGCCAGAAGATATGTCAGATAGAGTGCCAGAAGATATGCCAGATAGAATGCCAGAAGATTTGCCAGATAGAATGCCAGAAGATATGCCAGAAGATATGCCAGATCATATGCCAGAAGATATGCCAGATAGAATGCCAAATAGAATGTCAGAAGATATGTCAGATAGAATGCCAGAAGATTTGCCAGTAAGAAAATGTATAAATATCATGGTGGGGATCACACGAAGTAAAGTAATTGATCTATTTTTGATGCGTGTATCCACCATAGTTGTTGATTGACCCCCTATGTTGGTTGAATCCCCGTGTTTCCTGGTTAGGGCAACCGTCCCCTAGTGGGAAAAAACATCAACGCACAGCAGGATGCCTGGAAAGAACAGCGACAGCTTCTGGAGGTACGCACTTTTGGTGGTGGAACTTTGTAGATAAAGATAGTGGAACTAAGACCTTTTTTGGTGCATATGTTGGCCCACTCTACAATACTCTACAATATATTGATAGATGTTTGGGGTACGGGATATCAATCATGACACTTGGTAATTTCTTTGATATATGTTGGGGGTATAGTGAGGGTTGAATCAAGAAACATTGGGGATTTTTCTTCATGACGAGACTACAACATCCCAGCAACAATGAGCAGTCTCAGTTGAAATTACCCTTTGGTAAACATACAAAAAGCTATTGAACATGGCCATTTATAGTGGATTTTAGCCATCAAAACTAGTGATTTTCCATAGTTTTTAGGTTTACCAGGCCGGGTATTGGAAAATCACCCAATTCAGAACGATCGGTTCCTGGAGATTCCATGGGAATCTAACCATTAAAATTCCTCGTGTTGTTCGACAATTCACTTGGGCAATACTGACTGGTCTAGTGATTCTGGGGATGACAAAAGTTATAGCCGGCTATCAACCAACCAATGGAACCATGCTGCACTGCAAGAGGCTTTGGAAACCATGCTGGTGTCCTTTTGATGCATGTATCATAGACGAAACCAAGTTATGCACAGGTTGGCACATGTTGCCGTGGAAATCAATTCACACCTTGCCACAATTGCTCCACAGGCCCAGCTCGCGCAAGCGGTGGCCGAACGGGATCGCATGATCGAGGCGCCTATGGCGCTGGCGGATCAATCGACGGCGGAGGGGATCAAGGGACACCAGGGAACATCATTGGTGATCAGTGGGAAATAATGGTGATTAATGGAGATTTAATGGAAATCTTAATGGACATGAAGGACAATTCAATGGATTAATTATGATTAATTATGATGAATGGAAAATAATGGAGATTTCATGGACATTTTAATGGAAATTCATTGGGTCATGGGGATGGGGGTTGATGGGGATACCCTTTGGTAATCCATGGCCGGCAAAATCATCGAAGTAAATGGTGGATTTCCCAGCAACGTTTGAGTAGCGGAGGGTAGATGAGGACTTAAACGTAAGGGGAGTGGGATACTTCATCAAAAATGGTGTTTTAATGGGATTTAATGGTGATTTAATAGTGGTTAATAGTGATGGTTAAAAGTGGTTAATAGGCTACAAACCAACGACAATGGGAATATGATATGTAGCTGGTTGGTGGTTTGGAACATGACTGGATTATGACTTTCCATTCATATTGGGAATGGAATAATCATCCCAACTGACGGAGTCCATCATTTTTCAGAGGGGTTGAAACATGTTGAAACCACCAACCAGATATAGTCAGGATATCATCAGGACATGGAGAGATTTTACTGGGATTTGGAAAAAACTTGATGTGACGTACTACCTGGGTTTGTCTTTAAACATCTACCGTATACGGTAGCCCGAATGGAAGGCCATGTTCAGATCATTTTTGGTGGTTCAACTCGTGAAGCGTCCAGTCGTCCAGTTCTACCTGGGAACTAACCCAATGACCAACTGGGGTGAACCACCAAGCTTCTAGTTTAATATGTTTAATGCTGTTCTTTGCCATAGATGGAGATCATGTTTGATACCCAGCTCAAAATTTAATTCTTGGAGATCTCGAAGATTGGCAATTCAAAGATGAGCCACAAATTACCCAAATCGGAGAAACAGACATTTTTGCACTCAACTTGCTTGTTGAACTAGCAAAGAAGCTCAGGAAAGATGAGCATATTGACTGAAATGCGGATCGTGCCAGGTCCAATGCCAAACTTGGGTACCTTGCGAAGTGGCTAAATCTGTGTTGCAATTCATCGTACGGATGGGCAACTGTTGTTGACTTACAACACTTTGCCATGGAATTCTCACGAAGTACATGTCAGTGTCCTGCTTTTCCACCTTCAATGTATATATCCAACGATCAAAATTGCCCTTCACTTTGTTTAACACCAAATTTCAGAACATCCTTACCAGGCACTTAAGATACAAAATTAATCATGTTTTTCTTTTTTTAAATTGTATCCCATAAATCACCAGTATTATCAAGTGGGATCATCTATTGATCATTATTAACCATAATTAAAAAGTAAATGTATATATATATATATATATACATGTAAAATATCTAAACTCAACCATTATATAAATATATCTTAATACATCTATACCATTAATTAACCATCCAAATATTTTTGACGGCTGCTATCTCCCATCACCCGCTGCCATTCCAGGCCACCAACGAGCTGCGTGCCGATGTGCGTCGCTTGACGAGTCGCCGGAAGAGTAGCCGTGAGGCGGCTGCGAAATCCATCTAATTTTGAACGATGAATTTCTCAGCTATAAACCGCCATCTAATGTCAACCCCGGATTAATAAACCATGGTACCCTCCCAATTAAACAGCCTAGGGGTTTATTAATCCAGGGTTGAACATTAGTTCGGAGATGTCCCTTTTTTCCCATCTTTTCATACATAGTGGAGGTTGAAGTGTTGTTTCAATGGGAGAAGAAACATGTTAATCATGTTATGAGGATATATATATATATATGTGTGATTTCCAATGGTAGTATGATTGAATGGTGAAGAATGATTTTTCTAAAGATGTATACTGTATATTTATATAGATAAAGATCTATATTTATATAGGTACAAGTGGGATGCAATGGGATATTGATCTAGGATAGTAGCCTCCGTCATCAAACCTGGCAATGGGAAATCTTCAGGGCACAATCCATTTACCACGGAACCAGAAAGATAGGGATTGAAAGATAATTTTTCTATATAGTGTATATAAATCTCTATATATATAGAATATTATATTGTGTATAGTCATTTTTGGGTTCCATATTAAATTCCGGGGACGTATGTTGTAGAAGATATCACTACTATATGATAGGTTAACTGTTGGTCATACAAAATTAGACTATAAACTATATCATCATCATAATTTAATTTGTGACATAGTAGTGATATCTCCCATAGAATATCACTGGTCATATCCATCCATTGCTGATATTTGATTATTTCATATATTTTGTTTATGTGGGTTTCTGAAGATTTGATATTGGTTTCTGTGCAAATAGGGTTGACTAGAGGGTAAGTATAAACAAATACCCATTGACTGCATTGATTGTTGCAAGTTCAAAAACCCAATTCCTGGCGGCGGAAGCCCAGCAGGTCTCCATTGCCACAGCCGCTCCGCTGGGCGCGCCCCTGCAGCTGGGACCGCAGCTGGGACCGCAGCTGGGACCGCAGCTGGGACCGCAGCTGGGACCGCAGCTCGTGCAGCCCGTGCAGTTGCCGTCGCCCGGGCCATCGCCCGCGACGGTGATGCGACAGGCGCTGATGGGATGGTGGAGTTTTACCTATGAAAGATGGGTTGATCTTTCCATGGCGAACTGTCAAATAGCCAGATGGTATAATGTTTATGTTATAATAAACATATAATAACGTCTGGGGTATCCACAACTGATATCTCTAGATATTGTTGTATATTGTTGTTATACCCCATTAGCCATGGGAAAGCTCCATGTTTTCAGGGCCTATCCAAACATTCAAATCCCCCATCCACTAGTCCACAAGAAGTGAATGGATGGAACGGTGAGCTGAGCTAGGGGGATTCATCGAAAAACTGAGGAGCCATTGGTGTTGCGAAGTTTTCCTTTACCACATGATAGTTGCAATGAAGAAATGGGGATCAAGATGCATATAGATTTATGATGATTTATTCTCAAGAAATGGGGATTTGATGATATTTGATGGCTGCTTTGGGGATCCAGAAATGGGCATCTTCACCACCTTAATCATCTTCGTTTGGCTAATTTGGCCATGATTTTGATCTTGAAATATCTTGAATTTAACCACAGGATGGATCTTACCAGGCTACCAGGTGTCTTACCATCAACCATGAACAAGTGCAGACATGGATATGGGTTAATGGATATGGGTATTTTGGTTAACTTTGGGGTGCCACTAGACCTACACCCTTGTCTTCTTGGATATAGACCTAAGGGTCTCCTAATTTTGGCATGCTGCAAAACACCTCTAGGTTTGTCGGATACCCAAAGAATATGGAGTGACTGAGGATCTGCATAGGTTCACTCACTAGGGAACGACCAATTTACGGGTTTCAGGTCCGAGCAAACCCTGAGGCTTTCCGCTGAGATCATAGTCTGCTTTAAAGGGACAGGACATGTTTGTCTATTTTCCATCCGACCAATTGGATTATGAACTTATGAACTCCCAAAAAGATGTCTTGGATAGGTCTTATATTCACTGCACTGGTCGCAAATGGCGACCAAACTGTTCCTCTCTTGTTCATATTTACCACGGTCGAACCATTCATGACATTCTATTAATATACATATACATATATACATACGGATATACACATGTATATACACATATACCTAGACCCTCCAAATACACCCAAACAATGGTAAAAGTAATAATATGATGAAGCTAAAACCGTTTTGAAGGGTACAAATGGATGGTCTAGGTACGGATGACCATTCCCGATATACCATTCTGTGACAGCATATAGTTAGACTTAAATGGTTGATATATGGCTATGGTTAGCAAATTTACCCAGATAATATCCGATTCATATCGTATATAATTAATATATTTACTATATGTTCAATGATCAAAAGCTGATTTACCCTCTGGTAATTTAACATAGCTATTGAAAATCACCATTTTTAATGGGAAAATCCACTATTAATGGTCATTTTCAATAGCTACGTTAAATTACCAGAGGGTATCATTTACCATAAACCACCAAGGAGACCTAATACATCCCTTGGGAAATTCCTGTGGAGGCGTTGGAAGAAGGTGCGAACTATTTTTTTTTTCGGCTGGGGGGGGTTCTAAATCGTGGAGCCAATTGTGAAGTGAGCAGACATCGAAATCTTTATTGATACCCTCTGGTAAACTAACATAGCTATTGAAAATTGCCATTTATAGTGGATTTTCCCATTAAACATTGTGATTTTCCATAGCTATCTTAAATTACCAGAGGGTATAGGCAGTTATGATGATTCTGATGCACCATGAAGAACACATTTTTTGAATGATGATAAGCATGAAAACCATGGGGTCTTAACCATCAACCATAGCGATATGAGTAAGTCAAACAAGCCACAAATGATGGTTGATGAGGTTTGATAGAGACTTAGACTACTCTATTTACTTCAGGTTTCTACGACCGGGGCCCAGGAAGAACCTTAGTTGAGACTGCCTCCTCCGAAGGTTGCTGGCTCCATATAGCTCTACTGAGAGCCGTTCTTTCGGAGCAATCCAGCATCCCCCAGAAAGATAGATCAAAACTCCTGCTGAAAAAAGGTGACGAACTACTTTTCTATTTTTTTGTGGCTTGCTATATATTATCTGTCCATATCTATCCAAACTTGGCTACTTCACATGTTGGATTCAATCCAGAATTCTGCCGTTGAAACTCCTATTTTCGAAAGTCAAATCAGATGCTCCATGGTGCTGGAATATTTACCATCATTTGCCCTAAAAATCACCCAGTTATGTAGATAAATATACCAGCACCATGGAGTACATGGGCACTACAAATCCCAATGTTTGACTGTTTAAATCCCATCTTTTCCTGACTTCCTGGAGCCAATAGAAAAGGCGGCCCCCATCTGCCTCGCGAGCGACGTGAATCAGATCGCTTTGGCGTCATGTGTCTCGACAGAATAGTGATCTTCAACCATTAAATGGGCATATTTTGCCATGAAATCAGAGATGGCTGGTTTGAATGTTGTTGATCTCTAACAGAAAACTCATCTACATATATTTTCATATGGAATTTTCCAGGTGTCATTAGGGTGAACTCCCCATTCCCCATTGGTTTTTGTTATGGTTCCTAGGAATTGATATGGAAAACCCAGAATTGGTAGATCGATTTATTCCATTTCCCCATGGGTTTTCCCATGGCTTTTTCCCCAAAGATTGTGTTGTGGTGACCAAAACGCTGGCTGATTATGAGTGCACTGAAGCCATAAGGGTATGGGTCAAAATTAGGTACCCCAAAATTATGGATGGTTAATACTAAACTAGACTAACATCTGTGGTCCCCTAGGTCTTCCATTTTGACCCACATCCATCAAAAAACGTGATGCATAGTTACGTCAACTTTCTTGGGCATTATGGGTTTCAAACACTCTTAACTTAGAAATCCTGCACCAGTTGATAGGTGGTAAACATCCCATGATTTCTAGGGTTTCATCTTGTTTCAACCATCCAAGGTGAAGGATTTCCTTCCATCCATAGTAACTCACCGAAAGCTCAGGGGCAGTGCTGCAAGCAGTTCCCCAGAGAAACCAGGTGCGGATTGATGGGTCGGCCCGTGATAAAAACAACAAATAGGTGGTGCCACCAAACGAAACCATCTGAAAAGCATAGGAAAACCAGAGGAAAATGATGGACAATGGTAATTCAACCAAAGAAAATGGAGATGTTCGAGGGTCACATGTTCTGGTCCCTTCAGCTATCACTTGGGGTCAAGTGGCGACTTGTTTTGGTTGATTTGTCCTGAACCCCAGTTAATCATTGGGTTTGCGTATTATGTCCCATTATATACCATATCATATCATATTACACCCCTATATTTTCTTGGTTATCTATATATATATAAATACATATGATTAATGTGGGAAAAGCAATAATAAACCATCCCCAATGTCACCATAAATAGGTGATACAAACCATTAAAATAGGGTGGTTTATTATTGATTAAACCACATTATATATGCAGTATATATATATATACATAGGTTTGCACTATATTCCCATTTCTGCCGTTAAATCCCCCCATGTGTCGCCAAATCAGCAGCATTTCCTCCGACCGCTGGGCAGGCTACTCGGCTGAGCGGCCCAGAGCACCCGAAGCGCCGCGCTTCACACTGCTGGGAACCCAAAACATCTTTTGTAGTGGATGGTATTGTCCAGTGATCAGCAACTTACATGGTTAATAGCTGGTTGATATTGATTTACATATGCACCATATATTAACAATATATATATATATTAACCATATGTTAACCACATATAAACCATATATTAACCATATATATAAACCACATAAAAACCATATGTTAACCATACATTACCCATATATTTGCCATATATTAATCATAGGGATTCTATCAGCTTCTATTAAGGATGTTTATTCGAAGCCACCAAGGAGCTTGCCCATCCCGGCAGCAGGCGCGGCCAGCGTTGCCGCGTTGCGCCATCCATGGCTTGGGAGATTTGATCGTTTTATAACATCCCAACATATCCCAAGCATGATATATATATACAGTATTTGCTTGTTTTGTAATAAATCACAGGTTTGGTTGTATTTGATGATGTTTATAAGTTGATATCGAATTTGAGGATCTTTTAGAATGATGTGTATAATATGACTGATGTGACATTGACGATCAACGGATTTCCTCACCGTTTGGATAGGCACTCCTGGTGTAGCACACGTGCGCCGGCCAGAGGTGGAGGTGAGGATCTGATGTTCCATGGTAAGTTGCTGATGGAGCCCTGGTTGGTTGATGATGTTGATATAATAAATCCATGAAAATATATGGTAATCATATAATATCCCATATATATATAAATCCAATATTTGGAAGATCTATACCCTCTGGTAAACTAACAGTTTGCTATTGAAGACATGGCCATTTATAGTGGGTTTACCCATGAAAAATGATGATTTTCCATAGTTATGATAGTTTACCAGAGGGTATACTGCATCAACCAACATCAACATCATCAACATCAACTTATACTGATGTTGTGATGACGATGATGATGATGATGACGACGATGACGATGACGATGACGATGATGATGACGATGACGATGACGATGATGATGATGATGATGATGATGATGATGATGATAATGATGATGATGATGATGATGATGATGATGATGATGTGATATTTATGATGTTGATGATGTGATGTTTATGATGTTCATGAGTTTTACCATCCTATTTCTCCTATGGTTTGCAACTGTTCTATCTATTTGGGCTTGCGAAACATAAACACGCGCACGCATGTGCAATGGAGGCACAGCCTGCATTTGAGCTTTCAATGCTGGAAAGGGTCGCGTTCCTTTGTTCCTTTGTTTTGTATGCAGATGACATTCCTTTGTCTGTAGATGATACCCTCTGGTAAACTAGCATAACTATGAAACATCGCCATTTTCAGTGGGTAAATCCACTATTTCGACTGGGCCATCTTCTATGTCGCTATGTTTGACATAACCAGAGGGTATGGGTTGGATCCCTATCCTCCGGTTGAAAAAAGTGTGCTTTTCGACTGTGACCTGACCGTTATAACCATCCAATATATCCCAATCACTTAAAGCGCACGGTTTCATTGGGTTTCATTGCGACAATTTCATTTTTTTTCCCAAATTCAAAGGTAGATCAATCAGAAATCCCAATGAATCCCAAGGGTAACCAACAGAAATCCCAATGAATCCCAGTGAATCCCAATAAATCCCGATAAATCCCAATAAATTTCAATAAATCCCAATAAATCCCAATAAATCCCAGTGAATCCGAAAAAATCAGAAATCCCTGGATGAATCCCACCTGTTCTCGGCTAAAGCACCTCTGTAGGTGCCCGGCAGTGCCAGCCTCTCTCGTTCGCCCTCACCACCGGGTGCCCGTGTGTGGGATGGAAGAGGTTTGTTCGAATCCGGGGTAGCTTAGTCTGAGAACATGTAAAAACATGATTTATAGATATTTATAGATCTTCCAAATATTGGATTTATATGTACGTATATGTACGTAGAGATAATTATTAATATTGGATTTATTTGTACGTATACAATCGTATATATACTTGTTGCGATATTATATGATTACCATTGTCATGGATTGATTATATGCAGCTTGGTGGAACCTCGGAAATAGTATCTCATATATTCCAATTTGTTTTGGGATGGAAGCAACAAGGTAGCAACTTGGTGCAGCACCAGATGGTATGGAAGACAACATGACATACATCGAAAATTGAATGTGTCATTGGAATTTATATGAATTTATGGATGTATCAATCTATCATTTAAACACATCCCCAAAGAATTATCAAGAATTAGCATACAAATCCCCAAGAATTAGGATATATGGGGAACTATATACCATTATATACCATCATATCCTAATTCTATAGTTCATCATATACAAATATACCATGATATATGATGAACTATATACCAACCTGGGGAACTATCCACCACATACAAATAGTTCATCATATCATCTCCGCAGGTTGGCCGCCACCCTCACCAGAGACAGTGCACAGCGAGCCCCACGGTCTGCCCATGCCGCCGTCTGAGGGCCTAGGGATTCGATTGGGATGGGATTGGAGAAAGGTAAATTTCACACTTTTCTATGGGGGTTTAATATGGGATTTAATATGATTTCATATGATTTCATGGGATTTCATGGGATTTAAATGGGGATTTCGTATGATTTAATGGGATTTATTAGATTTATGGGGATTTGTTGGGATTGATTGGGATTTCTGTTGGTTGCCATCTGGTACAACTACACAGTGCACTACGGGAAAATCACTATGTTGGTAAAATGGTGGATTATCAACAAATGGGTCATTTCCGCAGATGTGTCAAATGAGGGCTTTTGTAGATATTTACCAAGAAAAGCTGGGACTATTCTATGGGATATGTTATGTGATAATCAAATATAATCAATTTTTGATGGGATGATTTTATGGGATAGTTCAGTTTGTGGGATATTTGATGGATAAGGACATGTAATGGAATATGCAATGGGATATGTGTTTGGATGTTTTTGGGAAATAATCGATTTGCAGTATCCCGTTGCCATGGAAACGCAGTTCATGGAGGCATTTCTGGATGATTCTGGATGTAAGTGGACACGAAAATCATTTCCTAAGGGTGAGGCATTCCACTCAAAAGACGTTTGTTTCACGTGCCCTTTGGTAAACTAACCTCTAGCGCTAGCTTTGGAAAATCACAACGATTGGTAGGTAAATCATCTATAATCGGTGGTTTTTCTATAGCTATGTTAGTTTACTGGAGGGTAGTTGGTACTTGGTGCTACATTACTACATGGATTTGTCTACGGGATCGGAACAAACAGATGCTTGGCTTCAGGGTTGGAGAAAGCAATGGAACATGGTTCGTGACATTGGAGCATGTTCGAAGGTGTTTAGGATATGCTTGAACCATGATATGTTGGAACCCGTCAATCCAATCCTGGTTATGTATATTATGTTGTATTGAATTCAAGAAAACCAAATACAGCAGAAACGTTGGGGATAAGTTCATTGGCTCCAGTCAAAAAGCCAATGGACCTGGTTTATTTACTGGCAATCTTTTATAGTTCAGCTAACCTCAGGTAAACTGACGTAGATATGGACAATTCATTGCTTCCCAGTTCGGACTGGATCTACAATCATGGTGGATTTCCCACGTTGCATGGTGGATTTTCCTAATATCTTTTCATTTTCCATGTTTTTCCATAGATGTTCTATTCCGTCTACCCTCTGGCAAACCTTTACATGTCCCAAAATCTGGAAAATCTCCATCTTCAGTAAATCAACAATTTCTTTCTATGGGCCAATCCGCCAATCCTTCATGAAAATTTCAATAGCTAGCCGCTAGCCATTGACATAACCAGGTTGGGTAGCCATTGACCATATTTCACCAGGCCCATGAGGCCGCAGCCTGTCCGAGCCTCAATGGGCCTATGGAAAATCCATGACATTCCCACCGAAAAAAAAGATGTGGTTCCCATGGAAAAAAACTCCATTTTTATTGGGGATGTAGCAGTAGCAGTGCGGAAAATGATGCTGTAAGAAAATGATGTTTTTTTTCATAGGGAACTGTTAAAGTACCAGAGGCTATACAATGGAATATTCCAAGAATAGATCCAAGAAGTTTTCAGTTTGGGGGGTTCAAAATGGTTCCCTCTGAATGCGGTAACCGATATCCTCCCAAATTCGATGCACAAAGAAGCACTTCAGAGGATCTGTTTCAGAAGCAGACATGACATGTTGGATGTTGGATTTCATCTAGCAATATCCAACAAAAGTAGTGAAGGAAAAAGCACGGTTAAAAACGTCTGTGACATTTTATTACTGCTGTATAGATATACCCTTCAGTACCCTTCAGTCAAAGGTGGCTGGTTCAAAAATCGATGGAGTTCTTCATGACAAGTTCCACATTGACAAACCGGAGTTGCTGTAAATCCCTAATGGACGAATAAGAACCACATCCTGGTTGGTGGTTTGGAACATGACTGGATTATGACTTTCCATTCAGTTGGCAATGTCATATTCCCAACTGACGAACACCATCATTTTTCAGAGGGGTTGGTTGAAACCACAAACCAGATTATTATTAACCATCATTAATCATATAATTACCATCATCATTGACCATCATTAATCATATCATCAGCATCATCATTAACCGTGAAATTAACAGTATATTAACCACGTATTAACCATATATTAGCCATCATCATTAGCAATCATCATTAGCCATCATCATTAGCCATATATTAACCATACATTAACCATATATTTGCCATATATTAATCATAGGGATTCTATCAGATTCTATCAGTGATTGGATTGGTTTAAGGGAAATTTTACAGGAAACCATAGATTTTCCCATTCAATATGGGGCTTTCCGGCTAAAATTTTCCTTTAAACCAATCCATTGAATCAGATGAACCACAGAAAAAACCATCAACTGGTGGCATTTTCCATAGGTCCCTAGGCTATTCCCTGGACTGAGGCATGGAGCCCTTGGAGCCCGGCAAATCCTCCGTCCGAAGGCTAAGATGTTTTTTCATGGGGAAAATGATGGTTAATATACTGTTTTCATGATGGTTAATAATGGTTAATCTATGGTTAATCTATAGTTAATACAGTAAATCTACTATAGTTAATGATGGTTCATGAAGTAAAAATCTACTATAGTTATATAATATACTTAATATAGTTAATACTGTAAATATATGGTTGATATGTGGTTAATATACTGTTAATCATGGTGAATGATGATGGTGATTATATGGTTAATGATGGTTAATAATAATCTGGTTGGTGGTTTCAACCAACCCCTCTGAAAAATGATGGAGTATCTGGCGGGGGAATAGATATCTACCAGCCGGCAGAGTTTTTTTCGTTTTTTGCTTTGCTCGTGGAAGTATGTTTCGCAAACATCCAGTTTTTTAAACTTGCAAACCAGATCTAAAATTGACAACACAGACCATGACCAGGTCCTTTTCCCATTGATTAATAGAAAGGTTAACCCCCCCAAACAACCAATGGGTAATACGGATGATTGTAACCTCACTGGGATGGTTGACCCAACGGACATGATATATCTGTTGTTTACATGAACATCATAACAGTATCAATATCCCATGGCTCATATTTAACTCATTGATGTTGTAACAATCTTCATGTTTACTCAATTATTATAGTGATTTGATTCTTACTTATTTATAGGTGTTATATTCCTAATAGGAATCAATAGGTTATTTTATCATCGTTACTTCCTTATAGGCTAACTTATAGGTGTAATATTCACAATAGAATCCATTCTCCATATACTGAATCATTATAGTTATCTAATTGTTACCAATTTTAGGTTTATATTTCAAATTCTTACTTATTATAGGTGATATATTCCCAATAGGAATCACTAGGTTATCCTATTATTGTTCATGACTTATTGTAGGATTATCTTCCTAGGAAGTATCTTATTGTTACTTATAGGTGTTATATTCCTACTGTGGATGGTTGCGAAATCCTGCACCTGGGATGGTAGAAAGCCTTAGAAAGCCTTTCTCAATGGGATGTTTACCACCGTCCTCAACTGGCGATTCGGAGGTCGCGTTGCCATCAACAGTACCCTCTGGTAAACTAACAAAAAACTATGGAAAATCACCATTTTTAATGGGAAAATCCACTATTTCTATTTCTATAGCCATTTTCAATAGCTATGTAGAAAATTACCAGATGGTAACTATTATTAATCATAGATTATCCATATATTAACCATACATTAAGCAGAGGGTAGGATTACCAGAGGGTAGGATTCCATAGTCATAGAGCAACTTTCTCCACCGTGACGCCTTAAGGCCCGTGAGTGCAACCATCGCCTCGCCGTCGCATCCGGAGGATGCTTCGCCTGCGGCCATGCGCGTGCGCGATGCGTTGAAGATGCTAAGTCCCAGGTGCCAAAGTGGCTGGCGATTTCATGAGGATTTTCATCGGGGTTAGTGAGATTTAACGGAAATGATGGTGGTTTCCATAAATGAATGGAGGTACAGTACCCTAAAATTGATGGTTTATAATGGAAAATCCCAATCTAAGGGGTTACATAGTGAGATTTACCATCTGGTTATTTGTTACAGTTCGCCATGGTATAGATGGCCCATTTAGTTCGATGGTTGACCTATAAAAAAAGCATGGTGGATCTTTTCACTGGCTATGTCAAATGGTCAGATGGTAAGGGTATTTTATGGGAATATAGTGGGGATGTTCATGGGGATTCAATGAGATTTAAGGGAAAATCATGGGAATTAATGGGGATATTTTTTGCGGATTTCATGGCATTTATGGGGAGAGAATGGGATATCTAACCAGCAATTAAACTAATTAGGGTTACCCACCGGTAATCAGACATGGCAATGGATGGCAATGGTAAATCCCACTACAAATAGAAGTTTTAGTGGGACATTCATCGACAAATGGAGGATTTTTCATTGCCACGTTTCATCACCGGAGGGTTCTGATGTTAACCTACCTGGTTTATTGGGGATTGGGTTAGTTATTATTTAGTCCACAATAGTGGTATTTTTCATGCTGATGTTTTTTTTTCTCGCCAATGACATGTCTTCTTTGAATGCGCAGCAACCGGATCAAGCTCACATGGGTGAACATGTTTTTCGTTGGCTGTCAATGGGAATCTTTATCAACCAGCTATTCATTTGTTGCAAGAGTATCTATCCGAGAATTTTTCAGGGACAATCTGCAGGATACACAGACAATATTTGAGGTTAAAAACTATAATTTCCTGTAAGATTTCCCTGCAAGCCAACCATTTTTGGGTTGAAACATGTTGAAACCCTGCAGCATCTCGTGTTTTTCTTTCTGCTTTGCTTGGTATCATTAATCCAACTATGAAGATCCAATCATATCCAACCCAAAAAAAACACCAGACAGTTTTTGATATAGATAATATCCAACTATAATCAGCTATATATCATTATACATCTATTCGAATCTCGCCTTTTTTTCAGACCTGCAGGCGCTGCAAATCGACCAGTCCAAATAGGCGAGTCGGGTGCTCCGGCGATCCAGTTGGATCGTTGTTGAAATCTTTTAAAATTCATATATAACAACTATATGTTCATGGATAATACCCTCCAAAAACTCCAAAAATAGATGTTTACTTCAAAAATCAAAACGCTTGTTAAATATGTGTTTTGAGCACTTGGAGGGTGTTGCGGCAATGTTCATTCTTTTAAGTTGGCCTGCAGAGATACCGTGGATCCCAAAGCGGCCCAGGAGATGACACCGGGGTAACATGGAGCTGCGATGATCCGCGTGGGAAATCTGATCCAGAGTTCGCCATGGGATTTCGATGGCCCATTTAGTTCGATGGTTGACCTATTAATGGCCCATTTATAGTCGGTTTTCCCATTAAAAATGGTGGATCTTTCCATGGCTATGTTAAATAACCAGATATTATATATATAACTATACATTTTTTTCCTTCATGATTCATCATGATTCATCATGATGACACTTCTTTCCTTCAGCGCTTCTTGGGTCGGTTCTTTTTTTTCGCGGTCGCCAGCGCTCCTTTTTTTCAGCAGCTGACTTGGCTTCTGACGGCAGCCACAGGCTGTGAGATGTGTTCGTTCTGGATGTTTCCTGGATCTTTGAAAAAACAACTATGAGGGGGATTCGCAACTATGATATAATATATTATAGTCTAAATACAACTATTAGCACGCCAAGAGTTGAGGTTTCCTATACTTCTCCTCTAGAGCATGCCAGTTTGATTGTGTTTCACTAGCAAGTCCCCAGTTTTTTCAACAAACAGGTGGTCCCTTAATGCCACGATGGTTTCCGGCTCCTGAATGGTGGTATGACATGGCGAAGCAAGACTGTTACGCTTGGTACAGCCGAAATGTGAGGTTCGCGACGAAGTATCAGAAAGTATCCACAATTGTTCTGGTTGACGTTCAATTTCTATTGGTTGTTCTATCAATTTCTATCAATTTCTATGGTTTTTACTAGGCTGAACGTTGTTTCCAGAAGCTTCTCCATCGTCCCTAGTTTTATGGTCGACTCTTGTTGAATCCAAAGGACGAAGACATCGGGGAATCGACGCCACGTCGAGTGATAGCTAAAAAGCAATGCCAAAATGGTGCGCTGCGGCGGACAATGCAGAAGATTTGAGCATATTATGAGCATAGTTAGACTTACAGCTATGAGATATCTCATTGTGTTTGATGATTTCCTTAACTTCTATCAACATGTTAAACAAGCCAGACCAGAATTGCATCTATACTGCATATATGTATATATATGTAGGTATTGTATAATTATAATATATAACAAACATATTCTATTATACATAATATAGGTTATATGTTACATATTATTGTATATATATACACATTTGTACGATGATATAGATAGTATATATAACTATATATGTATTATTTATATGTTGTACACATATACATATATTACTTTAAACATAGGTTCGGCTGTGATGGGTTGATTCCTCATCGAAACGTCTAGATCATTGTTTTGTTGGACATTAGCACATACACGTCTCAAAAACCCAGATATTAGAGATTCTTTGGCCTGCCTCGAAATCGTGATTCAAACATGTTAATTTTCTGTTAAATAGACCTTTTGACGAAGGCTGGCTTAGATCTGCTAGACATGACACAAATATGTGGCTGAGTTACAATGACATTATATGCATGTATGTATATATATATATATATATGTATATATATATGTATATATATATGTATATATATATGTATATATATATGTATATATATATACATGTCACCACTTGAATTTCTTGAATCTATTCATTGTGACATTCTATGTGTGTAGTATTGTGTAGTGACATTATAGGTGTGTGTAGTGACACTATAAATGATCAGATATAGTGACCATAAACATGTGTGCTTACAGATCCAAGAAAGGATATCCACTGGTTCAACATGTTATTTTACTGCATAGAACATTTCGGAAGCATGCTCTTCAATGATGCAAGACCCCATACGGATCCATACGGGGTTGATCTTAAACAAGGGTACCCCAAAATCTAATGCTTTGATCATGTTCTCCGTTGAGACTGAATATATATATATATACTGTAATTATATTATATTATATATATGATTATAAATGATATATAGATTTCCTAAGCCATGGAGGTACCCCCAGGCATCATTCAGAAGTTGTGTTCGGATTCACCATGAAAACGCCAACAAAAATCATGCGATTTTAGGGGTACCCCCCCATGACAAAACGGAAACCCGCTGGGATCATATGACATATAGGATGTGGCCCCCAAGATAGCGTTCAGTTGCCTGAAAAAAGTGGCTTTATGGTAGATATAACGAACTAGTCAATAGGGGTTATTTCATGGTTTATAAACCCACTTGTAACTGGGGGGCCCCATCCTGTATGTGTATCCAGATTTTCAGACACCAACCCCTGCTGGGATCACAACTTGTTTCGATCCAACACCTCCTCGTTGCAGCAACGGCTCAAGCTTCGCTCGTTGATTTTCCCGTTCCTCAAATTCGTGGGCTATGGCATGTTTTGGTTGCCTTGAAGATCCGGAGATTTCTTCATCACTCTTCAAGAAAATTAATGTAGATCATTCAAGTGATCCTAAAGCTTTGGGGAACCAGAAAAAAGTTAAATACAAGACTGAGATAGTATATAATAATGATTGTACTAGTATATGATTACCATGTTTCTAGCTGTTATTGGCTAATTACTAAAATAAAACAACACGTTGAGAAATGCTACCACCATTCGACCACTCCAGCACATGCGACCTGTCTACCCTCTGACCAGTTGTAGATGAGGATGATGAACTGTTCCCCAAATAGCCGTTTTTGTAGTGAGAACATATGCAAAATGAACTAGAATAAACCACGTCTTTTTGGGGGCTTACCCTATGTTCAGACAAACCCCTGTTGAACACACTAGGCTTTGATCCAGGCCCCCAGGTTTCCAAACACAAGGGAAATTCCCCTATTGATCCAAGGAGTGTTTCATTTTCCGCTTTGGACTATACCGTGACTAGCAAAGGGATATTGAATCTATACCTATATCTCTCTCTATATAATATCACTATATATTGATATTGATCTTATAATAACTTATATATTAATTTTCACCCTTGGTTTCTTGTGTCAACAAAACATGGAATATCGCCATCAACGGCCGCCAGGGTAGTGAAACTATGCCGACCTTCAAGAAGCTCATCATCGCAGGTGGGGCGAAAAAGGGGACAGCTCTGCCCGTGTTTTTTTTTGCTGATGTTCCCATGCTTTTCCATGTTTTTCCATGATTTTCAAGGTTTTAGGTTTGCATTTTTGGATTTTCCAGGTTTTTGTGATTTTCGAGGTTTTAGGTTTGCATTTTTGGACATGTCGACATGTCGACATGTCGACATGTCGACATGTCGATCAATATTTGAGGCCCAGGGTCTCACATGTGGAAGCCACCTGTCGATGGTAACTTTTAAACCAGAGCCATAGCCGAGCAAAAGGTGGGGATGGTTTTTGTCGACCAGGTGAGGTAACCCATGAAGATGACAAATGATGACCATCAATTAAGGGGAGTGCATCTTATTCACTCAATTCGTATATGGACGAAGGAGCAAATTTGATAATTCGGACTCAATGGATGCAGGTATATGCAGGTGGGATATTGACCAAGAATACTAGTGATCTTGGGGATTTTGCGCTGCTTCGATGCTGGCTACGGGACGGGGCTTCAAGATATGAAAAGATTTTCCGAGAAAAGTGCAGCTCTTCGGTAATCAAACATGGCAATGGTTTTCCCTGTAGTCGTAATCCCGACTATCAACTAGGAATTTCCTGTGACAATCGAATATACAATGATGTTGCAATAGCTCACAATGTGAGTGTTTTGACAGCATTGGGGAGCCATCATTGGCGAAAGGAATATTGATCCAAAGAGAATGGTTGGATTAGCACAAAGAGTTGAGGATCATTTGTATAGTATCATACATAGTATAGTACATATGTGTAATATGTATATATATATATGTACATAGAATATATATATATATATAGTCCTCCTGGAGCAGATAAAATAATAGACAGTTCAAACAGTCCTTTCTAAATTAGGAATATCTTCGAAAACACCATATTCTATATACTTCAGGATGGCTGTATTAATGTCATGTTAATACATCTAGCATATTGGATGGACATTGAATCCCAGCCCTGGATATGGCGAGATCAATGGTAAACCGGTGAAGTTTTCCAATCTTCCAAGGGGTATTTCATCAGGGAAGACATTGGATGTAATATGGTGTAATGAGAATGGAATTTGCCATAGGCAAAAATCATGGGAATAAGATGATCATTTCGCCTTCTCGCCAGTGGTTTCTTCCAAGGGGATTTCGCCAAGTTCAAATCCCACAACCTCGACACAAATCTCTCCGGCTTCGGACCAGGATTCCCATAGATTGTCATGAATTATGATCCCCAATATATTGGATAAGCCATAGAATCAACCACCAGCAGGGGTATAAACAAAAACATCCCATGTTTAGATAATGATTATATAAAGTACCCCTAGGAAAACTTAGCTATGGTATAGATGGCCCATAGAAATAGATGATTCACCTATGAAACATGGTGATTCTCCACAAGCAAATGAGATGAAACCAGCGGGTCACCATGAATCACCAGCAGTTATTCTCCATTTCCGATGGGTTGGTGGAGGCTTAGTGACGGCCATCGCCGCGAACACAGGAAGCGTGGCAGATGGGGTCATGAGATTCCCCCAAAATGGGAATGGCTTCCACCTAAGATGACTGATCACATCCATTTATGGTTGGTTGGTGGTGACTGGAACATGACTGGATTATGACTTTCCATTCAGCTGGGAATGTCATATTCCCAACTGACTTTAACTCCATCATTTTTCAGAGGGGTTGGTTGAAACCACCAACCATTTATGATCATCTATGCTATTTTACGCTTATACATGGGCTTTTACTACCACTTGTGACGTGGAATGACTGACAGTTTGAAGATCGCCGGTTCTCAGGGTCCAAAAGGTTGACGACCCATTCCTTGACGCCCTGCAGGTGAGTTGATCGGAGGGTAGGCGATACATCCATGGTAATTTAACAGTTTGCTATGGAAAATCAGAATGTTTCTTGGCTAAATCAGGCTAAATCGAAACTCAATGGGCCCTCTGTACCAGTTCGCGAACTGGAAGAAATTACCAGAGGCTACATCCGATCGGATGCTTCCAGTTATGTGCCACCTTGAGGTTTGGATAAGTGGGCTAACAGGCCTGGTTTTCTCCCTGGTTTTCCGGGGGCGGATTTCGCATTTCATCTGAATCTGAATCGAAATACTTGGTA